AAGGCTCAGGCTTTTGCGTTTGGGGAGGAGTTGGGGTAGATAGGATTTGCTCAAGTCCGGGGTTCCCCCCCCCGCCTTGGGGGCGGGAGCTGCCCTAAACCCTGAACCCGAGGCCTTCGTCCCAAAACGTCGGGGCTGAAAAGAGTGTCTATAAGGGGCTTCTGGTCTACGTGCTCAATAATCAAAGGCCTAAGAAGACGGTCCAAGGGCCCTTGTCTGTCAGGTTCAGGGTTTAGGGAATAAGGGGTTAACAAAGTGGACTATGCCTTTGCCCAGGTGGTGCAGCACCGTACTTCAAAGCCATGGCAAGTACCCTTGTAGCATAGGGGCGAAGAGTTCGGAATACAACGCGAAAACTCTTATACATAGTATACGCTATATATATATATACCTATATATATATATATATATATATTCCTAAGTATATATATATATATATGCAGATATATATATATATATGTATGCATACTCACATGAGCAGTTTCGGGTTTATGGTTAGGGTTCCCACAAGGCCCCAATCAAGAGGCCTACGGCTTCCCAAAGACCCCTCGGCTCTCATGCACGAGGCCGGTGTTCATAAGGTTCATAAGGTTCATGGGGTTTAGGGTTTAGGGTTTAGGGTTTAGGGTTTAGGGTTTAGGGTTTAGGGTTTAGGGTTTAGGGTTTAGGGCTTAGGGAGGGTCAAGGTCAAACGGTCCAGCTGCCTTTGTTGTTGGCGGGGATGGCCACGTCCACATTCTCCTCGGCTGACCCACAATAGCTGCTTCACCATAACATGGCATGGCTGCGATGCAGCCTACGCGAAACCCGAAATGTCTATTTCCTACACTCTGACCCCCAAGCCGCCACATGCAAACTGCAACTGCAAGTCATGACCCAACAGGACAGCTGAGATGAGAGCATGACTGCCTCTAAACCCTAAACCCAAATCCCCTGGCATCTCAGGGGCCAGGGGAGAGTCCGTGTCGCAGAGGGCGATGACCGGGATGCTGGCATAGGCGGCCTCATGGACTCACGACTTCAGATTCTACTTGATTGGGTCCAAAGGGTTTAGGGTTGAGGGTTTAGGGCTTAGGGCTGCAAATTCTCCTACTTGTGAAGATGACTGCCTATCTGGCACAAGACTCGGGTATTCTTCTCATTGGAGCCGCTCTGGCCCTTAACCCATGGCAAAACAGACCAGAAGACAAATCCTGGGTTTAGGGTTTGAACACCATCAAACCCTGCGGTTCCCCTCATGTTCCATTACCACCAGGCGGCCTCCTTGATGGCCTGGTTGTCCGTACGCGGGTCCGTCACGATGAGAAGGCGGGGCTCCAGGTACTTCTGCCTTGATGAGTGCCGTAGGAATGAGCATGGCAGTTCATTGCAGGTCACAGTGGAAGATCGAATCCAAGTGCACATCTGGGGTGTAAGCCATTTAGGGCTACAGCTGCCAGGTACTTCGGCTTCATCCCTGCAACTACCCTGAACTCGCAACCCCTGAACCTCGAACGTAACGCCTTAGGATGTGCAAAGCGCTAAAACATCGCAAATCCCAAGCCCTGGTTCGCTGTGCAGCCGAAAGCACGTGATCTGATTCGTGAGGGTACCCGGCGTCCATCGTCCAGCGAGGGGGTTGGCCTGTTGGTCTGGCGGGTGAGGTTCCGGGTGCCGGGAGTTTGCCAGTGGAGGCACGCCGGATACCGACTACCTGCCTCACAGCTAGATTCCAGGGCACACAGGTCAAACCCAATCATGCGCAACCCTTACCGCAGACCACATCCACAGGGATTTGCGAAGGGCACATGCTTCGCATCTACATGGAGAAGCAACCGCAACATGGCTTTCAAGCACGCACACGGGATGATTCCTGTGACTGAGCCAACATGGGCCAAACCTCATTGTTCAGAAGTTGCTTCCCTCACGTGCGCATGCTGCTTCATCGTGCCCACAGCACGGCCACAGCACATCAGCCCAGGCAGAAGTAGTCAGTCCATACCACATGCTGGTATACGAAGCCCTGGCAGAGAAACATGTGAAAGCCTCTCTGGCCCCGGCTAATGTGCGATGTCACGATGTCTGTCAAGGAGGACCCAGGCACCACTCTGTGAGTCCCTAAGCCACAAAACGCCCCAAGCCCAAAACTTGGGATGTTCCCCCTTATACCAGCAGTCCTTAATCGGGATTTTTCTACGGGGTACTCTAGTCCCTATTAAGGACTCTTAGCATAAGAAAAAACCATCCCAAGCCCCAAACCCTCCAACCCCACCTGCTAAACTCTCCTCCAAACAAACCTTGGCAGGCCCAAGAGCATTCTTTGCGGGCAGGCGGCGCCAGTGTACTGGGAGAACTTCAGCACCGCGCGGGATCCGTAAGGACGCCTGAGCATGGTCTGCCGTTTAGGGGTAGATTAGATCGTTGGGGGTTTAGAGCTTTTCTCAGGGTGTAGGGCTAGGGTAAAGGGGTTAGGGCAAAACTGAGCCATAGCGCACACTACGCCAACAAAGCCCACGACTGGGCTCCACGAAGACTCCCATAAAGCCCAAAATGCCTATAACCCGTGAAAACCCAGGCACTAAATGTCTCAATTTTAAAGGGCCGACGCAATTCAACAAAGTCACTGGGAAGCGACGATGATGTCCTGGGGGTTCTCAATCGCCACGATCCTGTGATGTTGGTGCTGGAACTTCCCGTGTTTCGAGCTTTAGGGTTCTGAGACATCACGATACTCTGCAGCAACAGGTTTTGGTCGACGACTGGAGTGGAGCCTTGCAGTCTGAGCTGCTTGGTCTTGAAGCCCTCGTCATCACCCTTGCCAAAAACCCCGAAACTCGAACTCCTTCCTCTTTTTTCCTTACTCATACCACGAACCTTGGAAAGCACAACCCCGACTCAGTCTAGTTTGGGGTTTGTAATTTAGGCTGGGGCTTGCCCCTCCCCACCTCACAAGCTAAACTCTAGCAGTTCAGGGCTTTGTGGGGCATCTCAACCTTCAGGAGTTTCGGAAGAAGCTTCAAGGCTGTAAAGCGAACTAGAGGGCCACGACCTCCTTGCCTTAGAACGCTGCTTAAAGTTACTGCCAATCCACGAACCTCCGTTAACGTCCCCGAAAGAAGGGGACATACGTGTAGAGGGATGCCGGCATCGGAACATCAGAAACCAACCAAAACTCTGAATCCCAAACCCCGTCAAAAGTAAAAGGTTAGATGCTGCCCAAGGGTCATGCGTGCTGCAACCATCAGCTTCTCCCACGTCTTGCCTCCAGCTCTCTGGGGTGCTACTAGGGAGAACGAAGCTCACACTACGCCGGAAGCCCTTAACCCCTATGTCCTAAACCCTAGACTAGCACGCAAAACACATACACCCAAACCCGAAAGCCTAAACGCTGAACCACACTAGACCTAGAAGCCTAGGGGTGTCAAAACATGTGGGCTTCTCCAGGTACTACGCCTTCGACTTCTCCCGGTGCTGGCCGGCAGGACCGGCGAACACTGTAGGGTGAGGGAGGGGTAGTAATTTGCCTTCAGGATGTTTTCGTACAGGGCTTCGATTCTTGTATTCAAGCCCTAGGGGTTTTAGGGCATAGGGTTGCGCATTCAGGCTGTTAGGATTAAAGGGCGCAGGGTTGACTGTGAATAGAACCCTTAACCCTGGACCCCAATCCCTAAACCCTAAACCCCAAGCCCTTAACCCTAAAGCCGTCCGAAGCAAGGGATGAGACGAGCATCCAAGGTGGATGATGTGGATTCCCTCGACGGTGCGGCGGAAGATGTAGCCTTTGGAAGTCTGTCAGGGTTTAGGTTTCAGGGTTTAGGGTTTAGGGTTTAAGGTTTAGGGTTTAGGGTTTCGAGTTCGGAAAAATGGCTACAGATTTAGAGTTTACAGTCTAGTCGAGGTTGAAGATGGTTGTTCAAGGACTTTGAGGTCTGGGTTTTGTGATGGTGAGCATTTGCTACTTCCTGGTGTGCCGCAGGAAGGTATTCGACGCTGAACCCTGCTTTCCTAGAAGGGCTAACTACTAATTAAGCCTCGGGAGTATATAGACATTCATCAAGAAAAGGGCCAAAAGCTACTTGCTCGCCCAGCAAATTCCGGCCCAAGATCCAACACCCTAAACTACGCATAGACCGCATAGAGTTCAAGAGTCTGCACAGCCATGTACATCCGGGAAGCTACAGCTAGCCAGCAGGGGAAATGACACCGGATCCCAAATTGTTAGCAGCCAGCAAACTTTCGCAGGCCCAGGAAACCACAACTCAAAGCTCACGGGAACGTATAAAAATGCCACCTAGATGTGGGCTTGATCTAAAATCCGAACCGTTTTTGGTACCGTACCGGAATAAGACGTATACAGCACGGCCCTGTATTTGAAGCTTTTTGGCTCTTACTACTCTATACCCTCACCAGCTATGAGGAACCCTAAGCCAAACCGCTAACGGCCAACCCTCTGGGCCCCCGGAGGCCTTGGTCCCCCTCATGTCGAGAACAGGGCGCCCCAAACTTTGATTCCACGACAAGGGGCGCTTCATGCGAAAGTCCACGTTGCGGGTGCCAAGGTGCGTCTTGCACACCTGGTCTCGCGCAGGTGGGCAGTCTGCTGGGCATAGGGGTGCGGGGTTTGGGTGTCCAGGGATTGCATGGGCAATAAATCCTGAGAACTGTATTCTGCTAGCTTGAATTACGTTCCTCAACAACAACCGAAACATGTACGCTGGTTTGTACAGAAACCCGTTGGATTAACAACCATGTCAGATTTCAGTGCACGATTTGTGCCGGATGGCCAGCATCATCTGAACATCCTCCTCCTTGGACGCCATGTTTTGCGGTGAGGCGGTTTGTGCTAAGCTGGGCAAGCTGGGTGAGCCAAGAACTGCCTCCATGCAAGGGGTCAGCGACACGAAGACATGAGCGACGTTTGCGAAGCTCCAGTCGAACCTCCAGTGGAACCTCCGGTTGTTGCTACAGTTCCTGTCTGTGCAGACTGGTGCGAGCGAGCATAACAGGCAAAGACATGGTGCCTGCTGGAAAAGGTACTTCTTCTCAGTACACTCGCTGAAGAACTCGATGTAGATCTCGTGGAAGTTGGCCTGTACAGACATTAGAAACAGGCAAGATGATCACAAGGCTGTCAAAACCCATCTACACAGCTCCCCCCCCCCCCCCCCCCCCCCCCCCCCCTGCCTCGCGCGTCACGCGCCGGCTGACCGTGTAGTAGCACAGCCATCGGTAGTGAGCATGCTGGACCTGTGCACTCGTTCCGAGTTCGCCAGTCAAGCCACAAGCGCCTCTCCGGATTTAGGGGATTCAAGCCTTTCAGTCTTAAGGGTCACGGGACTTTAGGGCTTTATGGCTTTAGTTCTTCTAGGGTTTTAGGGCTTAGCGTTGATGGTGAAAATTCCCAAGCCTGTAAACAAATGTTTGCAGTGCCCTACATATTCCCTGCACCCGAAAACCCCAAAACCGCCCTAAACCCTAAAACTAAACAAATCCTACCACCTCCACATCATCCCATCATCTGAGAGGCCCCGGAGGAAGGTCCAGCCTTCTGCTGAAACATCGCCACCTTCTCCTTGATGTTGTCCTCAGTGGCGGTTTTTAGGAGGGTCCCAAAGGATTGTGAGCCGACCATCATTCTTACATCCCCCCCCTGAGCTATGATCGTCACTATTTGTAGTCGTGTTTTTTCATATTACTGCGAGTAATGTACTGTGGCTATTATTACCATTCTCCTAAGTTTTCCTGCCCTCACGTGAGAAACCTGCGTGAAAAGGCGCTTGGGTGCCGGGTTTAGAGTTTCAGGGTCCTCTTGGAACCCAACCTGAGGTCTGCAATATCCTCGCTTCCTTGGCCACCACGTACAAGTAAACAGAGAGAGAGAGAGAGAGAGAAAGAAAGACTAAGAGAGTGCGTGTGGCGTACTTAGTTGAGCTCGCTTAGCTTGTTGAGTTTGTTGAATATTTAAAATCAGTCAGTCGGATAGTTTCGTAGATAAACAGCTAGCGGGTGTAAGGTTCCGGGGTCCATGCTGAGGGTCTAAGGATTAGGGACAAGCCTTACTGGCAGAGTTCCTCATAGTTCATTTCTTCTTCAGTGTCCATCCCTAAGCCCGAAATCCTAGAGCCCTGCATGCCGAAACCCTCGCCTGGCTCAGGCCATTGAAGATCGAGTGGACCGTGTCCTTGACCTTAACAACTCCGCAGCAAGCTGCAGCCGAGTGAGGGTGAGGGTGGGGGGGGGGGAGGGGGGATTAGGGTTTTAGGGTTTAGGGTTTTAGGGTTTTAGGGTTTTAGGGTTTGGTTTAGGGTTTTAGGGTTTAGGGTTTAGGGTTTAGGGGGTTTAGGGTTTGGGGTTTGGGGTTTAGGGTTTTTAGGGTTTAGGGTTTAGGGTTTAGGGTTTAGGGTTTAGGGTTTAGGGTTTAGGGTTTAGGGTTTAGGGCTTAGGGTTTAGGGTTTAGGGTTTAGGGTTTAGGGTTTAGGGGGGGTTAGGGTTTGAGCCAGCGGTGTGAGGGCAACATCTTTCTCTCCCTAAGTCGAGATGGGGTTGAGGGCCAAAAGGGTTTCCGAGTTGCCCAGTTTTCTCTCGACAAACTCCTTCGGGAATGCGCAGGGGGGGGGGGGGGGATACTGAACAGAAACCGAGGTTGAAGGTTACTTACTTCACTACATAGCTTTTCTCATGAACCCAAAAACGAAAGAACAAAAAAAACGGCAAAGCCACCCACAGATCCCAGGTCCCAAGAAGCCGTAGCACAGACACCTCAACCCTAAACCCTAAAAGTCTTGTGCGGGCGTAAACTTTACACAAATTTCCCGAAACCGAGGGGGGAGGGCTGAGGGCTTAGGGGTTAGGTGTCGGGGAGTTCTCAGGGATGAAGTTTCAGGAGGAAACTGGGTAAGCCTCCAGGCAAAAGCAAGGGTAAGGGGCTATAGTTTCTATAGGAAAGGGTTCCTAAGGAGGGGAGAATGAGCAGAGTAGGGAAAGCAAGCATTCTTTGGGGACCCAACTCTTTGAAGCTTCTTGGATACAGAACGATGAAGGACTTTAATCACCACAACTTCTGGCAGAGAGACCACTAGGAAAATGAAGAGTTCCCGACACTTTGTGGCGGGATCTCCATAGGCGTTTCGGGCTCTTGCAGCAACTGATCTGCCTCGCAGTTGGGCGCGCGTGGTTTCGGGCTTTTCAGGGTGAATAGTTGGGCTTAGGGCAGCTATTGGAAGTTTAAACCCTCAACCTGCCTTACAGCTGCATCGGATCGAGGATTACATCCCCAAAATGGGCAGAAGTGCGAGGTTGCAGGGGCTTCAGCATGCAGGTTTGGTGAAGACGAAGCGCGGCCCAAGTGTAGAATTTCGGTGTTCGGGGTTTGGGTTTGGGGGGGTCAGTCACGATGAACCCCCACCCCTCCGCGCGCCGTCATGTTCGCATAGTTGCGCTGCACCGGCGGCTGATCTGAATTTGGCGCAGGTGACGAAATGGGAGGCCAGGGCATGAAGTGCAGAACTGATCCCCCCCCCCCCACTTCTTTGAAGTAGGTGGTCGGGCTGTGGGAAACTCTCTAATGCTGAAGTTCCCCCCGGTCCCGAGGTAGGGGTCCGGCCAAGATTTCTTCTGTATAGCAGTATACATATATATATATATGTATATTTTTATATATAGTATGTATATATATATATATAGTGATCATCGTATGAAGGGATAAAGGGCCAAAGCCTTTCGGTTTTGAGTCTTGGGGGCTTCCGAGGCTTGAAGGGAGAAGGGCTTAGGGTGACATATCCGGTATGTTGAATGATGATAGAACCGCTCAGAAAGTTAGTACGAGTATGTGGAATCCAGCAGCGCCAGCGCCTTCGATTGCTCATCTAAAATTCACGCTATGTCAACCCTGAAGAAACCCTGACTCCACTTTGTCAAAGTTTTGGGAAATTTAGTCGGGCTTCAAGACCTTGGTGGTTTTGGAGTAGGGGTTTAGGGCTTAGGGTGTTGAGCGCCCAGCTCTGGGCAGGTGGCGGAGCCTCTGCCTGGCGTAGCGCACGCTTTCTGGGCAGGGCGGGTTCGACCTGGTAGGGACTAAATAACGAGATCATAAGTATACCCTATACCAATTTGCGTCTCACTAGTGTATACGAACGCCACAAACCTTTTGCAGTCGCGTTTAGCCCACAAGGAAGAAGCGAGGCGCGATGCCCGCTTGGCGATGCTCTGGGCTTCTGTGAGTTCTTGTGGGTTTTCGGGTTGGGGGTTCTAATTCTAAAAAGGATGGCCCGTAATATGACAGGGACAGGGGAAGGGACCAGAAGACGAGATGAAGCCTGCAAGCCCCCCAACCCCCCAAGCAAAGAGTAGCTAACCCAAAACTTCCCACCCCTGCACCAGAAGGACCACATGAAATGCCAGAGATTCACTCAGGACTCAGGGCATGTGCTCCCAGATTTAGGGCTCAGCTAGTAGCCAAGGCCCTAACCCTAAACTGTAAACCCTAAAGCCTCAACCCTAACATCCCAAGCCCCACTTAGTCACACGCAGCCTTGGCCTTGGGCGCCATGCGCTGCTGTTGCGGGGGAGGTGGCCTCAGCTCTTGGGTGTTAGGGGTTAAGGCGTTCGGGGTTTAGGGTTTAGGGTTTAGGGTTTAGTAAGGGTTTAGGGTTTAGGGTTTAGGGGTTCGGGGTTTAGGGTTTAGGGTTTAGGGTTTAGGGTGTAGGGTTTCGGGTTTAGCGTTTAGGGTTTCAAGCTTTGCGTATAGCTAAGGCCCGCCCTGAGGCTCAGCAGCCTGACATCCCTGTCTTTCCGTAGGGAAAGAAAGCAGCCAGAGGCCGTTTGTGCCCCGGCTCGCGGAGACGGTCTCAGGTCCGTGACTAGAAGGTACGAAGCCCTAAACACTGAGCCCTCTAAACCCAACAGAGCGCGCGAACCCTGCAAACCATCTGTAAACCCAACAAGCGCTCTAAACCCTATCAACCCTATAAAAAGCCCTATAAACCCTTCGAACCCAATACCCGACAGGAACCCCTAGATCCGCCAAGTTACCAAGGGTTTAGGGTTTAGGGTTTAGGGTTTAGGGTTTAGGGTTTAGGGTTTAGGGTTTAGGGTTTAGGGCCGGCATGCTTGGTTTAGGGCTTAGAGTCTAGGGTAGGCAATGCATAAGGGTGCTTCAGAGGGCCGTCGCAAGCCTCCAGGGCTCCGTTGCCTTCTTGACGCACATGGACGGGGCTGATCTGAGGCCAGGGCGGCGGGTTCTGCGGTGGACCCATGCTTGGGGGTGGCGGCAAGCCAGCTGGGACCTGGCTCAGGTCGGCTGAGGCATCGAGCACCCTGCAAATCCTTCGGGTTTAGGGGTGTCCGCTTCATTCATAAGAGCCTACCTGGGTACCTTGAAGGATGGTATTCAAGGTGACTTCAAGCGGGTACTTGGGCAGAGGTTCGGATGGCTTTCAAGCCGCAAGGATGGTTAGGTTTTGGAGAGGCGGCTACGCGCTTAGCCGTGCAGGAGCCTAGCCCTTAGTCAACGACAGCATCTGTCTCGTCACTGGAAAAGCCGAAGCAAAAGACTAAACCCCGAACAGGCAAAGAAGGTGCAACTCTTGCATGGGCGGGCTGGAGGCGGTGGTGGACCGGCCTTGTACGTTGCACCAGGAGGGGGGCGGGGCGTGGAGCGGGGGAAATTAGGTTTGTGGTTCAGGTTTTTTTTTTTTTTTGTGGTGGTAGTGGTGGGAGGTCAGGGTTTTCAGGACCGAGGGGCTTTTAAAGGTTTGGGGCTTTGGGGGGTCCACTCGATATTGCTCCGATTCCTGGCGCTGCGCAGCATTCCCAATTGACCCTACTGATTCGCGCCCACAAATACTCAGCAGGATCTGGGACTCGAGTCTCACCTCATGGTGTTGAGAACTACGAGGGCTCCCGGCCCTCCACATCTCAAGACTGCTTAGGCTATGCATGGAGGTACCCTCGGAACCTTGAGGGAGGCTGAGGGAGCAGGGGGACCGAAGTTTTCCGAACGGCCGGGTGGAGCTTATGTACGAAAACTGGGTTTTGGTGCTTGGGACGTACCAAAAGGTAGTGTGGAACAACCGCAAGTCAATTTTCAGTAGGGTGTCGGGCTTCGGCGCTTTTTTTCGGGCCGAAGGCTATGTTTAGGTGTTATAGGGTTTAGGGGCTCAGGGTAGTGTAACCCTACAACCCTATAACCCTATAACCCTAACCCTATAACCCTATAACCCTATAACCCTATAACCCTATAACCCTATAACCCTATAACCCTATAACCCTATAACCCTATAACCCTATAACCCTATAACCCTATAACCCTATAACCCTATAATTAACCCTATAACCCTATAACCCTATAACCCTATAACCCCATAACCCTATAACCCTATAACCCTATAACCCTATAACCCTATAACCCTATAACCCTATAACCCTATAACCCTATAACCCCAAATCCCAAACCCTCTGGCCGGCCCCGTCAAGCCCGGGGCAGGGGGCTCGCGCTCTGCTCGCTGCAGGGTGTCGCGCCTTAGGGCTTGTAGGGTTTAGGGTTCAGAGGGCTCAGGGTTTAGGGTTCAGAGGGCTTAGGGTTTAGGGTTGAGGGTTCAGGCTGCTTGGGGCTTTGGGCCCGAGGGGTTCACGCTGTTTAGGGTTTGGGGTTCAGGCGGTTGAGGTTGAGGGGTTTGGTGCTTGGGTTCAGGCTACTTGGAGTTCAGCGTTCTGGGTTTTGGGTTGAGCTTGTATAAATTTAGTTACTTGACGTTTCACACGTAGTTATGAATACGGCCACAAGCTAGCTCCTGAGCCCAGATGCTTGCAGCCCGGCTTACAACTGTCAGGGCCCGTGGCTTACCTTCCCCTGTGGATACACACCCTCACTGCCCCGCAACCATGATGCGCTTATGAAGGGGGGTGCCCCCCCCCCCCCGCCCCTCCCCCCCCCCCCAAAACCTTCTTGGCAAAGTATCCTCAAGAATCTATGGCCTACAGCTGCAGGGAATGTTTGGGTGCGCAGCTTTTTGGAGAGATGCTTGGGTATGGCTTAGGCTAGGGTTTCTTGGGCTTCGGCGTCATCCATCTTCATTCAGCCGGTTGCAGGTTTCGGGGCCTAGGGTTGAGGGTTTAGAAGGTTTTCAGGTTTACTTAAAGCTTGAAATTGGAATCTGGGGGATGCTAGTGCCCCCGAGCCCTCATCCCAAACTCAAACCCTAACCCCCAAACCCGAACTAAGAACCTAAAACCCTAAATTTTCAAAAAAAAAAAAAAAAAAAAAAAAAAAAAAAAAACTAAGAACCTAAAAACCCTAAATTCTCAAAATCAACCAGCAACAGGACGCCCAAAGGTGTGCAACTCACGCAGGCTGAGGGCGGCTCTTGATGCCCTGGGCCCGTGCAAGCGGGTACGGCAAAAAACTAAAGAGCCCAACTCCTTTCTTAGGTGGCTGTTGGTTTAAGCCCCTTGTAACCTGCAACAGTCAGGCTGTGGATTCTTAAGGTCAGATAGGGTTGCGGGACCTCAAGGTATGATTAGCTGCTTCAGCACCTGCTGCGCTGCCATGTGCAGATGACTAGGGTATTGGGATGAATGGGATGGACAGCCCAAACCTAAGCAAGAAGCGTCTCAACCCTAAAGTAACCCCTACCAGATGCTCGAAGAGCCCTAAATCTTGCAAGGCATAGGAGTCGGGTCCCGCAACCTGCAGACAGTCTCCCTTCAACGGCTGGACCTTGTACATAGGGAAATGTAGGGTCTAGAATTTTGGGTTTGGGGTTGTGAGGCAGGGGTGTTGAGCCGGCGACGGGTTTTTTGTACCTTTCTGTTTTTTTGACTCAAGGGGTTTAGGGCTTCACAGGCCGGGCATGTGAAGCTCAAGGGTCCCTGGAGTCGAACTTCGCATCCCTGAACCCGACACCCCCCCTCCCTAAGCCCTGGGTCGGCAGCTGGGTGGTGGATCCACCGGCTCAGTGTTCCTGCGCCCACCGGGGCTTGCGGGCGAGGTGTTGGACTTCCGGTGTAAACCCTAGGGCCCCCCCTTGGAGCTTCAGATGTAGAATCGAGGGTTCGGCTCAGGTCCAGGTTGCAGAGCTTTGGGATTTGGGGGCCTCGGGGTTCTGGCGTTAAAGGGTTTTTGCGTTTGTTTGGGGTCACGCTCTGAAGTTGGCTTGTTGGCTTGTTGAACGAGGGTCAGGCTTGAAAGGGTCTTGGCATTTCTAAATTACTCTCCACTGCAAGCTTGAAGGCAACAACACACAGGGGTTTAGGGTCACACTCAGACCAATGAAGATCCTCAGGTACATGGACGCAAGGGGGGCAGTGAGGCATGTTTGACATGGCAGCAGCTTGGGATTCGCACTGGACCAGGACCAGCAAGACAGTCCTACATCCTGACTCCAGTTCGCAGATCGGATGGGGAGCCCTGAAAGTAACGGATCAGGGACTACGAGGAGAGGAGAGTGGCAAGTGCCAGAACTGCCGACACAAAACTAAGTAACCTAAGCCACACGTCCGCTGCGCCTGGGCCATAGTCTTCGCCATCCAGAACTGGCCGTGCGGTGAGAAAAAAACCCTCAACTAAGAAATACTCCTTAATACCGAAAGGCATGTGCAGATCCCCATGGCAACTTGAGGAAAGTATTAAAAGCTTATTAGGTATCCTAAGGTGCACGGCAGTGGATTCGGTGCTCATGTAGTTAGACTATACGGCTTTGTGGTTGAAAGGTTTCGAAGAAGAGCCACCACCAAGGCTATGCAAGCAGGGGGAAGGGGCAAAAGGGGGAGGGGAAGGGGGAGAGGGAGGGAGGGAGGGGGAATCAGGAGGCACTGCCTCTTGGAAGTAGACTCCCCCACGTAGTCATATCATTCCCACTTCTCACGAAGAATCGGGGTTTGGCCTTGGAGTCTGACAATTCCAAGAAACAAAGAAACACGAAGCTTGCACATCGAAGTTGCACGGGGGACGGCGGGGGGGGGGAGGGGGGAGGACCTCCTTCAAGTCGGGCCCCCCTACTTGAAGGTCTAGATCTAGGGACGACTCTTTCATCCCCACTTGAACTGCCCATGAGCTGGCCCCCCCACCCGACCCCAAAAGCCCTCAGTTCTAGACCCCAAAATGACGATTACCGATGAACCCTGAATCCGAAATCAACTGAAATCCCAGACCCGCGAAGCATCCAAACAGGAGACTCGCCTGTGACAGTGTGCAGTTGTGGTGGCGGCGGAAATCTCAATCGCCTGAGGTGGCTCCATCTCGGGTCTGGGGTGTTGAAGGCATGCCCCAACTCCCAAAGGGTCCACGTGCCCATATACTAGATACATCGACACCAAAAAAACTCATGTAGCCACTCGAAAACCTTTAACTCCCCTAGCTTTTGAGCATTCTGGATTTGCAGAGATCTACTGCCCCCCCCCCCTCCCCCCTGACTTCGAAATGGAGGTTCGAAACGTCAGCATTTCAATCGGGCTATCTGGGCTTTTACATTTTTCTGCTTCCAAGGCGCTCTTGACACCATGCAGTCTGCTTTTTCTTGCTGTGGGGGGCTCCCGACCCGAAACCTTGCTTCATCTGGCTGTCGCCTGCGTATTTTCAGGGAGAACCACGAAGTCCCATGAGGCCGTGGCACTCCAGGCTTTACACGGCTTAGGGCTCCTAAGGGTTTGATACGTAGTGTTTGGGCTTTCGGGTGGCCAAACTCCGAACGACAAAAGCAGCAACCCCTCACCTGATCGCTCCACCGCATGGGTCCAGCACTGTGGGATGTGACAGGGGAGTGCACAAGCAGAACGTCAGGCCGGCATACCTCAAATAACTCAGTCAGCCACTTCTCCATAGTCAAGCGATTCACGTAGTCCTCACTGAGGCACTTCTCGTGCAATACCTCCTGTCAAAGCGCTTGAGCATCTCCAGATGATGGCATCTCCAGATGATGTACCCAAGTATGTTCAAGGCTCCGTCCCCTCTTCCGCACAGCACGATCTGAATCAACCCCCTTCAATTTCATAGATTCATGGACTTTTGCGGCTGGGGTATGGGTAGGTTTAGGTCTAAGGTTTTCTTACAGGCTCTTGAATGTGGGAGTCGGGTGCCCTACGTGGTCCCAGTAAACGGCGATAATAGTGGAACGCAAGGCGACTCATTCCTCAGCACCTTACTGAGACGTAAAAGGTGTAGGGTTTCAAGCTTCACGGCTCAGGACTCGGAGACATCTTCAAAAAGTCCGAGACAAGGACAACAGCTTGGGGCTTCTGTAGCTTTCAGCGTCGGGCTTTGGAGGTTAGAGTCTACGGCTCCAGGGATTCAGGCTTCACCCCCTCAACCCTAAACCTTCACCTTGCTGTCTCTTTTTAGGGTTCTACAGCCCACGAAAGGAACCCTGGAGTGAGGATTCCCTTGCTCTTCTCCGCTAAGAACTGCGGGGGGCTTTATACGGGCGAGCGTTTAGGGTCTCCAGGGGCGTGGGCTTCACAACCACAGGGTGTAGAGTTACAAAAGCTGGATGTGCAAAGTCCTCTGGCAGATGGTCCAGAATCAGGCGCGCATAGTTGATCTGCGGTTTGGGGTTTTTGGGAACTTTGGGGGCCACTTCCAAGCACAAGAGTCTCGAGACCCCATCTGGCAAACTCCAACACTCGAAAGCCCGAAAGGGCTGGAAGCCCTGAACACTTTAAACCCTCGAGTGAGGACCAAACCTTGAGCTGCAAATGTGAGCCCCTTCAGCTTTACTAAGAAAACACGACAGTAAGGACGTGAGACAGAAAGGGGGAGGGAGAGAGAGAGAGAGAGAGAGAAACGAGATAACGGGAGAGAAGAGAGAGAACATAGAGCGCAAAAAAGGCTTTAGTGTAGGATTCCCGAAGCACGCATTCATCGAGACTCTGAACCCCACAAACCTTCATCAAACTCTACAGTAAGCCACATTACCTGAAACCCAAGCGGAGTTGGCCTTAAATGTTGGCCCTGTTGTGTTTGTGTTCCTTGTGATACTCCTTTCTTCCTTCTAGCTGGAGAACTAAAAAAGGTTCAGTCCAATCCAGATGTTCTGGTCTTGGGGTTCTGCGGGTTATGGTTTAGAGCTTTGCAGTATAGGGCTTTTCAGGGTTCAGAATGGTTCAGAGCCTACGGAGGGGGGGTGGGGGGGCGGCAGGGCACCGACGCGCGACGTGGAACCATCTCTGGGCCGGCTTATGCCCGCAGCATCCTATAGACACTTGCATATGCATATCAGCATATCTATACATACACGTCAGGGTTTTGAGGTTCACAGTTCAGGGTTTAGAGGTCAGGGGTTTGGGCTTTGGATTCAGAGGTTTGGGTTCTGTGTCGGACGTCGTAAGGCCCAAAGACCTAACCCCTCATCCCGGCTTGGCTTCGCGCGTAGGCGGCCAGGGGCGCGGCTGCTTGCTCCAGGTGGACCAGCCTAGGGTGTATGGTTTAGCCGAAGGAATCGGATCATAGAGCAATTCAAACATTCCCGGAATGGTTACGTAACGGCCTACGTGGCTCGAATGGGTACGTGGGTATAAGGATCATCTTGCTTCTTGTCTAGGCTCCCGCATATAGCAACAAAACCAATAGACCGTAAGCCGCGTGGTGTCTAAACGCTAAACCCTGACACTATATCCTAAACTTCTAAGCCCTAAACCCTACACCCCAAAACCCTGTTGGAGCTGACTTCATTTTGGGCGCGCAAGGTTCAGGCTTCAGGACAAGGGTAGGCTGTTGGGGTTTGGAGGTCTAGGGAAGTTTAGGGGTGTCGGGCATTAAGGTTTAGAGGGTTTTGAGGCTAAGGGAAGTTCCGGGTTCAGGCTTTTAGGGCCTTATCATTATCATTGCTTTGACATTCAGTTTGCGCCTCACGGTCTGCTAAGCCGCTTGCTGAGCTAGCTTGAAGCATGCCATTGGCCAGCGCATCAGCCTGAGCTTTCGGTTGAGGGTTCTTGGGCTGTAAACCCTAAAACCTAAACCCTAAACTTGTGGGGTTCCCATAGGTTTAAGACTTTAGAGCTGACTTAAAAAGGGATAAGGCCGATCCCCTTTGCGAGGAAAGAACAAGCCCCTCAGATCTGATGCCGAAGTCCTGGGTCAGCCTTTCCTCCACACGGATTTTGGGCTGCCGGTTGAGTGCTGATGCCAGGGTGTGATTGAGCACAGATCTTGCATAAAACAGTTCGCCACATCAAGAAAACGCTTAATTAGAAGTCAAAGTGAAGCGCAGCCCACAAAGCCACTAAACTTGACCCCTTTCTCCGAAACGTTTTGGGCAAGAAAGCACACCATGCACCCAGACACCCCAAAACCTCTGAATTAAGTGACGAGTACTCTTTACATCGGCTTGGGAGTGTAGGTACCAATCCTGTGAGACCCTAAACTCAGAGCTTGGGCCACGGGTTCAGGGTACTAAGCCCTAAATTCCAAACCCGAAACATGTTCGTTTTTGGTACACACAGAATGGGACTTCCGCTGCTTGCTGCCTGCGGGGCCTACTAGCCGAGGCTGTCAAAAACCCCAAACCCACAACGAAATCATATCCTGCAAGACAAGCGCAACCATGCCAAAGAAACTGCACAAGCCCTGCCCGAAGCCTGAAGCCTGACTCCCGAGCCGTACACCGGTCCATCAGCTGGTTGAGCGTGTTCAGCGCAAAGTTCAGCTTTTGCGGGTCCGGAGGATTTTGCCTGGACCCGATGGAGCGTTGATGATTGCTGCTTGAGGTTCAGGGGTGGGATTGCGAGCTGTTGGGGTCTGAGGTGCAAAGGCCCGGCAACATTCAAATGCTGACATACCAGTTTCTTGGAGGCTCTTCTGCCTTGTGAGTCTATGGCTGGCTGCGGCTGCTGCGACTGCTGCTGCTGCTATTCTTGCCCCTGATACGCTTTTGTGTTTTCATGTAATTGGGTTTTGTCTTACTAAGGAACAGTGTGTTGAGGGGTTTGGGCGGTTTTTGGCAAGCATCCTGGATTCTAGGTTTGTGCTGCGTCTTCCAGAATGGGCAGATTTCATGGCCACTTGCCTTCGTAGCACCGGCACAGGGGTGATGGGGTTTTGGGGCTGGGGATTCTTGTAAGGGTTTTTAGGGCCTAGGGGCTTAAGGGTCTTAGGGCTTGGGGGCAGGTTTTAGGCTTGAGGGCTTGGGGTTTAGGGGCTTTACGCAAGGTGGCTCAGCATCTGCGGGGTACTTCTGCCAATACCCTGGACTCGAGTTTGCACCGAGCTGCTTCAGCTCTCTAATTCACACGCGAACCCCAAGCCCCTTGTCTAGTAAACTACAGTACCCATTGTCCAACAAGGACCTGAACCCTTGCACACTCTCGTGCAGAACCGCACAAAAGGAAGCCTCGGGGCTGTAGGCTGCATGTTGGGACCCTTAACCCTAAGCCCTCTACAGCCTCTGCACCCTGAAAACCTTAAGCCCTAAACCCCTTTAAACCTAAACCCTGGACACCCAGCCTACAATTGCTAAACAGAGCCGGCTCCACGACATACCCTCGATCACTGCCGTCGACCAGACTTCGTACTCGCGCTCCTGGCCGAAGAATTCCATGAGGCTTGCAAGGCTTGGGGAGCTTTACAAGTATAGGGCTTTATGGGGCTTAGACAAGGCTTTATAGGGTTTCCGTAGGCTTGGGGATACTCGGGTAGAGCAAGGATTTGGCCGACACTTAAGAGGGAAGGACATGTCGTGGCTCGTCCCTAAACCCCAAAACCATCCAGCCACATAAACCCTAAACCCCTAAACCTCCCCAACCCTAAAAACCCGAGCCGCTACCCTAAGCCCGAAACCCCGAACCTGAAAAAACACCTCAACCACAATCCCAGACCCCAAGGGCTTCGGGTTTAGGGCTCGGGGTTCAGGGTCACTACTGCTTCTCGCTGCGGTCATCATGCTGTTATCAGTGCAAAATGGCCCCAACAACCCAAAGCCCTAACGTGACCCCCAGACCGGGAGCATTAATACTCCCAAGCCCTAAACCCTAACCCTACAGACCGCGTCGCTTAAGGTTTCAAGCCAGGGCGTCCTCAAAGAGGCCGTGCTTCAACATGGCAGCCGTGAGGGAAACGGCAATGACATGCATCTGGCAGGTGGGATCAGGGGTTGGGGTTTACGGTAGGATTTAGGTTGGGGGGTTGTGACTGCAGAGTTAAAGACAGGGCTATGGAGTTGAGCCGTTTGGGGGTTCTGTGCGCTTTCACCTTTTTACCCTCTGAGAGTTAGACCTGGGATCCGAACCTCTAAACACCCAACTCCTCAGCCCTAAAAAACACCACAGCCACGCGTGGCTTCATAGCTTGGCATACTCAGGCTTTCGGACTTAGGGGTTTCGGGCTTCAAGAGGCTGAGGGCTACACAGAGGCATCTAAGGCTGTACTCCTAACCTCACATGACACCCTGCAATCGTCTGGGTGTAGGTTCCAAGTCGGAGACCTAAGCTCCTCAACGCCTGCCTGCCTTGCGACACCTCTTCTGTCAAGACTGATCCGAAACCGCAAGCCCTTAGCTTGGCACACCCCAAATCCAAAAACAGCTCGCACCCAGGCTGTCCGTCCTTCGGTGGGTAGTCGTCGATGGCCACCCTGTGGCGTTCCGGACGCTCGCAGCGGGGATGCTCGGGGGCAGAGTAATTTGGGTTCAGGGACTTCGGGATTTTGGGGGTTTCTGGGGTGTGGGGTTTAGGGGCTCAGGGGTTTACAGGTTGTAGCCTTAAATTTAGCACTATGCAAGGTTGAATACAGGTAGCCTTGAGGTGCGGGTGACACGCGCAAAGTGCCAGACCACACCGGCGATGACTAGCCAGAAAATCCAGGAGATCAGGGTTTAGAGGCTATTGACAATGCCTAGGGCCTAGGGTTTAGAACAAACCCGCGCCTCCGAAAGCACTATGATCTCAAACATGCCTGAGTCCGACATGGCAGGTCCTAATCCCTCTTTGCGACCCTGTAATCCCGACTGCCGAGCCTCCTAATGGAAAAATCTGTTCTCGCCTGGTGAGGTTGATAAGGAAAGCAGAGCGTGGCCGCAGGTATCTGGTTCCTGTAGGAACACAGCCCTTCTATTCCGGGTACCCAAAAACCCGACACTACACACTTGAAGAATTGCATACGTGGCCGCAGAATCTCAAGCCCTACCTGAGATCAGCAATGAAGGCGTCCACGATCTTCATATGAATCTGGCAGGCAAGGGCAGAGCAGGCGGACGCGGCGGGGGGGGGGGGGGGGGCGTCCGAGCGGTGAGGGCTTCAAGGGTTTAGGACTCGAAGGTTGAGAGGGCTTAAAGCTTGTAGGGCTTTAAGGTTCGGGTTTAGGGGTTGAACGTTTAGGAGCTCTTGCCGGCATGTAGTGTGTCAAGAGCGTGCACACAGCTGACCCTCTGATCTGCTCGGCTCCAGCACCTCCTTCCGTGTGCCATCTGCTGCTGCCGCATATTGCACCATCGTCTGGGCGCGCAACGCAACAAGGCGTTGGCTTTCAGTGCTTTCGGCTTACGGCTTGAGCATGGTACGTCGGGGCATGAGTTTCCTGCTATTTCAACGGGTCGATAACCCCTCATGAAACCCAAATAACCCTAAGCCCGAAACCCTAAAACCCTGAACCCTAAATGCTGAATAACTAATTAGCACCGAGCATCGTAACTTGTCAACCACCACCGCTCCAAGTGGGACATTCGGATTGAATGTCAAACAATTGCGATTTGGGGGGGTTGGGCGTTTAGGGTTTGGGGTAGAGATCATGGCCGAAGTGCTTCAAGGGGTTGGGGACCACTCCTGTCTGAGACCAGGACCGCCACTCCGTGTTCCCTTGGATGAAGGACACTGGACTTCTGAGAGAAGGGACTGGGTTTCGAGCGGTTGGAAGAGTGGCAACACCCTAAACAAGAAACCATAAAGGGCAGAAATTCAGGTTGCCCCTTCGGGGTGAGGACTGGAGCTTTAGGGTGTAGGGCTTAGGGTGTGCATCTTGTGCATCAGTACTCGCGCGGAGTGTGCGCCTTTACGTTAGACTTCGGAGCCGACTTTCAAATGAAACATAAAGTTTAGGGCTCTATATAGCCCTGCCTAAACCCTATAAACCCTAAGTCACCTTGTAGAAGGTTGAACGATGTTCTGAGTACTTCTCATAAAAAGCCCTAGTGTTTGGGTTGAGGGTGGTATACCTCTCAATACCATCCCCGAAGCTTCTTATGAGCTGAGAGTCCAACATAGGGGTTTAGGGTTTAGGCCTAGGGTTTAGGGTTTAGGGCTTAAGGCCTCAGATCACGAAACGCAGGTACCGAGACCGGAGCACACTGATCTCCGAGGTGTAGATCCTGGCCCAGCGCGGATCTTCGGGGCCAAAACACCCCTAAACCCTAAACCCCAAACCCCCAACACCTAAACCCTAAACCCTAAACCCCCCATTCTAAAGGGGCACCAACCATGAGCCCTCAACTTGCTGCCAGGAGCACTTGCGCATGAGCTGGTCCACCTGCCTTAGCCAGAGCTGGGCGTGCTCTGCAATTTTGCGGCGGTTGCAGCAAGTTGCTAAACCCTACTCAACCCCGACACACCCGAAGCCCTATAAACCCTAAACCCTTCTTTATAGCGGGTTCCACACTGGCACCCAACCTGGGGGGGTTTCCTAGAGCCCTTTGGCTGGGGTTTGCCTTGGACCTCTAAGGTGGTTCCCGCATTTTGTTTGGACCCGTTTTAAGGATTCTTTAGGAAGTATCAGGGCCATATTAAGAGTATGCTAAGGGAAACCTTTCGGGGTACGGAGCCTTCATCCCTTGATGGATGAGATGGATGAGGCCAACATCAGATGCCCTTGAGATAAGAAGGTGCCCTGAGGTTCTTACTCAGGGACTAGGTTTAAGGTTTAGGTTAAGACAGAAAGGGTTTCTCTGAGGGGGCCATAACAAGCTTCAACCCGAGCCCTCACCGCCCCACTGTTTTGCAAAGGTAACTGGCGGCAGAGGCCCACGCTCTTCGATCCACTGCGCCTGATCTGGCGAGGGCGCCTGTCAGGGAGGCCACTATTATGGTACTGCACGGTGCTTAGATAACCCGACTTCTAAATCCATGAACCCCCCATGTACACCTACCGATCCCGGGAACACTGAGTTCCTGGCGGCCCTCGATGCTTGCGCGGCCTGCAGCCATCCAACACACCCTGCACCCGAATCTCTAAACCCTGAACCGAAACCTTAACTCATGTCTGAAGCTCCGGGATGCTAGTTACACCTCCTGGTTTTTTTGGGTTCAGTCTCGCTCTGGATTCGGGAAGTTGGTATCCTCTACCTAAGCGTTTCGGGTTCAGGGCTGAGGGGTCGCCCCAAGTTTGAAAGCCGAGCAGAAACATGCGACGGCCTGCGCCTGCGCCTGCGCCTGGGCCTGTGCCTGGGCTTGCGCCTGGGCTTGTGCCTGCGCGTGCACGTGCACAGGTGCTGCCTGGCACAGGGGATCGGGAACCTTTGAACATCCCTATACGCTATGTTGTTTCAGCTGCCACGGGCCCTGACTTGAAGGTTTAGATTTTGTACATGCAGCTGTAAGTGAGGTGTACATTCTCAGTGTACTTACAATCGCCATACTTAAACCCATCCATGAACCCTCAAGCACCTGTGTTGGGAGTACCGTAATGCGATAACTCAGCAGCCCACCTCGTTTGAACAGGTCCGTTGAAGCATGTGCGACCGAGCGTATCGGAAAACGTCGAATCAGTCAGGGTGGTTGGGCCGGTTGCGATGTGCTTGCTGAAGTTCACGAGTGAAAGTTCGAAGTGGGCCAACAATGAACTCGCTCTGCTGATCCAGCGCGCATGTACAAGATGCTCTATGGTTTTCGTAGGGTTTAGGAAGTTGCCTTCTCCTGTCTACTACATGACTCCGACCATTCGGCAGACCATGGGGGTCTCAGGCCATGTGAGGCCCAGAGTTCCTGGCCACCCGTGACAACCCCAGCGGCCTGAGCAGGTGCCTGCGGCACTGGTGCTGGTGGAGGCGGCATGGGCCTCATCTTCGCGTTGCTTTGGTTTCTGGGACAACGATGACAGTGCTTTGACATCTTTAAGTCGTTAAGGCAACGAGGCTTGCACTCCTGAAGCACTGCGAGAGCCCTTAAACACCCAAACCCCACGCCGAGCCGGCTGCGGCGGCCCTGTGGGCGGCCCTCCCGTCATGGGAGCTGCCGCAAGCGGCACGCCCGGAGGGCTCCTCTTGACTGCGCTTTCCGGGAGCAGGTGGGGGGGTAGGAGTAATTTCGGTCTTGGGTTGTTCGGTTCTGTTGTTAAGCGTCGTCCGATGTAGGGAGTATGGGGGGATCTGGGGCGTTTGCAGCTTCAGGTCGAAAGCGCTGTGCTGTCCGATGACGCTGCGTCTGTGTTCCATTCCATCAAGATGCTCTCTGGAGGCGAGCGCCGCTTTTCGGCCGCGGCATCCTCGATAAATCGCTACGCTGGGCTAACCCTCGTAACTCTCGCCGTTATGGGCACTTGCACCTTCTTCGCATGCAAATCGTGTTTGACCTGCTCTGGTGATGAGGATCATGGTGATGAGGATGATCTCTTGCTCGGGATGCGCTTTGGCCGTTTACAACGCTGCCGGGCTTTCGGGCCACCTGTTGTTTGTAAGCTTTCGGCACTTTCGGCCACTGCAGAGCTGTGTAGGCCTTACAGGGAAAACATGCTACAGCACTCACCCTTAAGCCCTATAAACGCGTAAGCCTTAAATCCTGAAACCCCCAACCGATAGTCTAGGAAGTGTGTTTGGGGGAGGCTGGGGGTTCGCAGGCGGAATTTCAGGGTCTACATAGAGGAACTTCGAATACTATACGGAAGGGGACACTTATAGCCTACCGTGAACCTCCAAGTACTGCGCTCGCTGGGCCCAGGGCGATGGAATCTCCGCCGCAGGCTGCGCGCGCGGGGCCTGAGCATCCGTCTTTTTCTTTTGAATGCCCAAGTATGAGGCTCCCAGCGTATGTTCTGAAAGCCTTGAACCCAGAAGCTCGCATGATGAACCCTGAACCCCCAAACCCTGTAATCCTACACCCCATAATCTTATGCCCTTGAGATTTATCTTGAGCGCACTGAAAAACATTATGCACAATTTGTTCTGCACCCTCCGCACATCCACACAGGGGTTGATCACGTAGAACTTGGGAATTGCTCTAACTTAGGGTCCACGTACATGTCCTTTCAGATAGGATCCCTTGTCATCCCCCCCCCCCCCCCCCACAACTCCTTGGAACCTTGAGGTTGAAAGTTGCCACTGTTTTTTTCGTCAGGGTAGAGCCCTGCCGCCAGAGCTTCGTGAGCCCCAACGCCAACCTTGAAATCTTGAGGTTTCGGCTTTGCGGGCTTTAGGGACTTCGGGATCCTAGGCACCAACCCATGGGATCCTCGACCCTGACGCCTGAATCTCTTCTACCCGGTGCCCTCCATGGGGAGCCCAGCGGGTGCTGCAGCTGGCATCAACTTCGGATACCGATTCTGCCTCAGGGGGTCATCTTGCAGACCACAGGGCGCGGGCTTCAACCTGATACCCTCAACCCTGAACCCTCAACCCTAAACCCTGAAGCCGTGATTCCAGGTGGTGGGGTCTGGTGTCGAGGCTCGTGGCCTCTGAACTCACAGGCTCAGCGACCACCCCCTGCCACTTCAGGCCCGAGCTGCTCACAAAACTTGATATCCGCACCATTCTGTGGCACGTGCTCGTATACAAAACCCTTTCTACATATCATAGGCATGTACACACGCACGCCTCTATACATTTCATGATCTGTCGCTCATGCACTCCCCAGCATGCGTGAAACCAGCCGATGGGACGTGCGGGCTTGATTCCTGAACCACGCAGGCTGAACCCGGGATGATATGCCCACTCGCTGCGCCCCAAGACCATAGCACTGGGAGAAAGTGGGGCGCAGCTCTGACTGTGGCACTGGACGGGAGCTTGCTCTCTCTCCCTGCCTCCCTCCACACAGCAACAGCTTAGGACCTGAGGATCTCTTGGTCGCACAGTAACCATATTCAAACAATGGTGCCCTTTTTGGGTTTGGTTACTTTATAACCGAACCTTGAACCAAGAAAAGAGGGCATCTTCAGAGTCCTGATCAACCTCAAGTCAAAGACATTGTCACTGTCATCGCTGGCAAGCAGCGCTAAGTTCTCGAGGTCACGGACCTGCACGCTCTGTGCGTCAAGGGTTTAGGACAGTCGGCGTCCACAGGGCTCAGGGTTTGTAGGGCTCGTGTACAACAAAATTGGGTTCAGTCTTTGGGGTCCTTAGTCTATGGGGGTGCAGGGTTTCTAGGCTTGGTAGGGTCACATGGGGCACAATCGATCTCTGTGTCTACCATACCTCACGGCAGGGGGTGGGGGGGGGGGGATTCCCAGCAATCCCCAAACTCTCAATCCTCTTAATTGTTGGACTCTGGCAGTAGTACTCAGGATTACTCAGGGGGGCTGGGCATTCTTGGCGCAGTAAAGAGCAGAAGCACAGGGGCTCAAAGGGGAAATCTTTGCAATAAAGCTTCCCGAGGCTTTGGGCCCCAATAATTTGGGGCAGAGGCGTCTTTTTCACCAGCAGCTTGTGAATCCTTATGAAGCCATTGCCGCACAGCAGCAGCAGCAAGAAAGTGTCACTTTGATGTATGGGTTCAGGTGGTGCCGCTGCTAGCCGCCGCAGAACTACGTCCATCGTCATCACTCTGCTCCTTCCGTGAGCCCCACTCGGGTTTAGGACATTTTGGGCTTCAGAGTCCAGTTCCGGGGGGGAGGGGAAAGGGCCGGAAAGGGCGGGTGGTGTTGGGGGAAGGTTGTTTGCAGGTCTTTCAAAAGGGTTTGGGGGCCTTCTTACGAAAGCCTTCGGTTCAGGGCCTCCTCTTCCTGGAAGGCGAAGCCCTGCAAGCGGCTGACGGGCCGAGTGGGATAGGCCTCCGTGGCTGCGCCCGCAAGGCGAACGCACAGGCATGCAGGTGGCCGGCGTGCGCTTTTTTGGGTTTGGGTTTGGAAAGGGACACAGCCGGGTTCTGGGCTTCATACGGTGCCCTAATGTTAGGTTGCATTGGGGGGTACGACCTTGGGGGGACAATTAAGGGTGAAGGGGGCGGGGCTGGGGCGGCGGGGAGGGTGGGCCGAGATGAAAACACGATCAAGGCCACCCGAGAGACCCAACAAAGTTGATGCCTGCCTCTGACTTGTTGAAGTTCTTCAGATGCAGGTGCAGGAACAAAGGTCCATCGCGCGAGACGATCCGATTGGCGCAGCTCAGCATCGTGTACTCGGACTTTAGGTACTTTCGCGGATTGCCAGGAATGCAGACGCGAAGCGGGCGCAGGCGCGCTGGCAGGTCGGGTGCAGCACCTCTACGCAGCCGATGTGCATAATGAGTTAGATCTCTCTGCAGGTTCGGCCAGTCGGTATGCCTGGAGATGGACTTCACCGAAGGCAGATGCAGCTTGAACTCCACATCCGTTGGTGCCTTGACAAACTTCAAGTGCGCCTCTAAGATGGTCAGCTCCTCGGTCTGGCTGTCGATCACGAAAGTCGCTTCCTCCAACTCCCGGACGACCTGCAATGTCTCGAGGGCATCCATCGCTCCGGATCCAGCCGTGGAAGCCCTGCTGCTGGCCTGACACGGCCAGTGGAGCAGGTGGAGCTGGACATAGAACTCGGGGGCTTCCAGTGATTTGAGGGCTTCTGAAGCTTAGGTGCAAGTTGGCAGCAGCTTCGGGCTTTTGAGGAGTCGGGGTTGTGATTTATGAGTCCGGGTCAGGCCGTTGGGGGTTCAGCAAGCCCTGATGAAACCCTGAAAGAACCCTTAAATAGCTCCTTGCCTGGGATGACAACGGCCCGTGCGCGGGCGCCGTGCCCTGAGCCAAAGACACTCGAATTTGAGGACTTGGGAGGTGCTAAACACCCTGAGCCCCTTTCAAGCACAGGCAAGGACCGCGGTCGTGCAAAAAAGCCCTGCAGACGAACCCACGACCTGGACGATGATGCTTCAGCATCCATTGACGTACTCACATCACCGAGAAAGAAAAGCGGTTTGCCGCGCAACCGAAAGTTCTAACCCCTAAACCCTACTCCAAAGTCAAGCAGCAAATTGTGGCCATCGCCAAGGCTGAGGGACACCGCCCGGAGGAGCCGGGATTTCAGGACGACTGTCGGTGTCCTTTGGGGTTTAGGGTTTAGGGTTTAGGGTTTAGGGTTTAGGGTTTAGGGTTCAGGGTTTAGGGTCTAGGGTTTAGGTACTTGCTGAAACCTGAAAACCTGCTGCCTGGAATTGAGGTTTAGGGTTCTAGGATGTTCTAGGGCATCCATAAGTAGGACCGTGAAAGACACTTGTGCCAAAGCCAAAGCACCCGCGCGAAGCCTGTGCACCACATTTCCAGACAGAGACCTCAAGCCTATAAGTAAGCTCAAACTCCGAACTCCCCCACGAGCCCTCATTAAACCATGACGCAAAACACCCAAACGATCCCAAACGTCCTTAACCCTAAAAGCCGATATACGGAGCCCAAAACTGTCCCAGAGTGACTTGGTCCTCGAGGAAAGCCAGCAGATGGTAGGGTTCCTTAGACCCTGACAGGCCCGGCACCTTGAAAGCAGGGCAGGGTTTAGAGTTTATAAGGCTTAGGGTTCAGGATTGAGGGCTCAGGGGGCTTATCTCCATTAACATCTCAGGCACTGCTGCGTGAAATGTGTCCAGCGAAACCTCGGTTGAGTGATGAGTGACACTGAGCCCGAAAGTTAGACGCCAAACCCTGAGCCAGCCGCAAGCCTCCTTTTTCTACATCGTGGATCGTTTCGTGCTCGTTTTCACTGAGTTTCGACAAGGCTTTCTGGCATTGATTTTCCTGTATCCGGGATACTTTCCTGTCTGCTCGAAACCTCCTCAGCACTGCACGCACGCGCATGGACCAAGAACGCAGAAATCTTCGCGTTGCGCAGCGCTTTGGCCATACGGCACGGATGCGAGGGGTCATCCACGGCACATTGTCTGCTGCTTTGCATGTGGCAAGTGACGAACATATGTCCATGTTGTCGACAAGTACATCAGTCGAGGCGTTGGCCACGGAGCAGATTCGAAGAACCCGGCGTGTTGCGCGGTGCATGGGGGAAGTCAGCAGTGCTCCGCACACGGTCGCAGTGCCGCGTAAGCTCAAGTGTCCGACATGTGAAGAATCGTGTACCACCTTGGAAGCCTTGCTTGCTTGTGTCGTCACATGTTGTTGAATGATGTTGAATGCATTTTGTGAATTTCTGTCTTGCTAACCGGGGGCGCGTCTCGTTGCTGTCTTTGCTCACTTCCCAATCTGTCTCAAGAGCCGCAGCAGATGGGCTTTATCTATGTGTCTCTGCAGTCAGGGAGTTCCGGGCCAGCGTTCCAGCATGCATTGGGGCGCCGCATGGCCGCCACATAGCAGGTCCTCATCTGGGCCTATCTTAGGGCGCATTCCATACACAGCCACACACCTCAAACCTTCAGGAACTCGAGCTGGCCACAGTCGGGCATGCTCTCTTGCAGTCAGAGTTACGGAAGTTACTACAAAATGCAGCTAGAAGGCATTTACCCAAGCCCAGAGCCACGGGCGAGGATTCGGGTTTAGTTTACGGCTTTGGGCATAAAACTTCCACAAGAAATTGGAGCAGGCAGCGACCCCACCGGAGCCAGATTTAAGAGCCAGCCGTAAGCAGGAGGGCGCCGTCATGACTCTGGGCTCGCTGGTCGCAGCAGACGAGGCCTCGATTGCTTCTGTAAATATACCGTATAAGAAAACAAGTATAGACATATCGAGATACAGCAAAATACGTATAAGGATAGTTGGGGATTTGGGGTCTCTGCTCCAATGGGTTCATTCGGGTCGCCCACTTTTGAATAACATGGTGGTTTGGGCTTTGAAATCTTTGAAGATGGCCTTGATGAAGGCCGCAAAGCGCTCCCTCCCCGACGCATCCATGATGAGCGACTCGAAGTCGGTGCCTGCGAAGTCTTTCCGGTCCATGAGCAGCTGCTGCAAAGAGTTCGTAGAACCGTGGATGCGTAGCTCTTGATCAAGAAGGAGGCTTCCATCGCACATCCCTTTCAAAATCTGTTGAAATCCTGCAATCATGCAATGGGCTTCTTCCAGCTTCCGATGTGATCCGAAGAAACTGCGCACCGCCGTCTCGAACACACTCAGGACGATGATGCGCATAAGCAGATTAAAGACAATGAACGACATGAAGGCTGCACTCACCTGAGAGCTGCCTCTGAAGTAGATGAACGATGCCACATTGGTGCACGTGTGCAGGACAGCCGACGGAATGGAAATAGATATGTCCAAGTATAAGACCGATCCCACCAAGTGTGCGATCACCGTCGTGCAGAACTTTGTGATCGCATCGAAGTCGGAAAATCTGTGTTCGCTGTTCCGAGCGGCACTCCAAAAAGTCACATTCATCGTAGGTTTTCTTATGTCTGGCCTGAATACCTCGGCATCGACCCCAAACAGTGCGTTCTCCAATCGGTTTCGGAGTGCTTTGGAACTCTGCGCCGACAAGAGGGGGGGGTCTTGGGCAGTGGACTCGACGTCGCCGAGTCCTTACGACACAAGTAAGCATGGTGGCATTCATGGTGAGGCGCATGGCGAGTGCTATTGATGAGAACAAAGCAATTGTTGCAAGGGGGCCGGGCGGTGCGCAGCGGCGCCGTCCGTTTTTCGTGGCCGACAGGCATCCGGAACAAGCAGATCAGGCAGCCCCCTAAGTCAAGCCAAGGACGCAACCCTCGTTTATCACGGGCACGGCTGAAGAAAATTGCTTTCGCGGACGCTTGGCTTTGCGAGCCTCACGTAGCGCTGGTCAGCAGCCTCAATAGGACGGCCGTGCCAACTCCCTGCTAGGTCTCTATAAGAGGCCATTGGATAGAGTCTCACAGTGCGCCGCGGAGGTGCGTTGAAAGCTGAAAGCCAGCACCAGGACGGGCTTTTCGGGCTCAAAATCCCCATCATCAACCGGGGCTGACAGGGTCTACGAGCCCATCCTGGCGGGCCGTGGATGCAAGAAAACTCACAACTACTTGGTATTTCGTTTGGGGCGTTCCCCCTTGTACTTCTGTCCTAAATCGGGATGATATGGGGGGGTGGGGGTACGATACTCCCGATTAAGGACTCTTAGTAGAAGCGGGAACATCCCAATATTTCATGCTGATTTTCAGATTGAAAGCAGGGGAGGACCACTACTACGAATAGAGCAAGGAGAATGGCAATACGAATAACAGCCATGTGTTGACAAATCTTGCAAGGCACATGGAAGAATGACAACGAGAATAGCAACAATAGCGTTGACAATAGCCACGAATCCAAAGCATAGCCACTGGCACAAAGAACCATGAATGCTAATCTCCTACTCGGTGAAAGCAAGCTCAACTGTGCCCAAGAAACTCCTGCGGATCCCAAGTGCTGAGGTCGCAGAGGGGCAAAAACACAAAGCTCCCGACAAACCAAATCCAGCGGGAATTCTGCAGGTACCCGCTGCCGATGCCGACGCCCGCGCCGTAAAACTTGGCTGCTCTTCCAGGTTTAAATGTGGGTTCCTGAGAAATAAAAATTTAGGAGGACGATCCCGCAACCGTACTCAAGAAACGGCAAGCCGCCAAAGTGCTCATTGCCACCTCCAGGAGGCGAGCCTTGGTCGGAGATTGCAAAAAGTCCCAGAAGAAGAGCAGAGAGTACACCAAGTCCAGATGGCAAAAGGCCAGGAAGCCATGACGTACGCCTGAGTTCAAGCAGAGCTCTTGCCATAGCAACCGTATGATATTGCTAAACCCTAAACCGTCAACCCTCAAACCTTAACCCTCAACCCTCAACCCTAAGCAAGAACCCAGAAGCTGGCAGCCCTCAGTTTCTCCATCTTCTCTTCCACGCACGCAGAGTCTTCGGGGCGCTTCCCAGCATCCGTTGCCCAGTAGCGCGGCAGCTTCTTCAAAGCTGCAATGACATGCGGTCCTGCGGGTTTAGGGTTTACGGTTTAGGGTTTAGGGTTTAGGGTTTCGGGTTTAGGGTTTAGGGTCTAGGGTTTAGGGTTTAGGGTTTTCCTGAACTTGGAAGAAATGAGGTTGCAAAAGCTGAGTGATACAGAAAACTCGTGTGGCTTCTCGTCTGCTTGTCATGGCAACTTCTTTTCAGCTCCTTAACACAGAACCCAGGAGATGCACGAACATGTGGTCCTGCAATGTGGAGGTGGACCAAAACAGCCGTGGTGCAAGCTGCAAGGAAGATCTTGCCATTGCTGTCGGGCAACATGGCGAGGGGAAATGAAAACCCTAAACCCTAAGCCCTAAACCCTAGCAAGAGCAGCAAACTGCAAACGGACGCCAGTGCAGACATGCAAATTGCATTGTGGATTGCATCATAGGGCTGAAAAGAGAGCCCTGCTGTTCCAGAACAGGCTCACCAGTATAGAACGACCAATCTACATGATGAGTGAGCAGTAGTTCTTGTGGGAAAAGGTGCCGGTCGAACCTGAGCCACAGCAGCATGATTGCTCCCAGCTATGCTTGTTTCGGGTTGAGGGTCTAGAGTCTAGAGCGGGGGGACACAACCAACGCTGCCAACAGTAAACGTCTAAGCAAGTGTGTCAGTCAAAGACAGAGAGGCTGTAGCTACAGAATGTCACTACTCGACTGTGCATATATGGTTCTACGGTCGAGCTGCAGCTTCTTTGAATAAGGTTACCTATAGGCCACCTTACCTACGAACCTACGTATCTGAAGCTTGACTCTTTAAGAACCCGTGCACCCCCCCTTGCCTGCTTCTGCGCTTCTGAAGATGATCGCTGGTCAACGGCCTCTTCAGACAGACATAGGCGTACCCCCGTTTATACCCCAAATAGAACCGAATCCCCCTACAAGGCCCCCAAAAGGGGAACGCTATATAGCCTATGCCCTAAACCCTAAACCCTAAACCCTAAACCCTGAACCCTGAACCCTGAACCCCCATATAGCCCAGAGGGTTTTCGCATCCCAGCAGACCTGATGGGCTGCTTGAAGGTTCATAGTACTTCTTGACCAATTCGCCTCGGCTTCCTGCCGAGAAGCGTCTGGAACAAGCAGACCCGGGTCGGGCCTCCTTCCCCCCAACCCAACCCTTCCCCCCATACAAAATTTTCTGACGCCCCCCCCCCCCCCCCGCCCTGTGGGACCCCCGCCCGGTGGGACCCCCCCCCCCAATCGCTTGGAGGAGCTGCAAACCGATGCCGGTCCGCCCCCCCCCCACCCCGCCCCCTTTAACCTCTCTGCCCTTCCTCCCCTTTTTTTGCGAAACCCTCCTTCCTCCTTTCCTGTCCTGGGGCCGGCCCGGCTGCCGAGGCGGCGCGCGCAAGCGTTTACAATTATAACTGTACTCAGAACTGCACTTATAACCATATTCGGGCACTTTAAGGGGCTTGTAAGTGGGTTATAAGTACAGTTATAACTGGTTAATGAGTACCATGAACCTCCAAGTGGCTGGCCTCATTCAGAGCTGTGAGCCACGTCTTGCAGACGTCCGCCTCTGGGAGAAGGATTTGGCTGGACATTGGGTTTAGGGTTGGTTTAGGGTTTAGGGTCTAGGGTTAGGGTTTAGGGTTTAGGGTTTAGGGTTTAGGGTTTAGGGTTTAGGGTTTAGGGTTTAGGGTTTGGGGTTTAGGGTTTAGGGTTTAGGGTTTAGGGTTTAGGGTTTAGGGTTTAGGGTTAGGGGTTTAGGGTTTAGGGGTTTAGGGGTTTAGGGTTTAGGGTTTAGGGCTGCGCAGGCTTATGTAGGGATTGCAGAGCCCGTGGCCATGAAAAATGTTTCCAAATGAGCCCCAGCTATTGGGAGTTTACAGTAAGGACCTTCAGGATTGTAAGACTTCAGGGGTTACCTCTGTTCTGATACCAAGATAGCCATTATTTCGGGACCTGTCTGCGTGCGGCACTAGGCTGTCTATGCGTCTGTGTATACAACTACTGATAAAGTTCCCCTCTAGCACTTACAATCTGCACACCATTTCGCAACAGCCAGTTTCTTCGCAAGCGGCTCTGCCTTAGCTGTGGGCACGGAACGCTTTCGCGTATGACCACCCCGCTTGGAAGAAGAGATGGCAAAACACGATCACTGCCACAGGCGAATGGGGCGCACAAGCGTTGGATTTAGGTTTAGGGTTTAGGGTTTAGGGTTCAGGGTTTAGGGTTAGGGCTTTAGGGCTTAGGGTTTAGGACCTTCCTCCAACCTGCCGAGACGTCGGCACCTCAGACTTCGCAAACACTGGCGGCAAGGAGGGGCCCATGCGGCGCATGCTTCTCTGGCTCTTCCAGGGCAGGGCAAAGCATGAACCGAACATCCAGGGGCTGTGAAGCTACCCCTCGGAGCTTCGATGCAAAGTGCGATCGCTCCCCAAAGGCATCCGTCTGCACATGAACTGGAAATGCGAAAGAAAGCCCACCAGAACCATGAAACCTGAACCCTGATCCCTGAACCCTGAACCCTGAACCCTAAACCCTAAACCCACGCATTTCCAATCCTAAAGAGGCAGGGAGCTTTGGGAGTCGAACCTGTGCCTTGCAAAGGTCCGCGGCAGCCGTGCAAGCAACTCGGGTAGGGTTTTGGGGGTTTAGGGGTTTAGGGGTTTAGGGGTTTATGGGGTTTAGGGGTTTAGGGGGTTAGGGGTTTAGGGGTTTAGGAGTTTAGGGGTTTAGGGGTTTAGGGGTCTCGGGGTTTTAGGGGTTTAGGGGTTTAGGAGTTTAGGGGTTTAGGCGTTTAGGGGTTTTGGGGTGTTGGGGTTTAGGGCTCTAGGGGTTTCAAGGGTTGAGGAGTGAGGGCTTTGAGATTTTGCGGGGTTTGGGGAAGTTTAGGGTTGGGGGCTTTATGTCTTTGCAGGTTCACCCAGAAGAAAAGCCTGTCGACTGCCGAGTCCCCTCTTCACCTGGACAAACTCCAGGCGCGCAACGTGTTGATACTTCAAAAATACCTAGCAGTGTAGCATTCTGGGCACGCGCTGCGGGATGTAGGCTTTTGGGTGGGATGTTGGGCACATGAGAAAACAAAAAGCTCACGCAGCACAGGACTTTCTCATTCTATGGCCTTGGGTTGGAGTCCGAAGTTCTGAGCATTTGGAGCTTTTCTTGTTCCAGGCATTGACCCCGCGCCATAAGCCTGAACCCCAAGTACCGCTAAACCCTAAACCCTAAACCCTAAACTCTAAGTGTGAACACCTTGCTTCGGAGGTTCAAGGGGTCGAAGATCCCTGCCACCTCCCTGAGAAGCAAAAAGGGCAGGAGTTCAGGGGTTCAGACCCTACACCCTAAACCCTTAACCCTAATTCAGGGGCGCTTGGGATTTCTGAGGTCGCCGAGCCAGTGCTTCGTCTTCTTTGAACCCAGACAGCTGCTCGTGCCCTGGCTGCTTGGCCTGTCTGACAAATCCGGCCGCAAGTACCAGAACTGCTCATCTGCAGTCGTCGAAAGCTTTCTGTTGTGGATGTCGTGCCTCAAAGCCAAAGCCCTAAACCCTAAGCCCTGAATCAGAAACCTGAAATACTGTCAGTTGTCTCTGCTCAGTCTGAGTCTGGCTGGGCTAGTCAGCACCCGGTGGTACACCGTGTCAGGAATACTTGTTGGATGCTGTGCAACTGCAGTATCCAGCCGGCATAATGCAGCCCCGAAGCCCTAACCCTTTAACAGTATCCTGGTACTATAGGGGTCGGAAGAAGTACTAATGAGATTCCCTTATGGCCCCTTTGTAATTATACTACAATGAACCCCACAAGACCCTATTCTAATTATTCAGGCCCCTACATGACATGGTGCACTTGCTCCGCCCTGCCAAACAGCAGTGCCCTTGCCACTCGCGGCATATGCACATTCGGCACACCGCGGCAAGTCGAAGATTTCTCAGAGTGGGCAGAGCCACAGGAGCCTCGACTCCCGAACAGCAGCACCAAATGCCCTTCAGGGGCTCGAAAGAAACCTCCTCAAGAGTGCGCAAGTGCGCCCTTGCAGACCCTTGTGGCTCATGCGGCGTCAGGTCGGAAAGCCCATCTTCTGGGTCCAATCCTGATGGGCACTTCAGGCATTTACGGCTTCAGGAAAGGTGTAAAGGCCGGCATGTACATGTGTGGAGACTTAGTGCGGGCGGCTGGGCTGGAATGCTGCCCACGGCTGTTTTCTCGCAAACAAGAAGCCCCCAAACTGAACACAGAGGGTGCCGGCACCCTATAGTCTGGAGTCAGCTTTCGTGTCGACAGGCTGGGCCGAGAGTTTAGGACTCAGGGTCCAGGGCCTCGGACATATAAATACCAATCACCCGGGGGGGGTACCCTTTTTGGGTGTCCCTTTAAGAAGATTCTGTTCTAATTGGAGCATACAAGGGGCACTCCTATTTTGGGGAAATGCCCATATGGAGCCTTAGGCAAACCCTCCACCCCTCTCTACAACTTCCCCGGCTCCCCGACCACAAAAAGGCAAGGCGCCACAAACTCCTCAAAGGAGATGTCTCCATCACCTGGCAGCTTTTTTGGGGGCTGAGGGTGGCTTGGGCTTCTAAATCAGGATCCTGTCGTTTGGGTAAGGGACCCGAAGCCGGAAGAGCAAAAGCCCCACCCCTTTATACCCCTTTGAACAAACCTTCGCCTGATCTTTTGGGCTTAAGGATGGGTGCGCTTGGGAAGTCTGGAGGTTCATGGAACTTCTTAACCAATTCGCCAATTCGCCTCGGCTTCCTGCCGAGAAGCGTCTGGAACAAGCAGACCCGGATCGGGCCTCCTTCCCCCTAACCCAACCCTTCCCGCCATGCAAGACGCAGCCCCCCCCCGACCCTGTGGGACCCCTGCCCATCGCCTAGCCGCACTGGGCCCCCCTGGGACCCTGCCTGGGACCCGCCCTCCCTGGACCCCTTTTCGGCGCCTGTTCTGGGAGCACCTGGCCGGGCGCTGGGGCCTTGCGAGGAATTTTGGGATCCTGTTGGGACCCCTTTTTTTGAGGCCTTTGCCTCTTTCCTCCTTTCCTGTCCGTGGGCCGGCCCGGCTGCCGAGGCGGCGCGCGCAAGCGTTTACAATCATAACTGTACTCATAGTTGTACTTATAACCATACTAGGGCACTGAAGGGGCTTATAAGTGGGTTATAAGTACAGTTATAATTACAATTGGTTAGGAGTTTCAGAGTCTGGTGTTCTGGGGTTTGAGGGAGGAGGGCTCGTCTTCAGGGCCCCCTTGTAGCTCAGATAGAAAAATGACACATTTTTTGGGTTGTCTGTGGGTTGAGGGTTTAAGGCTTCGTGGTGCCTCTAGGATGCTGGGCTAGAGTGTGCGCCAGGAGCTCCTCTTCGACTGGGGGGCGGGGAGTGTGGGCGTCTGCCTGGAGTCCTACCTCGAGGTCAGTGGGTCACCGCCCTAGCTTGTCATCAAGTCACCGTTGACGTCGGCTTCCACCCAATATCGGTCCAGCATCTGCTGGGAGATGTCGTCCTGGGTCAACCCTCAACTGTTAAGCCCTGAAAACAAAATCCCAAAGATGCGAGCCATCGATGCCAGGCGAGATGAGGCGCTATGTGCAAAGTTCGTGACACAAGCCCCTGAAGCTCAAGCATGCTTAGACCTCGAGTCCACAGCTCATAAAGGCCTCTTCCAGGTGCTCAGATTTTGATGTCGCAGGGTGTGGAAGCGCATGTTTACCAAGCGGGCGCTAGCAATCAAAACTCTTGTTGGTCGGGCATCTCGCGAAAGCTGGGCCATCCTTAGCCTTGATATCCTGCTTTGGGCCTAGTTGCAAATAGAACCAAGGGGGGGGGGGGGAGCGCTAACAGTCAAAAGTATGTCCGGTCCCAGAATCCGGTGCTCTTGCTGCAAGCTCTTCAGGGTTTTGGGTCTAGAGTTGCACAGGCAATGTTCAAGAGGAGGCGCCGAAGCCCGGAAGAGACACAGAAGAATGCCAAAGCAGGCCCTGAAGCCCAGAAGAAGCGGCGCAGACGAATTCCACCCCCCCCTTTTAGTGTTACAAGTAGGACCCGTGTCCGGGAGTTTTGCTTGAATATTTTTGTTTGGCTGGTGGGCGTGGGGTGGGGCTGGGGTACACAGCTGCCGACAAGATGCAGGGGCTGCGCCCAAGAGGCAGCACAAGACCTCCCGGAACCTGGTAGAAGGGGCAGGGAGAGGGGATGAGTTGAGAGCCCTTGAGCACCTCAAGTAGACAGGTTGAAGGTTTTTCGGCTGTTGGGATTTGTTTCGGAGTTTAAGGCTTTCAGACGGGAGCCTTTGGTGGCTAAACGGAGTGTCAAAAGCAAAGGCGCAGCAATGCAGAAAGCCGGTGCCCTCGAGGCCCGTAGGAACTCTAAACCCCAAAAGGAAAACCGCTGAACCCACAAAATAAACCCCCAAACCTCCAACCCTAACCTGCAAACCCTTAAAACCCTTAAACCCTCTAAACCCTCTAAACCCGCTAAACCCGCTAAACCCTCAAACCCTTCAGCACTAAGCCCTAAACCCTACACCCTAAACCCATCCCTGAGGACACGACTCCGAGTGATCAATTTGGCCGCTGCCATCGGCGTCATACTTGTCGAAGACGTCTTTCAGACGATCGATCTCGACGTCAGGAGGGCTTGGGGCTTTATGTTGGGCTGGCTCGTTAAGAGGTTGTAGAGAAGGGCTTCGATTTAGGGCTTGAGGCTGTAAAGGGCTGTAGGGCTTCTAGGTGATTGGAGGTGAGGTGTTACGGCTCAGGTTGTACCAGAAAAAGTCTGACCCAAGTCTCTGTTCGGGGTCCCGAATCCCCAACCTGGACCCTAACATCAGGGGCTTAAGGTTCTCTTGCTCCTGCGCGTCCCTATGTCGAGGTTTAGCGCTGAGGGTTTTGGAGTCTAGGGTTAAGGGTTTAGGGTTTAGGGTTCGAGAGTTTAGGCCTTGGGCCCATCCCGCCACACCCCTGAGGATGGGGCCTGCATGATCTCCAGGTTGTACGCTTCTGGCCGCCAGTTGCAGGGTTTTTGGGCGTGGTAGGGCATCAGGGACCAGGGCTTGCCAGGGATCTAGTTAGGGTTTAGGGTTTAGAGGGTTTTGGGTTTAAGGTTTAGGGTCTAGGGTTCATTCGGGTCCTTAGCAAGGTACTGTATAACTACCCATCCCTAGGCCCTATGCCCAAAACCTTAAACTGCCTTCAAAGGAGAGTTCCTATACCGGAGAATTTTGGAGTCGGTTCTGGACCGCTTGGGGCTTCTAGTTATGGCGTGTAATGGAGTTTGTGGGCCTGTGGTAGGGGATAATGGCTTTGAAACTTAGAATCATACGGGGCTTAGTGGGGTTCATGAGGTTTATACGGTTCACAGGGCTCGTAGGGTTTTGGGTTTGTGGGCTTTATAGGGCTTTCATGGCGGTTAGAAGATTTGCACGGCTTTAAGGACTCGCAGGGCTCACAGGATTTACAGGGTTCTGGGCAATTCGAATGGCAGTTCCCACAGATTTCGTTGGCCGTTGGGGGTTTCAGGGCGCAGGGACTTTTACTTTGGTTGGCTTTCAGCTCCCTAAACCCCAAACCCTGACCCCTAAACCCTTAACCCCAAACCCCCTAAAAGAAGGCCCTAGGCAGCGTGGTCTTGGCTTCTTGCAGGCGGGCGTCTGGCGATGCGCCGCAGCCTAGGTTCTTCAATGGACCCTAGAATGTGGCCGGTTTCTAGAGTTCCGGGTTTAGGGTTTAGGCCTTAGGGTTTAAAGTTCAGGGTTCAGGCTTAAAGGGTTTAGGTTTAGGGTTCAGAGTTTAAGGTGGGCTTAGAGCCCCAAAGCTCGCACTCGCCCGCAACAAGCACTCTGGAAATGATTGTGCGCCGGGCGTTCGCTCCTGCATGTCGGGAACCGCGAGCTCCTCACGCTACACGGCAAGGATCATTCAGAGGAGGGTTTTAAGGTTTCGGGTTTTTGGGTTTCGGGTTTTTGGGTTTAGGGTTTGGGCCCAGGGTTCCCATGATTTTACAGGGCCAAGTCAGCTGTGACAAGCCTTAAGAGGCCTGATAGTCTGTGCATGCCCCTGTTGTAGATAGCAAACACTCCTGACAAGCCAGATGTTTGACAGGATCGCAATGATCTCAGGTCCTCCGTGAAGTGGGTGTTCCGCACCCAGTGCATGTACTCCTGCAACGCGGCAGGGAGCAGCGCATGCACCCATGTGCAACAAGGAAGACATGAACCGCTGCGGGCATGTAAACATCGATCTGAGAATGGGCTCGGTTGCAAAAAAAAAACAACACTGTCTGCAAGACCTGCTGCTCCTAAACACCAAACCCTAAACACCAAACCCTAAACCCTAAAAACCTGAATCCCAAACCCTAAGCCCTAAAACCCCAAATCCCAAACCCTAAACTAGATCCCTAACACCCCTCAAGACATGTGCCTCGAAGTCGACTTGGCCTAAGCTCTGCAAGGAAGACGGGTCTGGTTTTTGTGGTGGGTTGTGTGAGTTGAAGGATTGATAAAGGGTCAGACCACACAAAGGTTTCGCAACGTGTGGAGTGCAGCTATGGCGCAATTCTGGCAGGGACATGTAACGCTTTCTTCCACGCGGGGCGTCTAAGGTGGCAAGCCACCGCGCCAACCCCTAGACCCTTTAGGGTCTTGGACCTTCTTCCGACCTTCCACACCACACGCGGTTTATGGAGTTTAGGTTCAGGCTTTAGGGTGGAAAGTAGGTTAGGTCCATGGCTTTATGGCTGCTGAAGCTCCCACTAAGCCTGGGCTGCCGTCAAGGAACTGACTCTGGATACATAATAAATAAATTCATTCCTAGTCGTGGCAGATCAACTTAATTAACAGCAACCCGGGATTTTCCAGCCAAAACTGACAGTAGCCTTACTTAGCAAGCCTTAGATGAAGACCCAATTCGTGTGAGGTGACTCTTTGCAAACACGCCCTCAAATGGCCGCTTTCACCTCGCAGGAGCCCCGTGTAGCATGCCACCCCCCATACTCCGGACCAAGGTAAGCTTCAGTTGCAAGAACCTACATCCTGAACATGGGCTACAAAGCTTCAAGCCTCGTTGGTTGCGGGGAAGCAGCCCCCAGAACCTAGACCCAAATTCCACCAGGGCACCGCTGGCATCCTTGTCCGCCCAAGCGAACTGCCTTGCATGGGTTTGAAAGGTTCGGGTTGCGCTGCAACTAGCATCCTCCGGGGTGAAGTGAGATTACCCTACAAACTGAACTTGGTTACGAAGTGCGATGCAGCCAGGAAGCTTCAAGAGCAGATACTGCGGCACCTGAGCGGCGGAAACATCTCTTTTGCCTGTTACTGGGGCTCTCGCGGCTCAACGTTTACGTTTTTAGGGATTGGGGGTATCGGGGCTTTGCGTTTCGGGTTTAATCGCAGGGTTTTAGGGCTTAGGTGTTTTAAGCGCAACTACCAGTGAACACGGCTTGTACAAGCAGGCTGCAGATTTTAGGATTGCACTCCTCCTCCCGAAACCAATTCCTTGAGCAACCTGAACCCAGTATCCTAAACCTTTGGAAGACTCGCCCGTAGCCCGAAACCTTAACACGTCGTACGCCGTGCACCCCCAAAACCCTCAAGAAGCCCCAAACCCAAAACCCCTAGGCCCCAAACAACAACAAAGCCGTATTCCAACACCCAACACCAAGGCCCTAAAATGATTGAGCAATATATGATGTGCACTGTGAGCTCATCCGGGATGAGACTCTTCAGGGATCGGTGGGCACCGCAGGGATTCTTCCGGGGGCGGACACGCAGGGAGGCTCAGACTGATGCAAGAACTTCTGAGGGTTCCGGGCTTGGGTCTAAGGTTTAGGGCTTCCCGTTGAAAGGCCCCAAAGCTTTGCAATAACGCCGATTGCCCCAGCTCTTTGCTACAAGTTCGATTTTTAGGTTTAAGCCCCACACTCGCTTAAGTCTAAAGCCCGAAATCCGAACCTCACACCCTGTAGCCTACATCCTAAGCCAACTACACCAACCTCAAGCACCCAACCCGAACACCCAAGTCATCCCAAGTCCAATAAGCCTACAGCCTTAAGCCCCAGAAGCCCAAATCCCCCCAGCCCCCACCCCCACCCACCCCATGTACCCTAAACCGATAAAGCCCTTTGACTCAAGAAAACCACTTACTGAGAATGACTTGCGCGAAGCGCTGTTCCTTTTCCAAGTGGGGAAAGTCGAGCTGGTCTCGAGCCTGTGCTCGCTTCGTCCTGCACCACCTAGCAGGACCTAGCACCATCTCAAAAGACTGTGTCAACTGGTGCTCCTGAGTCGATGTCTGTACTCGTGCAGGCACATAAGGCGGCTGGGCTCAGGGCTGCTTCGACCCCCTGCGGCCCTACAAGCTTCGCCTGGATGCCCAATTGTTCCCTAAGACACCTTCGGCAACTCTTTGACAGGTCAAACAGAGTGTGGTCCTGCTGAAATCGACATGATCGTCGATCTTTAAGCCAGCCAAAACTGTCTTTCGACAGAAAAGCCTGTCTACATCCTGGTGGGCTATGCGCACCTTATTTGAAGCGGGATTCCGCATAAAAACATGATCACCGCTTTGTACAACTGTGGCCACTGTGTGACTGCATTCTGTGGCCACCTGCTGTTTGTCATCTCCTGACGACTCACTGCCGCTGGTGTGAGTCCAGAGATTCCGCATCTGAATCACTGCTACTGCTGTCGCAGTCATCTAGCCAGCGGCCACTTCTTGTAGCATCTGGGTCAAACCTGTTCTCCCTGATCGTCTGCAACACATGCTCCAGTCGGCGCAGGGGGCCTGCCAAGGACTCAGACTGGACCTGAGACAAGAATGCGTACGGCCCAACAACCTAAGCTCTGCGCGCCTTCTGCGCGGACCGAAGCCCAATCCCAAGTCCCACAGTGGGTCCTCAGTCTTCCTGTCCATTAAGGGCGCGGCGGGCGGGCTCAAAAATTTGTTGCCTCGTGCCAAAATGGCACGCGGTTTCCGAGTTAAGGCAAGATGAGACATACTACGCTTAACTCAAGAAAACCACTTACTGAGAATGACTTGCGCGAAGCGCTGCTCCCTTTCCAAGTGGGGAAAGTCGAGCTGGTCTCGAGCCTGTGCTCGCTTCGTCCTGCACCACCTAGCAGGACCTAGCACCATCTCAAAAGACTGTGTCAACTGGTACGCCTGAGTTGATGTCTGTACTCGTGCAGACACATAAGGCGGCTGGGCTCAGGGCTGCTTCGACCCCTACTCCCTTATTTGCCCTGAGGCCAGCAGGCTGAACCTCCCCACCTTGGCTTCACACTGCTGGGCTCCCTGCAGTACCTGACTGGGGTTGCTGCCACTAGGGACCCAACGAACCCACAAACGGAGCTGGTGTGTGGCCTCCAGAAGTGCAACGCTATGCGCAATGTCGGCATTGCTCTTTGGGTGCGAGTTCCCTGCTATGATGCTGTGTCTGGCTGGGTCATATCCAGCCACAGAGTCACACAGGAGCCCTGGAGGTCCCTGCCCCAATGATCCAAGGCCGCCGCAGCTCCTAAGAGCTCACACTGGATGACTGGGTGCTTGCTGTTCTGGTGCCACATATCCGAGACTTCGGCCTGAACCCGTGCCCCGAACCATTCTCGTGGCCTCCCCCTGGCGCAGCAAAGGACGGCCCCTATACTACAAACTCCCTGCTCTACGGCTCCATCCGTGAAGATGTGGAAGGCTACCTGGCTTGGCAGGTGGAAGAGTCTTGGCCTGGTCTTTGGGAACAACCTCCAGGACCCATTCAAGGGCAGACCTGAGGGAGCTGGTCAGAGGCCGCGGCTTGCGACAACTGGGCGGGTCACCATGTTGCAAAATGCACCTAAAGGCCCTGCGCCCTGCCCTGCCAAACACCTGGCCATCTAGCCACCTGAGGCGACTGGCAAAGGCAGAGGCTTGCTGTGGACTCATGGCGGCAGCCACCAAGGCTTCCTTGATCACCTGGGCCTTGCGTGCCTCGGTGTTGCTAACCGACACTGGTTCTGCTGGCTGCCGGGGCAAGTGAACCTAGGCTGGTAAAACAACGCTGAAAGGCGTTGGCCTTGTTGCCTTCCTTGGCCACTTCCCACCTTAAGAGGGAGAAAAGAAGGTGCAGGCTGGCTTCAGCGTTGACACTGTCCTCGGCCCTCGTTACGCAGGTGAAGTCATCATAGAAGTGCGTCGCCGGCACTGCAAGAAACTTGTCTAGCAGAAACCACAAGGCCAAGATGCACCTGACAAAACCATGCACACTTCCTCTGGCCCCAAAGGGCAAGGCCTGGAGGGCTAACACCACTCTGCGGCCGTGCTCTGGGCTGTGCACGACCACCTTCACAAATGGCAAGTCCTCAGCGTGGACCCCCAACTGTTTATAAGCGCTCTTGAGATCAAAGGTGCGACCTGCCAACTCAACCTGCGCTGGCAACAGATTCCTCAAGTGCAATGCAAGGGCTATGGAGACGGAGGCTGGCATGAATGTGATCTTTTCTTCGCAACCTAGGGTTGCGTTGACCATGCTGACTGAAACATCGTCAATTGGACGCACCTTGCCTGGCTGTTCGACTGGGAACCTACGGCCGAGAACGCAGTTTTTCGGCGCCTCAACATGGCCAGTTTCAAGCACGGCCCAGCCCTTGGCGCATTCCTTGAGTGTCTGGTCCCAAAGAGCACGGCCAAGGTGCGGCTGCGCGCTAGCTGTCGTGGAGGCCCAGACCTCCCTGTTGCGCGCGACTGACAGGCTCGGAGGGGCAACCTTCGTTGGCCGAACACCTGTGTCCGGCAACCACCCTGTAACCCTGGAGCCCTGGGCAATGTCTGAGATCAACTGTGAGTCGGGGAATTCATGTGCCTTCAAAAGCTCACCCAACAGCAAGAGCCTTTTGGGCCTAAGGATGCGCTGTAGATGAGGCGGCATGTCCTCATGCAAAGACCGTGCAACTCTCGGCCCTCTGACACACGGCCTTGAGTTTGTTGCACCTGTCTGCGTGGACTTCTGCCAGGTGTGGCCCGCAGACCTTGTGCACTGCGTCCTGGAGCAGAGGCGGCAGTGGGGGCAGGGAATTTTGGGGGTGTTTTGTGGACCCTGCAGCGACTAGAAAGGCTTGCGGCTCACAGGGGACTCCAACTTCTGCCCACAGGCCCGTTTCGGTTCTCTGAATGCTCAGGCACCTAGCTTTCTTAGGGAGGTCCCGGCGGGTCAGCTTTCTGCCAGGTGTAAAGCTAGCTGTGTCAGCTTCCTGCTCCAACGCCTCTCAACGAAAGGGTCCAATATAGGCTCCACGCAAGAACATGCCTAGGCGCAGCCTAGCCTGAAGCTTCCTGGCTGCTGCCTCCTGTTAACGCAGGGGACCTGACCCCTGGCGGGGCCACACGGCTCGCTGAACGGGCTTGAAGCCCAAAAAGCACACAATCTGACAGGATACTTAGCCTCGTCCTGGGTAGCCCACCTGCCATTAACACGCCTCCACGGCAAGTGCCTGTGCTGCAACGGGGGGACACACAAGACCTTGAGATCCTTGATGCACCTGGCATTGCGCCACACTGCTGTGCGTTTGGGGCGGTCACCTCCATACATGCAATGATCGAAAACGACAGTATGCATGTTCGGCACCGCGGCTGCAACCCTACACATGGGGTCAGTGACCCAGCAGATGCTTGCACTGGGATTTTCCATTGACCACCATATGTTCAACTGCTGGCACAGGAGTACTAACCTGGACGTGACTTCGTACAACCCTAGTTTGCTGCGGCGGCGGTAGGCCTGGCAGACCTTGCGGTGTTTCCAAGAACGAAGGGGTGGCGGGCTAAACCTGGACCTTCGAACAAGTCTGGCTGCGCTCGATGTTGACGCTCGATGTTGAGCAGGGCGGCGCAAAGTGCACCCACAACACATGTCTGGTTTGCAGAATTCGCTTCAAAAGGTCCTCCGCTCCAGAAGTATCTATCTCCAATGTCGGGCGCCTCACCTACGTGTGGGCGGCCGGCACAGGCATGACGCATGAGGGCGGGGGCCTATCCTCACGGACCACAGCCTTGCAAGACTGTACTGAAGCGCTAGCATGAAAACCTGGCCACCAACGGTGGCACGCTCACAGAGCAGGACTGGTTTCCTGAATGACTAGGCACCTGACTGTCGTCGGGGCCGCAACTCTGGCGGGTCAGACTATACGCAACACTCAACTCAACAGCTTCTGCCCCTGTGTCGTCACCAAGGCCCAAGCCAGCACTGGCCGTAGCCACCTCGGACTCAGGGGCAAGCCTGGCAGGCACAGGCTTGCCTCAGCTCTCGCACGCCGCTGCACCATGTTCCTTGCTGTGGCACTTCATGCAGACGTGGAGGCCCTTGCTGCACGCGAGACCGTGCTCAGTCTCTGATCTGCAAGCATACTGCTGCACTTGTCGACTAGGGTGTTGCTCGGCTCTGCAGTGCCTGTGACCCTGTAGTCGCCTAGCTTGGCTTGAACGCGCGCACTCAAGCGCCTGCTAGACTCCGTGGGCGTCTCCACCGTTGCCCTAAGTTCACTGACTATGAATGTTCCGGCCTCGAATAAAAGGCGGGCAACTGCTGCCTTGGTCGCCTCTGCAGGCGGACTGGGGTCCATCTCCCTGCGCAACGCCTCAAGCCTGGCCTGATCGACGGCACCTGGACTGCTGGCTACCCTAAACAACAACTGACTATACGTCTCAATGCCCACTGTGGCCCACCGGGAAAGCGTGGACTCAGGCACACCATAGCCTTTTGCTTTGGCAGTAAAAGTGGCTTTGCTGTCTGAGACACTTGGGATGCCACAAACCTGCACCAACTCCTGGTCGGCTGTGACCCAGAAAGTCCTGGAAGGCTGTGTCGCATAACAGAAGCCAACTCTGTATGCTCAACACAGGCGCACCTTGCGCGCACCAGAAGCTGCGGCTTGCTGCTCAGTAGCGGCCTGGCTCAAGGTTGGGGTCGGCACCTCTGCCACCAACAAGGCCCATCGGCCCATCGGGTGAGCAGCAAAACAAAAACCGGCATCCCAGCTCAGACTGACTTGCATTGCAAAGAGACTCACAGAGAACTCTTCTTTTTTCCTTGGGACACGAACGATATGCAGAAACTAGGCTGACCGCTTCTCAGAACTGGGGCCTGGGCGGGTAGAACAGGCACAAAACTAAAAGCAAGCAAGCACAAAAGGGCAGACCAAGTCAACTGGGAGCTGGGCCCACCAAGTCGACTGGTCCCCTGGCAGCCTGAGCTCCAGTCGCCTGAGCCAGGCCACCTCATAGGCTCGGCTCCTGTCTGCGGCACCTGCCCTGCGACTAGTGACAATCGTCGCACTCATGGTGCGTCTCACCCGGCTGGAAGGTGACTGGCCTGCTGCAGGCATATCGCCCGCAGCCCGGGCACGGCAAGAAGCAGTAACTGTCGAGCATACCCTCGCTCCCTGTACTCGCGGCTGAGTCGACTGGATCTGTTGGGATTGAGGGGGAGGTACTGGTCGTAAGGGGGCCCTGGCGGCAATTGGCCCCTTCTGCCAACTGCCCCGACTAGTGTCACTGGCGTTCCTGCAAACCAAACAACCATGTTGCTTGGCCACTGAGGTCTGGCTGGCACGGGCGGGGGAGGGACTGGCATTACTGACTGCGCCCCTGGTTGCGCCTGTGCCACCTGAGCAGGTGGGCGCACGGCCGGCCCCAAAACTAGCACCGGCTGAGGAACAGGCGGCTGCGGCACCTGCGGCGCCGGCTGTGTTGCACCCTTGCTCTTGCCCTTGGCCCAAGACTTGCTGACCCTGTGTGTGGCTGAGTTGGTCTGCATAGGCGCTGGCTGGATGACTGCTGCTGTCGCTGGGGCCGAGGCACTGGGCTGAGAGGGGGCAGGAACCTGAGTGGCTGTGGTCACGGCTGGGGCTGCTTACGAACTTGCCGCTCCCGTCGTCCCTGCTCTGAGCTGTGACACTTGAGGAGGTTGTTTGGGGCAAGGCTTGGGTGTTTGAGTGCTGGCGTCAACGTAGGCGGCCGAGGCAACCAGACGCCTAGATCCTGTCACGTCAACGACCAGCTGGTAGCTGTTGCCCCTGAGGTCCTGCATGGCCGCATGGGCTGCCTCATAGAGCATGCCGACATCGTCCTCGCCCCTGTGGATCAAAGCCTCTGCCAACAAGTCCTGATCCAGACTGAAAACGGCTTCAAGGGCCACCTGTGCCGCCACCAGCCGGTCTGTCCAAGACTGTTGTTGCCCTGACATGGCTGAAGAGGCTGCTTGCTATCAAATCCTTGCCTCCTCAAAAATTTGTTGCCTCGTGCCAAAATGGCACGCGGTTTCCGAGCTAAGGCAGGATGAGACATACTACGCAAGACTTGGGATGTCCTGACTAGGGATTGCAATAGGGGGTACGATAATCCCAATTAAGGACCATTAGTATAAGGGCGAACATCCCAACCTAAGAACCCTAAACCCTAAACCCTAAACCCTAAACCCTCAACCCTAAGCCCTAAACCCTAAACCCTAAACCCTAAACCCTAAACCCACAAACAAGCCCTGAAGCCAGGGCGCAGGTGCGCCCATGGGGAGACTAGCTTTGAGGCGGATCGCCTCCACGAACTCCTCCGGAGCGGCCAGGCTTGCATTGTTTTGGCTGGACTTGTTTTTTAGGGTTGAAGGTTTAGGGTTTAGGGGTTTAAGGTTTCGGGGAAGACACTTCTCGGATTTGGGATTTTGGGGTGTAGGGTTTTGGGTGGTTTGGGGTATTAGGGCTTTGGGACTTCGGCTTAGGGTTCAGGGCTTGAGGGATTCGAGTGCAAGGTTTGGGGTCTAGGGGCTTAGCGTGAAGGGTCAAGGGGAGTTGAGGGCATAAGGTTTAGGGTCAAGAGGTGTAGGGTGGGGTAGCTTCACAGATCCAAAAATAGCATTCTCCCCAGTCATAACAAGAAGACCAAATGTGTCTGCTGCTGCAATCATAACGATGACGACAAGAACGACGAGCATGAAACAAAGTCCGGGCGGTAATAGAGTCCCCCAACAAAGCACAACGCCTCCCTGAAACTTCGAACTATTCGAGCTTTCAACTCTAGGGCTTCGGGTGTAGAAGTTTTGGGTTTACCCTGATCCCCATGCAGCCCGAATCTCAAGATTCCACTGCAATACTAGGGAGGGCACGGAGGGGATTGGCTGCTATTTGTACGGTCATAGGTACCGCAATTTAAGGTTATACTGCGGGTTGCCTTACGAAACCAACCCCTTGAACCTGCTATGTTGGCAGAGGGGGTTCAAGAGACTGGTGTGTAGGACTGAGGGTTTAATGAGGGTCATCACCGGTCCTCGCTTTTTCTTCCTCTCCCGAACCCATGTACGCTCACCCTAGACCCTCAACCCTAGATTCCGAAACCAAAACGCCATGCTCCTCCCGCGACAACCAGCCCTTGCCGTCGCTGTCCAACGCGTTAAAGTCGGTCATGATTTCTCGAACCTTCTCAGTTAGGGGTTTAGTGTTTATGGGGCTCGACCTGAGGATTTTATCAGATCAGCCCAAGTCAAACTTGGTGTTTCTGCTGGATTCCAAGATGATGGCTTTGGGGCCATGTCGAGCTGACGTGTGGATTACATCCGACATACGATGGTCCGCCATCACTTCCTCCGGCCGTAAGGGGATCAGAAAAGACGCTACCCCTGATATCTGCAGCAAGACAAGAAGGAATTATAAAGAAAGCAGCTGCGCAACAGACACACCCGGGACAATCCTTGAGAGCTGCAGCCCAGGGTTGGCAGCTTGGGGACTCAGCCCACCCCATGCTGACTCGAGTCAATGCTCCGAATCCCAGCTTCCGGCCTCCTGCACCGGGACCTTCGCAGGCGACAATGAAAAAAAATGAAATTCCGGGATCCGATCTGCATCATAGGGGTGCCCAGACCTCCCCAAAAGGGGTGTTAGGAGGTCCGTTTTGGGTGGGGGGGGGGGGGGGACTAACAGACGATGAACAGGAGCCCGAACAGGCTGGGTCTCAACACTTAAACGCCCCTGAACATATTCCTAATCTAGATCGTCTCAAACCATCGAGTGATCAAAACATCCAACAACTACCTACAGAGCCATGGACCAGATCTCCCCTTACACATCTTGGCAGCCCCGCTAGTCCTACCTGCACGCCAAAACCTGAACCCCAAGGCCAACAGCCCCCTCCCCCCTTAAAATCTTGTTTAGGCAGATCTCCGAGCTGTTCAAAGAGTCGGGGCCTCGAGGCCTGAACCGTCAGTCACTCAAAGCCTAAAGACCCCAAAGGCGAATGTGCGCATAGGGCTCAAGGTCTCTTAGTTTAGGGCGCTTTTGGGAGGTCCAGAGTAATACGAGGAGCTGAGTTACAAGAATTCTCACAGCCCGCAAGCGTCGAAGCACCCCCCATGTGTTGCACATCAGGCCTTGTGCTTCCTGCTGAGGGTGAGGCACCTTGGCAGGGCCCCTTGCAACAGGGTTTTGAATTTGGGTTTGGGGTTTGGGGTGGGGTTTAGGGAGTTTAGGTTGGGTGTACATACCTCAGCGAGTAGTACCTAGTCGTCGTCAACACGGCGGCTGTGGCGGTGGAGGCGGTGGTAGTGATGGCCGTTTGGCGGCGGTGGCCGAGCGTGCGGGCGGCGGGCGGCGGACGACATGCGGTGGGTGGTCGGGTTTAACACTTTGGGGCGGGGGGGTCTGGGTTCGGGGTTTAGAGTTTAGAGGCTCAGGGTGTTTTAGGGTTCTGGGTTGCGGGGTTGAGGCCTTGGGGTTTGAGGCCTGGGCTGCCACCGATGGCATGCGGACAAGGGGCACGGACCAGGACTCCGACCGCGCCAGGAGTGGCCAGGAGCCCTCCGATTGCAAGATGCACCCTGAACCCTAACAATCCTCCAGGGTTCAGGGTTCAGGGTTCAGGGTTCAGGGTTCAGGGTTTAGGGTTTAGGGTTTAGGGTTTAGGGTTTAGGGTTCAAAGCCGTTCGAACTGAGCCTGTCCGTACCACCTCCTACGCAAAAGCAGGACCACAATTCGGATTAATTGGCATTGGGTAGGGGTTAGGGTGGGGGTAGCATAGGAACCCTGCCCCTCAAAAAGCAGCATGGGGATGCAGGGGCCTTGTGAGGCCCCCCTTTGCCTATCAGGGACACCCCTCAAATTTCGAATATCAGAAGGATGTCAAGGCCGAAGGGTCGGACAGCCTTCGTTGTGTCTAGGGGCCTCAGGGTTGTGACTCCCATGCTATGGAGGCTCCTAAATCCTGGCCCTCCGAAGGTTAAAGGCTTGTGCTTGGAATTTGGGGGTTAAGGCTTCAGGGAGCTGAAGGGTTTCTGCGTGGGGCAAAGGGGGCTCAGGGTTTCGGAGTTGTGGTCTGTTGGGCTGTGGTTGAAAGTTGAACATTCTGGTTAAACCCTACACCCTAAACCCTAAAACCCTGATGAGGGTTCAGCCGACTATTGGTTTCTACCCTCACCTGAAGCTTAGGTCTAAACGCCCCGAACCCCGAAGACCTTCTACCCTAAAGCCCTGCAAAGCTAAAACCAAACGGGGGTTTCCGAAACTAGGGGGCACCTTCTTGGGGTCCTTATTGTACAGGAATCATACTATTTGGGGTCTATTTCGGGGTCAGTTAAACCCTACACCCTAAACCCTAAACCCTCAACCCTCAACCCGAAAGCCCCAAAACCCCAAACCCCCAAACCCCCAAACCCCAACCCCGCAACCGCCCACAACCGGGTGGCACCGTCGGGCTTGCGGGCTGGGATTCCTCGTCGGAGCCTCGGGCGCCCCAACCCCCTGTCCCAACCTCTACAAATTATGCTGGATCTTGAGGGGTTTCAATTTCAGGGTTAGGTTTTAGGGGTTGGGTTGAGAGTTTAGGGTTTAGGGTTGAGTTTAGGGGTTGGGCTTTAGGGTTTAGGGCGGAGGTTGAGGTAGGTGCACGGCCTGGGGTCTCGGAATTCGAGGACTTCGGGTTCAGGTTTAGGGTGAAGCCTGACACCTTTGTGGCTTGGGGGCCGAACCTTGGTTTGGCCGCAAGCCGCCCCTTCAGAAACCGTGGGACTCCACTTATCCGCCGACCCCAGCGGTAGCAGGGCGGCGTCAGTGAAGACCCCCCACCGCCCTCACCGCCCTCACCCGCTCTCACAGCATGCTGCTCATGACACCTTGAATTGGAGTGTGTTTGGTGCATGCCCAAACCCCGCCACCCATCGCCCTCACCCATGACCTTTGACCCCCCCCACCCCATCCATTCAGGTGGTTTAAAGGGCCCGGTGCATTGCCGACCACCCCCCCCCACCCCCCCCCCCCCCACCCCCCCACCCCCCCCACCCCCCCCCCCCCCCCACCCCCCCCCCCCCCCCCACCCCCCCCCCCACCCCCCCCCACCCCCCCCACCCCCCCCCCCCCCACCCCCCCCCCCCCACCCCCCACCCCCCTTTAGGCCTCGCCCGGATGTTTGTGTTTGAAGGATTCACGCGCTCTCATCACTCCCCCTCCCTATGCCCCCCAGTTCCACCCCCTGCCTGACCCCCCCACCCCCCCCCCCCACCCCCCCCCCCACCCTTTCCGGCCTGTAAGCTTGCCCCCTGCTCCCCCTCCCCCCCCCCCCATCCCTTCCCTCCTAGGCCCCTACCCCCTACTCCGCCCCTGACAATTTTGTAGTTTGAGGATTCCAATCCACGCCCGCCCTAACCGCCTCCCCACTCTCATCACTCCCCTGCCTTCCGCCCCCAACTCCACCAACCCTCGACCGTCACCTGCCCTGTCCACCCGCCGCGCTCCACCCTGCCTTCCGCCCCAACCCTCTCACCAGAGCTGGTCAAATGAGTCAGGCCCCCCTTTCCGCCGCCCCCACCCTCTCCCACTCCCACTCCCTAACCCTCCCACCAACCCTCCCCAGCCTCATCATTACCCCCTCCCACCATCGTGCACCATCCGACCGCCCCCCCGCTCTCACCGCTCTCATCGCTTCTTCATCTCTATGCCCCCCAGTCCACCCCTGCCTTCCGCCCCCAACTCCCTAATCCGACACCAACCCTCTACCGTCACCCCCCACACCCCCCACCCCTTTCCACCCCCACCCACCCCCACCCCCCCCGCCCCCGCCCCCCCCGCCTGCCCGCGCTCCACCCTGCCTTCCGCCCCAATGCGACTGTCTTGGGTCTGGGGTCGGCGGCACTGGCGGTAGCCATTAAATCGGGCAGCGCGAGGTCCCCAAAGGACCGAGCAAATGCGGACCTTTTAGCCCGGGTCGTCCCGGGAATAGCCTTGCTGGCCTCTGGCCTTCTGCGAAGCAGAATTAGGCCGGACGCCAGTGCCGCCGACCCCCGCGTGCCGCCGGTGCCGCCGGTGAACGGTTTTTTTTTCGTGGTTTTTTGCGTCGCCACGGAGGCCCCCAGAGGGCGCGCATCATGAGCATCAGCGGGTCCAGCCCGGGACCCCCAGGCGCGCATCAGGAGCATCAGCGGCTCCCGGGGCGGGACCCCGGGGGCGCATCAGGAGCATGACGCCCCCCAAAGGGCGGGCATAAGCGAGGTGTCTCAGGTCGGGGCTAGGAAAAAGGGAGTTTAGGGGCCTTATAAAGTGCTTAGAAACGTTAAGGGAGTCTAGGAGCCTCAAACGCTTAGAGATTTGAAGGGAGTTTAGGGGCCTGAAAATGCTTAGAAACTTAACGCTTAGAGATTTTAAGGGAGTTTAGGGGCCTCAAAATGCTTAGAAACTGCTCGCCCCGCGCTTCTGCCTGCGCTGCCCGCCCATGGGCGCAGCCCCTTAAATAAATCTTTTCACATTTCAGTATTTAAAAAAAAAACATGTTGTAACTACGTGGGCAACCAAGTTTACAATCACAAAACTCCGGACTGATGGTAGAAAATCATAGACAACCAGTGTGGACTTCTCAGCAAGATGGACCCTGCAATTTGGATCCGCGTGATCGCGCGATTTACTTTCGAAGCTGCTCAATACTTAGCCTGTTGAATGGCGCAAGCCCGCCCTCACAGAAGGTTTACAGAATGTCAGGTGTGGGGTTGGACGGCTCCAAGGCAGTTCTCAATCCAACGACCTCATAGGCCGTGCCTGATGTCATGAACGAGTCTGTATGTTCTACATTGTACCTTCAGATGCCTTAGATGCCGTTGACGGCGCATCTTAGGATTCAAGGGCTTTTCAGTACAGAGCATGCCTGTGGTATCATGGGGAGGCTAAGCGCAGAACCTCCACGAAGCTCTGCATTTAGGGTAGCCGGCTACAAGAGTAAAGAACGGTCTAAGTCGATATGCCTCACAGCACTGGCGTATGCAAAGGACTATGTACACCGATGTATGTCGCCCCTCAATGCATTGGGTTCTGTCAGAACATTCTTATTGCAAAGGCCCTTATAGCCTTATAGTAAGCTGCAGTCGGCCCGCCACTGTCATCTGCCACTGATTCCCGCTGTTGCTGATGCTTGAGGAACTCCTGTCGTATGGTTGCTATCTCGTTCGGCTAAAGGTTTCGGGTTTAGGGTTCAGGGTTAGGGTTCAGGCTTCAGTGTCGCTCCAAACGAGAATACACAGGTGCAGCACCGGATCATGGGAAAGGGACACTGCACCTCTTCTTGCCGAGGTTGCAGCCAAATGGCGGAAGCTGTTTAAGGCCCATAGGGCTTGGGCATGGAGCCTGGTGGAGATAAACCCAAACTCTAGCAAATAAAGACTCTGCATCCCAAATGCTGGACCGAATCCCGAAAGCGAATTCAACGGTGGACAAGGAATGAGAGGCATACTTTGGGCTAGCCCACCCTTTACTGGTCACTACATGAGTGAATATCTAGGCACGAATATAGTCAGTACTATTCCTGGTGGTCACTTGTGTTTTTATTTGTCTGCTGGGGTCAGGGTCTATAAGGGGCTCAGTACCCTCAATGCCTTCAAGACGCAAAACCTTTAAACACCTCATGAATGCAGAAGACACCTAGACTCAAAAACCTAAAGCCGAAAACCTTCCAAGCCTTGACCACCTGAACCCCTAAACCCTAAACCCCAAACCCTAGACCCTAAACCCTGAACCTGAAAATCCTGAATCCTGAAACCTTCCCACACAACGCCCCGGCCTCTTGTAGCTGGGCAACGCTGCTTGGCTTGAGGTTTAGAAGACCTTGCCGCCTCATCAGAGTATAACATACACACACACATATATATATATATATACATATACATATGTATATATATATATATGAATCTAGATGCTGTGTAGTTCTGCATCATATCAATTTCATCCTTACTGATAGTTGAAATAAGAATAAGAAGAATAAGAACATGAGTAATGAAAGTAGTAAAATGTGTATATATATATATACATGTTTATCTATCTACATTGTCGTGACTCCGAAACCCCTTAGCTGCCCTAACCCTGCACCTAAAAGCGTACAGCCCCGAAAGCCTCAACTTTAAGCACACACACGGCAGGAGGCCTTCTGGCAGCGCAGCGCGCCTGTTTAGGGTTTAGGGTTTAGGGTTTAGGGTTTTGGAGGGTCTCGGGCGTAGGGTGGTGGGGGTTCAAGCTTTGGGGCTCTGCTGCGCTTTGGCGCAGAAGCAGTAAGCATCGGCCCTCAACCCTCGGGTCCGCTTTCGGCTTCGGAAATCGAACCCAGACTCGGTCAACCAGCTTTGGGACCTCAGGAAAACTTATATAAGGAAGCCAATGGGGCCAATGGGGGTTGTGGGGGAAAGGCTTGGGGTGTAGGGTCGCGGTTTTCTGCTTTGAGATCTCTAAAATCATCACGAAACAGCTACGGCGTCCAGCGTCAGCCCGAGTCAGCCCCAAACAAGTCTGGCTGAAGATACTCCAGGTTTTGAGTTCAGCCTCTGGGGTGAACGAAAACAGCTGGTCTCGTGTAAACCCCTGACAAGGAAAACGCCAATGACACATGAAGTGACTTGCACCATCCCGAAAAACCATCAACCATGAACTTAAAAACGCAACATACACCATACAAAGAATAACTGAATTTCACGACACCCCCCTACAACCCTAAACCCGAAACCCAAAACCCTAAACCCCAAACAAACCTCCAAAAGCCCTGAAAGCTGCGGGGCTGCCGCCCTCGGAACCTCGAAGCGCAGCACCCGCGGCGTCGGTGCCGGGGTCGGCTTGGAGCTCGGGGACTGCGCCGGAAGCTGAGAGGGTCCAGGGTCTAGAGGGTAGAGGGTTTAGGGTTTAGGGTTTAGGGTTTAGGGTTTAGGGTTTAGGGTTTAGGGTTTAGGGTTTAGGGTTTAGGGTTTAGGGTTTAGGGTTTAGGGTTAGGGCTGAGGATTGAGGGCTTAGGGCTTAGGGCTTAGGGCTTAGGGCTTAGGGCTTAGGGCTTAGGGCTTAGGGCTTAGGGCCTAGGGCTTAGGGCCTACGAGGAGGGGAGGGAGGCGGGAGGTTCTGGTAGGTCCAGGGCTTTGGATTCAGGATTTCAGGTTCTCACCGGTGCTTATGAAAGATGCACTTGTTCAAGTGACACCTGGCAGCTTGTAGCCCAAACGCCCAAACAGGGGTGGGGGTTTCTATGATCCCGGTTCTTGAGTATCCCGAGCACAAGTTCAGAAAACTGCGCATGAGGCGTTTTAGGGTTTATGGGGGGGTTTTAGGCCCAGCTCCGAAGGTCTCGGGTAATACTCCCGAAACCCTGGCCATGACAGGTAGCGTGCACCCCCCTGCGCTTGGGGTCCATCCCCCCCGCCAGGTGGTGTGGTTGGGGGTTGGGGTTTACGGTTAAGGGCTTAAAGTTTAGGGTTTAAGGTTATAAGGTTTAGGGTTGAGGGGTGGGGATGGGGGGCGAATCGGGAGGCCTGAAATCTGTCTGGTTTTGAAGCATAGGTGGCAACAACACCGATCACACCATCTCAAGGCAAGACGTGCCCACGCTTTCGGACACTTAAGGTTTGGAATATGCTGTGTATCTTATTGAGGAATACGATATTACATTATCATACTGTATCGTCGGTAAAGATATATATATATACACACACGCGCTATCCCTATCAGAAAATAAACTTACTACTACACAAAAATAGTAGTGTGGACCTTGCCGTGGGGGGGGGTCCAGTCCGGGCTCCTGGAGATTGCGACCATGGGGAGTGGCGAGTTTCTGGATCAACGCATCAAGCTTCCTTGAAGAGAATGCAGCTTTAGACAGGGTTTAAGGCTGTCTCTAGCGTTGGGGCCTCGGGTTCGGGGTCATAGGCTTAGGGCGCCGGCCAACGGATCATCAATGGAGGAGATGTCTGAAGCAGCCTGAGGTAGGGCACGAGCTTCAGATGCGCTCATGCTAGACGTTCCTGCGCTACTGGCATCAAGGGGATGGCGTGGGGGGTTAGGGATGCACGGGTCATTTTTGAGTGCACGCCGAGTCTGGATTCTGATCCGGCCCGGCCCCGGTCAAGAAAGGTTTCTTGTACTTACGAGGCTCAAAGAAGTGCATCGGAACATGGTACATATGGTTAATATACCCTAGTTGGGGAATACAGTAGTATAGGGTATATGGTCCCAATTTCGGGGTTCATAGTCTGGTCCCCAAGAAAGCACTAGGACGCCGCATTTGGGGTCAAGAAGCTTTCATGGCTTCGGCCACGTACATTTGTAAGCCCGCGGCCCTGGGCGATGGAGGAATCTCCACGGACAGCATCGCCTGGCAGGGTGTTGGGTTTAGGTTTAGGGCTTACCTCCTCCCACCACCACCACCACCACCCACCCACTCAAAAACCACCCTCAAACAACCCAGACACCTAAACACCCTCAACATCCTCAACACCCTCAACACCCTACACTGTAAAAAAACCCTCAAAACCCCAAACGCCCCAAAACACCCTAAACACCCTCAACACCCCAAACATCCTAAACACCCCCCCCCCCCCCCCACGCTAAACACCCTCAACACCCCTGATCACCCCAAACACCCCAAACCCCGTTAACTCCCTTGACACCCTGTACCCTAAACCCCTAACCCCTAAACCCAAACACCCCTCAACTCCTTTGACACCCTGAACGCCCCAAACCCTAAACCCTAAACCCTAAACCCTAAACCCTAAACCCTAACACCCCTCAACTCCTTTGACACCCTGAACGCCTTAAACCCGCCACGCCGACCTTGGACTCGCCGGTGGCCAGGGGGTGGGCTGGTGCGCCTCCATGGCTTAGGGGGCTTTAGGCGTTTTTGGGGGTTTTTAGGTGGTCTTAGGGGGTTTTAGGGGGTTTTAGGGAGTTTTAGGGGAGTTTCAGGGGGTTTGGGGGGGTTTTAGGGGTTCTAGGGATCTCAGGGTCGTAGGATCATCTTAGGGGTCGCAGGAAGAGTTCTGGCTCGGAGGGCTTCAGGGCATCTTGGCGCTTAGGCTTTCAGAGTTCTGGGTTTGTGGGTTTCAGGGTGTTGGGTTCGGATTTAGGGTTCCAGGGTCTCGGGATTAGGGTTCGCCAGCGCTTTTCCTCTCAAAGATCCTCAACCCCCTCAAGCCCTAAACCCTGAACCCTAAACCCTAACCTGTCGAAGATCCAGCTTTGGGTCTCGGGAGGCTACGTGCATTCCGCGAGGGCACATTGTGCTTGAAGGCATAGAAGCCATGAAGGCAATGAAGGCCACGAAATTAAACCCTAAACCCTAAACCCTAAACCCTAAACGAAAGCCAGGAGGGGCCCATACATGCCACGACAAAACGGAAGAGGCACCTGGCTTGCTTGGGAAAAGACTTTTCGATCTCATATCCATCTCTTGCGCCATGGATCCTGCTCCACCCGCCACCTCCCAATTAGGATCTAACTGCTCAGGGCATAAGGGCTTGGAGTCCCTTTAATGCGACCATATTAAACTCTGAACGTCCTGTGGCCCTGTTCAACCCGCGCCTGGTGACCCTGCTTTTCGCTTCTGCTGCTTTTGCCAGCGCTGGGCCATGCGTCGGCAGGTATCCTGGCTTGACGCTTTCAAGGCTTGAAGAATTCAAGGGTTAAGAGTCTCAGAGTCAGAGCTTTGACGTGTTGGAGTTTGATGGCTCTGAGAGGTTTGGGATTCCCCTAGGGGTTGAAGGTGTCAAGTGCTGCTGTGGAAAGACCAAGCGCTGTCTTCTGGAAGTTGTTTGGGCCCGAAACTCAGCTATGTTGAGAATCGGTTGGCGGCCTTGTTAACCAGCTGGAGGGGTCTGGGCTCCAGGTTGTTAAGGCTCCAGCTTCAGAGCTCAGGGTTTACCCTAACATTACCCCCTTTTTAAGCAGAATACCCAAAACCCACAAACCCCTAACCCCCCCCCCCCCCCCCCCCCAAAAAAAAAAAAAAGGAAAAAAAAAAAAAAAAAAAAAAACCCTCACCCTGTGAGCTTGCTGCGGCAGAGGCACGCTACACTGACGACGCTTCTCCTGCCCGACTTCCCAAGGTTGAGGGATGGTGGGCTTGGGCAAAGCATGCCTCTAGAGTGGTCAGGGTTTAGGGTTTAGGGTTTAGGGTTGAGGGTTTAGGGTTTAGGGTTTAGGGTTTAGGGTTTAGGGTTTAGGGTTTAGGGTTTAGGGCTTAGGGTTTAGGGTTTCAGGTTTGAGGCTTCGGGCTTGGGGTTTAGGGTTTCGGGTTTAGGGTTTGGCTGGATTGAGGGTTCCGGGCTTTAAAGTTAGACCTTAGGGATCCTGAGGGTATAAAGTGCAGGGTTTTAATCGCTCAGGGATGAAACCCAGGTCCTGCTTATGAGATCGGTCATCTGCATCGCCACGACCACAGCTGCCATTAACTCCAGCTTGTATACAGTTCAGGGTTTAGGGATTAGGGCTTTGAAGCAGGATAAACCACCACGAGGAAAACTCGCCCGAAACGTGACACTCTCTACTCCAAACTCCCTGAAACCCTCAAACCCTGAAACCCTCAACCCTTAAACCTGGATCATCTGGCAACGGATCCTAGCAGCGTTCTCGCCCGGCAGGCTGCTTGCATAAACCCTCAACACCTTATACTCTAAACCCTCAGCCGAAGCGTTGCCAGCACATGCAGCTCCTTTCGGTAGTCCGCCCACTCTCGGTTGGCACGCTCCTAGCTCACGTTTCCCAAGGCTCAGGGATCTCGGGTTAAGGTTTAAGGGTCAAAGTGCTTGTGTATGTTTACATTTTCGGGGCTAGAGGATTAAGACTGTCAACGGGTTGAGGTTTCATGGCTCAGGCTTTAGAGGGTGAGGGCTTAAGGAATTCTTAGTCAAGTGCCAGCAAGAGCAACAGCATCTGTGGGATGTGCCAGTCGCTCCTGCTCAAAGTAGACGGCTACCACAGCGGACCGGAAGACCTGCAAACCATTCGAGGCTTAGGCATTAGGATTTAGAGTTTCAAGGCTTCGGGGTTTCTATATGTAGGGGGGTTTCGGACTTTAAAGGTTCAGGGGGTTTATGTGGCATGCCATGCGGACACTTCACTTGCAGCCATGTGTGAAACACTTGTCGGTCCCCCGAACCGGCCTGCGATTCTGGCACGAAACCTCGGATGGCCACTGAAAAAGCGATGCACTCTGCAACTCTGGGTTCCCCCCGCAATAAACAGGGAATGAAACGTGCACCGTACACGGTGCTTGTTTATGTGGCGGCCTCAAAGATACCGAGGGAAACTAAGAGCCCTAGAAAGGGGAACAAGTATGACATGGAGGGGAGAGGGGGGGGGCATCCGAAGTCTCAGGATTCTTAAAGCCATAAGTCTTAGGCTTTGAGGTTCAGGGTTGAAACGTTTAGGGCTTAGCGCATCAGCGCCTCGGGCCCGGGGGCCGAGCTGCTGGGAACCTCCGGAAGTTAGGAAACACTGTACATATACATTCAGAGCATACACTGTAGAATGTATACACCGCATAGACTGTACACTGTATACACTATATACACTGTACGCACTGCAAATACCGTGGTTCTGATTCTCACACGATGCTGGATGTTGCAGTGTCTGAACCTCGCGTCGCCCCAAAAGCGAGCAGCGTCGTGGTGATGCTCGCCCACCCTTGAAAGGCCCGGGTCGTGCATGCGCAGGCTCGCACCCCGTTACCTCCCTCAGTCTTCTCTCCCCTGCGCAGTGAAGCATCATCGCTCGGGCCTCCGCAGCATCATCAGCATCAGTATCAGCAGCATCAGCAGCATCGGCAGCATCGGCAGCATCAGCGAAGGCCGGCTGGGGTGTGGGGGTTTGCGGAAAGGCTACTGCCACCCACGGACCGTTAAGAGGCATCTACTGGCGCCGTTGCGCGTGCATGTGGGTGAGTTGAGTTCTTGGCCTCATGCGTCCAGTGTCGGCAAGCTCCCCAAACCTGACGGGGCGTAGCCCGCCGTGGGTGGCAGCCCCCTGGGGCCTGGGATTTAGAGCCAGATACCCAACAGAGCCGAGAGGCATTGCGACCAGGCAATACAGGTATCCTGGGCCTCTGCCGACCCCGTATCCTCGGCACAGATCAGGGCTCAGCCACTATAGCTCTACCCTAGAACCCCGGCACCGCGTCTTCCGGCTTAGGGGTTTTGGAAGCTTGGCTTCCTTTGTTCTAGGGGTTGTGGGCTCTGGGAAGGGGCAGTGGGAGATCCGTGGAGGCTCAGAGCTTCAGGGTTTTCAGGGTTCTAAGGGCTCTTTTGAGTTAAGCCGGCTGGGGATGAGGCAGCAGCCGCGCAAGAGGTTGAAGCAACAGGCTGGCATGATAAACTGCAGCAAGAAATGGATTCTGAAAATCCCCAAGCCCTTACATCCGATAACCACAGAGAAACCTGAAGCCCTTAAAGCCCTAAACCCTGAATCACGGATTGCCACAACGCCCCAGATGGTGCGCCACTCTCCTGAGTCTCAGACCCAGATTCCTTGCCTGCAGAGTTTTCCGGTTTAGGATTTGGGGGTTGGGGGGGGGGGGGGGTTCGAGGGTTTTGAGGTTTGAGGGCTCCCGGGCTTAGTATAGAGAATCAGGGCTTTGGGCTTCAGGGCTTTATTCTGGTTTCAGGGTTAGCGGTGCCTAACGGCTTTGTGAGTGCAGTTGCCATCGGGAGGCAAATGAGAGGGAAGGGAGGGGAGGGGGGCCTAAACTGCTTGTATAGGGTTTAGGGCAGGGTGGAGAGCGAACAGCGCTTGGTTCTTTTGAGGGACTACAAAGGGTGCCTCATTCCCTTCCCTACGCTGGGTGCTTTGGTCATCAGCTCAGCAGCAAGCTGTAACTCGCCAAGAATGCGGTCCGTGCGCTCAAGGAGTTTCGGGGGGTATGTGGTTTAGGTTGAGGGCTTCCTGAGCAAAGACGATGGAACTAAATCTACAACTCGCCTCTCTTCTGGCGACATCGGGACGGCCAATGATGGCAAGCGCACCTTCGGCGTAACAGCTGACAAATGCCCACGCAGAAGAACAGCATAGGGGTCAGGGTTTATAAATGGTTTATGAGAGTGCAGGGTTTAATGAACAGGGCCATGCTTCAACTTACCCTTCAACTTACCATTCGTTCCTCGCCATGCATGCTGCAAGTGGATTTCTCTGCTCGCTGCAAGACGCAACTTGACTATCCCGCCTAGGCCCACTAAGCTTCATGTGGCACAAGCTGCTAGAAGCTGCGACATGCGCGCAGAAGTCTTCGTCACCCAAAAGTCTTGGAAACCATCCTGTGCACCTTCGGTGAGCGCTGCTTCCTCGGCGAACCTGTCGGCGAGATGTCTGGACCCAGAATTGGGGTAGCTAGGAGAAAGGCAAGGCTGCCTTCTCTTCGGGTCTTGAGACTCCTGATGGTCCTTACCCGCCCCAGCAACCCCTAAACCTTTCTAAGCCCTCCCCCAACAGCTTATATAGACAGACACCCACAAGCATGCAAACTTAAACCCTAAACCTCGACCCGAAACCCTAAATGCAAACCCTAACCACCCCAAAGAGCAACAAACCGGCGTGCCCTGAGAGCACTACTGTATGGGTGTTGCGGGATGAAGGTAAAGTCTAAACCTACTTTCTCGAACTCGAGATCCTGAACTACAATCTCCAAGAGTCCAACATGCATCTTGAGGAATGCACGATTTTCCGGAAAGGCAATTCTTGACAGATCTATATTTTGGGCTCCTGTTGAGCAAAGGGGGGGGAAGCTGCGTCTTACAGCTCTTCATATGATGTGGGTGGAAACTGCCGTCTGTGGCTTCGCCAAGCAATTGCAGCTGCGGCTGAAGCCGCAAAGGCCACGACTAAGCCTACAAAAACTGTGAGCCAAGGTACTTTGGCAGATGCACGTTTCCAGGGCAGCCCGGAAGCAGACTCAGTGTCCTGGATCAAAGATGTCAAAAGGCAGTTCTTCATTGCCTTCTTTCCCTTCTTCTTGAGCAAGGCGTAGTCCACTGCAGTCAAGTCTTCACACCACAGCTTGTCGCAACCACAGTCAAGCAAACCATTCTGCAAGACAGGGGCGTCAGCGGGGCATCCACTGCCTGCAAACATGAAGACATTGGCAATCAAACTCGAGGTGTCCCATGAGGCAAGACATCGGCTGAAAGCCGTGGCGCCAAAGAACAGATAGGACGCAAATTGGAGGCTTGATGTGTCCTGGGTTGGCGTTTAAACCCTCTGAAAAATATTTATGTATAGGGTCCCTTTTGAACCCTCATGAGGAAATAAAAGTGTCCCAAAAACCAACCTAGTGTCCCACCGACCCAAGGGCTTGTTGAAAGCCGTGGCACCGTCGAACATCCGAAGCATGCTCCTCACCTGCGACGTGTCCCATGTGTTCAGGGGCTTGTTGAAGGCCGTGGCGCCTTGGAACATTGCGGCCATCGATGTCACCTGCGACGTGTTCCATGCACTGAGGGGTTTGTTGAAGGACACGGCGTTTCTGAACATCCTCAGCATGGTGGTCACGCTTGACGTGTCCCATGAGTCCAGGCGTTGGTTGAAGGCTGTGGCACCGTTGAACATGTTTGCCGTGGAGGTCACCCTCGACATGTCCCACGAGTCCAGGGGTTGGTTGAAGGCTGCAGCGTCAAGGAACATGCCTTCCATGTCCATCACCCTCGACGTGTCCCACGAACGAAGGGGCTGGTTGAAGGCTGCGGCTCTACTGAACATGCGCGCCATGGTGGTCAAACTCGACGTGTCAAATGAGTCGAGGGGCTGGTTGAAAGCCGAGGCGCCATCGAACATGGATCCCATCAAGGTCACACTGGACGTGTTCCATGACTCGAGGGGTTGGTTGAAGGCTGCCGCCTCCACGAACATGGCCCTCATGTCGGTCACCCTCGATGTGCTCCATGAGTCGATGGGTTGGTTGAATTTTGTGGCCTGGTAAAACATAGCCAGCATGCTTGTCACTGCCGATGTATCCCACGAATTTAGGGGCTGGTTGAAGGGTGTGCCCCAAAACATGAAAGCCATGTCTTCCACGTTCGAAACGTCCCACGCATCAATGTTCTCATTGAAGTCGAGATTCATGAATAGTGCATTCATGGTAGTCACTTGGGAAACATTCCAATCGCCGATAGGTCCATACACTCCTTCGATGGCAAGCTTTTCTGCTGGTGTCCCAGCCACCCAGTCTCCCACTACCGTCTTCAACTCAGCTCCGTCTTGGAAAGGCTGGAAGCAATTGCCCGGAAGCAACTGCAGCACAAATAGGTAGAAGATCATGTCTGCAAGGCTTCGCAAGCAGCTTTCAAGCTGCAGCTATGGACTTCGAGTCGAAGTTGCAGCGGCTTTGCGGTGGTGAAGTCGCAATGCTTGCTTGCAACATCTTACAACAAAACCCACACAAGAATGACACTGCCCCTGCCCATGCCCAGTGAGGGTTTTGGGTTTTGAGTCTTGCCAGCTCTCGAAGATGCACACAATGACCCAGGATCTGGTAACATTGCAACAGGGATCAGCGTTCGAGCATCTATCCGAATCCTCACAGACTTCAAGCATCCCTTCGGGGGCTTCAGTTCGCTAGGCACCTCTCCCAAATGTATGGGGTCTAGGGTTTAGGCTTTAAAGTCTAAGGTCCAGGGTTTAGAGTTTAAGGTTTCGGGTTTAGGGTTTTGGGAGGTACAGTAGACTTGGTCTCGCAGGGTTAAGCTTGCAAAGCCACGTGCAGCTGTTCGGAGCCTGAGGCACTTCTTGGCGACCTGCGTGCAGCAGGAAGACAGACAAGAGTCGTCGAGCAACAGTATGGGCCCTGCTTGATACTCCAAAGAAAGAGACATGTACGTTCATAGGGGCTCAAAGAAGGCCCAATGTGCTCGGAATCGGAGCTCCCCCCCCTCTCGATATGCCTCAAGGAAACTTCCAAATAATCCGTACATTCCACTAAAACTTTAAACTAGAATCATATGGGCCCTTCTTCTGGGTCTCCTAAAAAGACAAGGCTCCGCATTACAGTCGGAACCCACAATTTAGAGAACCCCCCCCCCCCCCCCACATATGCAGTACCTCATACATCTGAGCCCACCCCTGCTCTAAGAAAGGTACGGGCAGTACAAATCCTTCAGGCCCCCTACCGTCCCCCCCTAAGGTAGGGGATTCCCCAAGAGCCCCCTCCCTTTCCTGGTACCATCCTAGGCACACTCACTCGATAGGGGTGAAGGGCTGAAGACAAGAGGCAGCGCCATTGGAACTCCTAAAAACCTGAACCCCTAAACCCAGTCGTAGGTCACACCCCCTAGATAAGCCCAAAAAAAAGTAGGTTGTAAGGGACCCAGGAAACCCTAAATCCTAGCCAACCGCATACCCGAAATCTGAAACCCTAAGCCCTACTACTGTTCCCTAAACACCCTAAACCCTAAACACTAACCCTAAACACTAAACCCTAAACCCTCAACCCTAAACACTACACCCCAAACCCTGAACCCTAGACGAGGCTGCCTGGCAAGCCGCGCAGGGGGTGGCTCTGCACCGGCCTGCCATCACGAGGCCCAATGTGCGAAGGACGCTGAAGCTTTCGGAGTTCCAGCAACAACATGATCATTAATATGCATATGTATATGTATGTATCTATCCATCTGTATATATAAGAGAGAGAGAGAGAGAGAGAGAGTCGAATAACCAACGATTAAGGGTGCTGGGCTTGGGGTCTTGTTTTAACCTGCGCGAAGATGCACACCATGACCCCAGGCCCGGAAAATAATGCTACGGGATCTACAGGGATCAGAGTTCGAGCATCGATCCTCAACCTTGTAGACTTCAAGCGCCTCCGACTCCATCCTACACTATACCCTGAGTCCCCAGCACCTAAACCCTACCAACCTCTCAATTTAGCTGATTTAGCTGTGTCAGGGTTTGGGGGTGATGGTCTGGCCTAGGCTGGGAAGTCAAAGGTCTAAAGCTAAGGGTCTCGGGTCTTACGGTTTCGGTTTCCAGGGTGACCCAGTTCTTTGCGGTTCATATGCTGTCAAGGCCCGAGGTTGTAGAAGTATAGGGTAGCTGAACCCAACTCTACGGCTCGTTTCGTCCTCAGGGCTGGCGCGCCGCTGGCCTGGTAGACTGCCGCTAATCGGCCCAGGACATCAGGGTCGCAGCCCTTGCCTCGCGTCGACAATGCAGAGGAGGGTCGTTACTGTTACGGTTCTTGACCCTAGACCCTAGACCCTAGACCCTAGACCCTGGACCCTAGACCCTAGACCCTAGACCTTAGACCCTGCTTCAAGCCAACAAGAAGGGAAATGTACATTGCAATATGCCGGTATACCTGCCTTTTGCTCTAAGGTGCAGGATGGACTCAACACCAAAACCCAAATGCAACCGGAGGCTGGGGCCAGATGATTCTGGAACTCAATGCCTCAGTCTCAAACACGGAACACACCGAAACCCCAAACCCAAAAGAACCAACTGAATCCGAATCCGAAACCCTCCAGAAATCCTGTTCCTTGAGAACGCTGTTGAGAATGGGCTCCCCACGTACCGGCGGCAAGGGAACCTTCTCTCGAGGAGAAAGCATAACAACGGCTTGGCCTTGGCTTCGGGGCGAGGTTGAACTCGCCGGTAAACAAGGCTTAGAGTTTCGGGCTCCAGGTTTAGTCTAGGATGTTTAGGGTAAGTTCCTACATCGAATGTAAAGAGTATACAGGACGTAAGCTTGGGAGTGTATATGTATATATATATATATATTATTTATTTATTTACCATACTTGCATGTTGAAAAGACTCAGATGAAGTTTGCTTAAAGCAGGAAAAGGTCTAGAGTCTAAACTTTGTCAACACTCGTGAACCCAAAACTGTCTAGCTGTCCTTCTTGATCATCTAAATTGCGGTAAGAGTTCGCAGAATTTTCATCACAAGTCAACCCCCAAAACCGTCAAATCAGAAAAACAAGTTATACGGTTTGCAAACTTTAAGCTTTCACAACATAGGGATGCCGGGAGTTGGAAATTAGACAAAATGCCCCTTAAGTTCGGCCTTCTTCACATGGTAAGCTCTGAATTTGCTTGCAGATTGCAATGTATTTGGCCCGGTGTTCCTGTATCAACCCCAAGCATGTCAACCAAGCCGCCGTCAAGGGGGGAGACCAGCTCCATGGCCACATGTGGCAACGAGCTGGAAGAGCTGCTTGGGGAGGGGGGATTGAGGGTTTCGGGTTTGGGGGCCTCAGGGACCCAGAGCTTCGGGGGGTTCAGGGGGTTCAGGGGGTGGCTAAGATTTCGGGAGGCTCCGAAGTGAAAAGCTGGGCATGCGTGCGGGCTGTGCTACATTAGTTTGGGTACATATACGAGCTATGAGGAATAATAAACAACAAACTGACGCAGAGACCCTAGACCCTTTACATGCTTGGGACATGTTCTACACAGAGACCTTCACTCATGAGGCCATCGCCTAGTTCTATCGAGATCCCAAGCCCAGATCCCCTCATTCTTTATGACTGTAGCCCGATAGCAAGGAACGGGTAGAACCCCCGACTCCGGCGAGAGCTTCGTGCTTCCTCAGGAAGACGCTCTGAGCCGGCGGCAGACAGGGCGTGGGGCTTGGGTTTCGCGTGTGGGTCTGGGGTTTCGGGGTTCATAAGATTTAGGCTTTAGGGTTTTGTGGGCGCCACAGCCCGAAGACGAAGTAAACACTTCCATCCCATTGAGTTCGATTGATGGGAGTTCAGGGTGAAAGGTGAAAAAAGTGGCTTGAGGGGTCTGGGGTGCATACAGGGCTTTCTAATTCTTGCCGGGATACAAGGGCTGCTGCCTCAGGTAAACGGTGTATTCGGTTTATGAAGTGAGCTCTCTAAATCATGGCCCGTCATGGGTGGTTCTGAATAGGCGTTCAAAGGCTATGATATTGGATACCTTACTTGCAACCCTCCTAAATTAGGCTTAACCCCAAGGTTTACTCTGTTTACACCAAAAAACCACCTAATATAGGGGCCTGAATAATCAGAAAAAGGGACCATAAGGGAATACTACTCGTAACTATTACGACCCCTATATTATATGGGCACCTGAGCTTTCAAGCAGGGTTGTGGGGATGGTTTCCCTTGGCGCTCAGGGCTCGGAGCACGGGACTCGTGATGTCGACGCCACTTTAGGGGTGCAGGGGTTTGGGGTTTGGGGTTCAGTGTTTCAAGGTCGATGAAGCCCTGATACCTCCCGCCGCCTCCTCCAAATTCGCCGGCAGCGGCGGAGGAGGTACGAAAGTGCTGGCGGCATGATTTGGCATACCGCTCCTCGTCAGCTCTTCTTGTTTGCGGAGGTCGGGTTTATCTTCACAACCCAAAACATACACACATGTCGTATACACGATTCTTTAGCAACCAGCGAATACAAGGGCTTGTCCAACGGTGGGGTTGGTTTGGGGTTAGGTTACCCTGTTCCTTCCGCACCGTGCCTTGCGCAAGGTGAACCAGAACCAGCCCTGTTTAGGGAGGTACTTCACGGCTGGTCGGGTTATACGTAAGGTGACCTCTTACCTGAGGTACTTCTATCCCTTCTTCAAGGGATCCACCGTACATTTTGACCACACTGATGATTCAACCTCATAATAGTAGCCGCCTACATCTGCTGATGCTCTATCATTACTTCGCAACCACGAATCAGGCTCCAGTGGTGTTGCGAAGCACGAAGAAATTCGCGAATAGTTCGCAATTCGGTAATTCGCTTTTATTGTTAACTCGCCAATTCGAATTCGCAGAATCGCAACTCGATTTCATTCCATTCGGGTCAGATTCTGACTTTATAGTTCGTTGAAGCAAGTAATGTGAGGCAATGCGTCAAGTATCGTCGATGCGTTGAGTTGTATATTCTTCCTTGTTTCCTGATTTGTGGACTAGTTTTGCTGTATTTGGTAAATATCATGGCATTCACGTTAAACCGCATTATGGCCACGTAGGATGTGTATATACTGCACATGGTGGTCTACACCATGGTATGGCCGAACTTTATGTTTATTTCATTGCCACTCCAAACAATATATCAGTTCGCGAACAATTCGCAACTCGAGTCGATATCAGCTCGATTCGACTGATTTGCAGAATTGTAGTTCATAAACCCTCTAACCCCCAAACCCTATAGACCCATAACGCCATTAGCCTTCAATTAGGATTGCTTTTGGGTTTGGCTTCGGGAAAATAGCGGGGGGCCAAAGGCTTGAGTTCTCTTGCCCAATTTCAGTTGTCCTTGGGTCTCTCCTAGGCAGTTTAGGCATTTAGGGTTTAACGTTTAGGGCTTGGAGTTGTCAAAGTTAAAAAGGTGCATGTTTCCATCGAATAAATACGTAACCACTAAACAGAAAGATGCCCAGCATAACTGTTGGAAATAGCTCTAGCCATTGGGGAGGCAGCTTTCGCAGAGCTTGGGAAAGCTCCGATGTCCCTGTCTAAGTAGAAGTATATCTGTATCATACATATGTGTATATACACATATACGATACTATATCTATTCTGATAGATATATATTATACATTATACATGTTGTTATAGTCTCTAACCCCAAGAGCAACTGAGAGAAGCTGTAGGGCCAAGGCTGCAGGCGGATGCGCATGAAGCTAACGAGCGGCGTCACCGCCAGGTCACCGTGATCGGCCCTTGGTCAAGGTCTTAGGCTTCTGGAAAAGGCTTTAGGGTTTAGGCTTGGGAGGCGATAGGGGGTTCCGGGATCGTTGGATGAAGCATGTTAACATGGCAAGGCAGCCGTGTAACAAGAGGAGCAAGCTCCGTGAAATGGGCTGAAAGCATCCTACAAGCTAAAGACTTCCTGTTGTAAGGCATCAAGCACGCAGCAATAGTCTAGTGATTACCAATATTCTTCCTCTTGTACTTACCCAGAACGTCCTTGAAAGCTCGGAAGGCGTCACCGCTAGAGCTGCTGACTTTCTGCACCGGCGCATCGCTGAGGCAAACTAATGCGCAAAAGATCGCAAAAGGAATAATGGAGCCTGCTACGCGACGCTCTACTCAATGAATTAGTTCGGATTCATCCGGAACGTAGATTTACTGTACAGATCCTTGTGACCTGAAGGCGGCCAAAAGTAGCCGGTAATGGTCGTAGCAAGGCAGGGCACTGCTGAGACAGCTGTTGTGGCTCAGCAGATGCTGCCAAAATGATCTTCATGCAAAATCTCATAACTGCTCTGTCCCTGATATTGGCGGCTCATGCTGATGAGGGCCTGCTCCTCGTAGCAGCCAAGCTTGTGCCCTCCTTTGAAGTGGCACTGGATCTCACAAACATCATCACAATGCTCGTGGGCACTCTGTGAGCCGTACCTGTGATTGTAGTCTCCGGCAGCGTACAGCTGGGTCTTGCCATTTCTCGACCGTGAGCACATGCAGCAAGTCTCCCCGGAAGTACCATGGCCCCAACCGAAGTTGTTGCTAGGCCCCCACTGGCTGGAAGGAGGATTGTGGCCGCTGCCCCAGCCGCCACCGTTGCCTCCACCATGGCCACCACCATTCCATCCCCCATTGTTACCTCCTCCGTTCCATCCACCACCATTGTTGCCACCCCCGTTCCATCCACCATTGTTGCCTCCTCCGTGGCCACCGCCATTCCAGCTGCTGCCTCCTCCATGACCACCATTGCCCCCGCCGTTCCATCCACCACCGTTGTGGCCACCTCCGTTCCATCCACCATTGTTGCCTCCTCCGTGACCACCGCCATTCCAGCTGCTGCCTCCTCCATGACCACCGTTGCCCCCTCCGTTCCATCCACCACCGTTGTTGCCACCTCCGTTCCATCCACCATTGTTGCCTCCTCCGTGACCACCGCCATTCCAGCTGCCGCCTCCTCCATGACCACCATTGCCCCCTCCGTTCCATCCACCACCGTTGTTGCCACCTCCGTTCCATCCACCGTTGTTGCCCCCTCCGCCGTTCCATCCTGCACCATTCCAGTCGTTGTTCCAAGCACCGCGGAGACTTGACTTGGTGTTCTTGGGCTCTTCTGTGCCTGGCAACTTCTCGGTCAGCGGCACGCTGCTGTTGCCTTCAGCGACGCTCGCGTTGGAAGCAGCTTCAGCGGGCGGACTTTGGAGAGGCTTCGGCAGCAGCTCCGACGCTGTGGGATCTTCTGCCCAGCATGCGCTCAAAGCGACAACCATGATCAACCTCCGCATGGCGCTGAATTGCGACCGTCGCTGTGTTCCGAGCAGCTAGAAACTGAACATACGGCTGCACACGTGCGAGAGAGGGCGCATCTCAGGCAGAGGTTTAGGGCTCAGGGCTTCGGGGTTGGTGCTTTCAAGGCTTTCAAGGCCTTAGGGGCTCCTTCGCATGGATTTCTCAGGGAGCCTGGGAACAACCACTGTGAGCTTGCATGGCCCAAGCCTTGCTGCTTGAATCACTGCTGCTTGAATCACTGTTTCTCGGGAAACCTGAATAAAATACTTGTTCTACGCAATTCGGTGATACCCCCAAGAATGTCTCGAGTCTCGAGTTGCATGCTGCTTGTTGTTGGCTAGTGGGGGAAAGTAAGAATGGGGTAGTGCTCTAGTTATGATCCTGAATTCCCGCGTCCCTACTGGCCAGCAGCAAGGTTGTCGCCACATTTCTCTGCATGTCCGGGTCCCCGGCAGAACCTTTGCCAGCCAATCTTTCAGCACAATGCCGCTGCCCTGGCGCTCAAACCGAACCAGTGAAATGTTTCGAGCTCTTCTTGAAGTTCCACGTAAGGTTGGAAGTACCCCCAGTAAGGCTTTCATAGAGGCAGCCTGACTGCTAAGCCTTAAACCCTGAACCTTCCTCTATGACTACCTATGAACCTTCAAGCAAGGGAAGGAGGCCGTGGGCGTTACTGCTGAGAGCGTTAGACGTGCTGGTGTCACAAGGCTGGCAGGTCTCTGTGCATGTGGGCTTCCTGGTAGAAACATATTATATATATATATATATATATATATATATATATAAGATACAGAGAGATAGTTTGTTGTTCGTGTTTTTGTGTACAATTTGGGCTAGCGGGCTTCTGATGGCTGCAGCGAAGCCGTGCACACAAACGCAAGCACTGCCTCACGGTCTTCTAGGTTTGTGGCTTAGCGTTTAGGCGTTTAGTGACGAAGCTCCTGCTCTCAGGTTTGACCGCAAAGTGTAGACCTGACCCAAACGCATGACAGGGGGATGGATCTGCAACTCTTGCAGGCCATCTTGGTTCCCCTTCCCTACATGGAACACGCTCTGACGGCGCCCGGGAGGCTCGATGCAGGGAAGCCCCCATCCCCAGTAGTCCTAGTCCCAAAATAACCGGAAAGCCCAGTCTCAGAACCAGGGCACAAGAAAACAGCAGCTTTCGGTAGCCAGCCCCCTCAATAAGCTTTGCGGGGTTTATGGTTGAGCGTTTGGGGTTGAAGCTTTAGGCTTTAGCACCTAGAGTTTCGGGATCAGGGCTCAGGGCTTACCTCGCACAACTAACCGGTAGACCCCCAAAGCCATTGTGCATTTTGATGACTCTAGCTAGAAGGGACCCCCAACCTTAAACCTAAACGAAACCCGAAACCCGAAACCCTTGACCCTCATACCTTAGCCCTAAAACCCCAAAAGCCTAAGCTCCAAGCCTCCTTCGTGGACGCAAGCAACACGATGCGGCACACCATGTCCGAAGGAGGTCCCTTCAAAAGGTCGGCCTGTGTGAAGCTCAGGGGTTTGAGGGCCGGGGTTTAGGGTTTAGGGTTTAGGGTTTAGGGTTTCGGGTTTAGGGTTTAGGCTTTGGTCATAAGTACCATAAAGAAGGCTAGCATGTATAGGTATAGGTTACCTTACGTAGAAACACCAGCTTTCTGAAAAGTGTACACATGAAGCCATGAACCTTCAAGTAGCCCGGCCTGAAACTCCAAACCCGACATACCCGCAAACCCAGGCGTCAGGGTGTAGGACGTCGGGTTTGGGGTTTAGGGACTTAGGGTTGTGATTCCGGGTTTTGACAGAGATCCAGGCCGGAATTTGCTCCTGAGGCGGCGGCGTAGAACCCCTTCATGTTGTCGTTCCTTGAGTTTGGGGATTTGGGTATTTAGGGTTTAGGGCCCAGTGCCTATGGTTTAATGAGGGCCCTTGACCCTAAACTTCCCTAAACCCCCAAACCAACTCGAACCGGAACTCCATCCGTCTGTCAGCTATGTGAAGATGCTGCGCGTGGTAGAGATTGATGTTCGGGGATGGGGGCCTCGGAAGTCTGAGCCCAAAAGCCCGAGAATCCCGAATCCACCTCAAACCCTGGTAAACCCTGGTGCCCCACACAGCTCAATAGCAGAACCCCAACCCTCAACCCCCCTTTAACACCCTACTTGATGAGGGACTGAGGGCCCCTCCTTCACACCCTAAGAACAAGCCCCAATCCGCCCAACAAATCCCTATACCCTAAGCCCCAAACTTGGGAGCTTGCATTAGCAGGTTGAGGACCTTCGGCAAGTTTGCGACTGGATCCTGCGAAGAGGACGCCAGGCTGGTTAGGGGTGGGGATCTAAAATTTGTGGATGTGAGGTTCTCGGTTTCTTTCTGGTTTTGGTGGGGCCAGGGGCATAGGAGCTTCAGGACTTGGGTTCTGGATCTCACTGGAGCACCCCACCACCGAAAAGTTGCTGAGGGCCTTGTCCAGCATCGCTCGCAGAAGCCTGGAAGAAGGTCCCTAACCTAAACCTAAACCGTAAACCTTAAACCCTAAACCTTAAACCTTAAAGCCTGAACATTAAACCCCTGCGGACACAGAGAGGCTTAGGCGGGACACAAATGCATCCTTTGGAGCCAAGAGTGCACTTGAAGGTTGCTGGTACCTAACTGAAGTTTACCGTTGTCAGAGCATAAAATCTCCAACCCCAAACTCCAGATCTCAAAGCCTCAGCCCGGGGCCAAGAATCCGAACCTTCAACCCCTAAACCTGAAACCACTAAGCGCTCAAGCCCAAACCTGTTTCCCGAGCACGGCGCAAGGAGCCTCTTCAATTGCCTCGGATCCCTCTGTGACAACGCCACCGTTGCCAGCAAAGCATTGGGACCTCAGGCGCGCTCGTGAGGTGTAGGGTTTTAGAGTTTTAGGGGGTAGGGTTTAGGGTTTAGAGTTTAGGGTTTGGGGTTTAGGGTTTGGGGTTTAGGGTTTAGGGTTTGGGGTTTAGGGCGGCTGTGTGGCGGCTGTGTGGGACCAAACAAGCCCTAATACTAAACTCTAAACCCCAACAACCGCCAAGCTCCCCAGTCCTCCATTCCCAAACTCACAATCCCAAATCCTGAAGCCAGAAAACCCTCCCACCCCCCTAAACCCCCGGACCCAAAATCTCCCAAAATGCCCGGCCGAGGGCCTGACCCCCCCGTTCCTCGAAAAGCCCCGGCGCCTCAGGAGGCATGTCAAGAAGTGCCATACGGTGAGCGTGAAGCTTGTGGCTACTTGGAGGTTCATGGGTACTTCTTACCCCAATTACAACTCTTTTAACCTACTTACTTACAGGGCTCAGGGCACTTATAAGTACAGTTGTAGTTTGGGTTGTAAGTACCCTGAACCTCCAAGTACGGGGCTATGGAATCAGGGTTCAGAGATCTGCTTGTGGGAACGACATGCGAAAGAACATACAAGACCCAAGTGCAGATGCACACGCATGCCCAACTATGCCGGTGCGTCACAACTGCTGCTCCTTTTTGGCCTTGCGCTGTCCACGTGTGCAGCACGGCAGTGTGGCCAGGGAAGCTGCAGGGCTTCTAAGATTCCCTAAACCCTGAGCCTTAAAGCCCAGATGCTCGAACTACGGTGGTGGTCACTCCTTCTCAGCTTAGCTCGACTTGGTCATGCAGCACCTCAGATATCATGCATCACGACTTCACAGATGCCTAGCTTCACCTCTATTGGGGTGTAGGGTGGGGTTTAGGGACAAGGGGTGAGGGATTTGGGGATCAGGGACGACTGTTGAACAAGCACTAGCCGCTTGCAGCGAGGGCCAACACAAGGCTGAACTCCTCGAGGCATAGACGTAAGCTAGCCGAACTCATAGCCTTGACTAGGTAGGTACGCATAAATACCAAACAGTGAGAGACCATGGGCACACGAAAGGGCACTCCAATGGTCCGAAGAGCACATCCAAGATACTCCGAAACCCGACCCAAGTGCTCCAGACAACATTCTATTGGCCTCGATGAACATCGCCCATGAAAAGTCCCAGTGCATAAGGAGCTCACCCGGAGCGCATCAGATATTCAAGGACCAAGCTTCATGGAAGCGTCCCCAGAGCACGGTAGCTCCGGATGCGATTTCCATCCGCGGCTTGCAGCCGACGGGCCAGATGAGACAAGTCACGAAGCCCATGAGCGGCGCGCCAGTTTCGTACTTCGCACGCACAGACATCCAAAAGAAACAGTTTCGCATTTCGTAAGCCTAGAAGTCCAAAAGTGAGGACAGCTTCGAACCACGCCTGCGCCCAGCCAGGAGCGCGATGTTCATCCAAAAATGCGAGCAGGCCTCGAGGGCCTCGAGAAGCCAGTTGGTCCGCGTCCACAGCGGGTTCTCGGGCTGCGCCGCACGGTGTCGCCGATCTAGCTCCTCTTACCCAGCGCGTTAGAACCTCCTAGTGTTCACTGCTTGGGCAACAAAGCTTCGAAAGCCAACAACAACCCGAACTTTAGGCAAGCCATGTGAGGTTGCTCGCGAAAAGGCTCCGCAAGCGCGGAATCCAACTTGGAGCCACGGCACTCGGCGTCGGTGCTGCCCTGAATGGCATCCTCAGCAAAAGCCAGGAAGCTAACCCTAAGTGAAACCCCAGGCCCTAAACCTTAAACCCTAAACCCTAAACCTTGAAACCCGAAACCCGAAACCCCAAGCCCTCACCTCTCAAGGCCGTTGTAAGGGGGTTCCATGGTAGAGGCAAGTAAACCCTGCCCTGCCCTAAACCCCAAACTCGCAAGTCCGGGCCGCTGCATCCGGCTTCTTCACCTTGGTCTTGTCCTCGCAGCAGTAGTCCTTGCACCTCAAGAGAACCCACACTCCCAGCGTCTACTTGAAGGTTCAGGGTTCCTTCAAATAGGGACTTAGGGGTTTGGCGTGCTCAGTTTTGTGGAAGTTTCGGGGCTAAGGGTTTCTTCCCCCCCCCCCCCCGCCCCTCTCTCCAGTTTAAATTGCCTGTGGAAGTCCGCTTGTCTGTGCCCTTCGCATGCCCTGGACCCGTCAAGCCTCCCAAATTGACGCACTCAAAGCCCCGACCCGTAAACAAATTACCTGAAGCCTACGCCCCAGACCCACAAAGCCTCCCAAACTGACCCAGACCATTGAGCTTCAACAACTGATTTCCCTCTGATCCGAAGACCCCCAACTACCCATAAACCCCTGGCATCCTAAACCCTACACCCAACTTAGAATCCCTCAACAAGGTAGCTTAGGCCCCCGCTGAGGGGTTCTTGAGTGAAGGGGCCGGGGCAGGCGGGGGGGGGAAGGGGGAGGACTCGAAACCCAAGCTCTCGAGGTGAACCCCCAAAACCATACGCCCTCCCACGTACCCCCTAGCATTCCCTCAGTGCCCCCACTGAGGTACCCTCAGAAAAGAAGAAGGGGCACCAGAGTGGCTCGAAGCACTCAGCGTCGGTGCTGCCAAGGAGGTCTCTGTCGGTCTTTCGCCTGGTTCTGGGGTTTCGGCGTTCGGGCTATTTAGGGCTTCCTGTTCTTTAGGGGGTCGTGGTTTGGGCTCGTAGAGGCCTTGGGGTTCAAGGAGGCCGGGCCTCAAAGCCTCAAGCTCCAAAGCCACCCCAGACCCTGTAAGCCTTAGGCCCTGACCATACTTTGCGAGCATAACGACAATCTTCTTATCAGCAAGAACTAGCCTTTGCTGCGTGACACATATTTCTAAATATATTGGCAATTGGTACTCTTATCTTTCTCGAACTTGGTCTCATGCTGGCTCAAACTTGACCCTGACTCGGTGTGGAGGGGACGTAACAGACCACCCTGAACCCTGAACCCTAAACCCGAAACCCTAAACCCTTGACCCCTGCGTTTGGGGGGTGGGGGGGGGGGGGGGGGGGGCGTTCCTTTGGGGCTTTGGGGCCATCCCTAAGTGTGCAGAGTACACCAGAAGCCTAAGCCCTCAACCTTCACCACCTAAACGAAGCCCTGAAGCCACGGGTATCAGGCGTCACTTTACGGGCACTTGAGGGGGCTCTGCACCCCAAACTCTAAACTCCGAAGCCAGGCGAAGAGCTTGAACTTCGTGGGGAAGTCTGTCTTGTACCTGGGGGCGTATCGTGCTTCAGCGTAGCTTCTCTCAATGCTTGATACACTTCGGGATTTGCACGTCGGGGTGTTTAGGCTTTGGGGTTTAGCCCTGAAAGCCGGCAGACGCATGGACATGGTCCCATGGCGACGCGCGAGGAAAGCTGAGGTTGGGGGGGTCTCGGGCGTAGGCTTGGACTTCGAGCGCATTACCGGGCTATTCATTTAGAAGGGGCATTTAAGGTAAACTGTATCGTCCGAGGGTGTATGCCGGGAAAAATATTTTGTAGGGCTGAGATAGCCCTTTCCCGGCGCAGTGGAAACAGACGTGTCCCAGAATGCAGGGACGCTGACACGCGAAGAGGCCCAGGCAGGACCCCGAAAAGACCCACCCCCCCCCCCCCCCAAAAAAAAAGAAACCTAGAGGGCGCTTCGATCATCCCTGAACCCCGTAAGGTAACCGAAGAACCCTGAACTACCTAACCGGCCCTTGCTGCAAGGCCGTCCCCTCGCCTCTAAGCATCTCAGAGCCTTGAAACCCATGGAGTTTGGTTTGGGATTCAGAGCTTGAGGTTTCGGGCTTGTGGCTTCAGATGTCCGAGGTGCGTGGAGCAGGGTTTTGGAACGCAGCATTCCTCGTCCGTGCTGCCCTGGTACTTGAAGTGGTTGGTGTCTCTCATCCTCAGGTTCGTAGAACACGTTTGAGGCTCTTTCCCTCGGGTGTAGAGACGGCCGGGCAGGCTGCATGGGATCACTTTTGGGGGGTTTGGGTTGAGGTTGAAGGTTTGAGTGGGGCGGGTGGGCGGTAGGAGCTGTTGGTCAAGTTGTTGCCGCCCGGTGGCTTGTAGTACTTTGTGCTCTCACCTCAGCTAGCTGGCGCAGCTCCCTGCATCTTGGACGTGAGAACTTCCTCCATCTTAACCTAAACCCTAAGCCCTAAACCCTAAACCCTAAACCTGCACTCTTCCGGTGGCTGTCCAAGTCTGAGCATCTGGGGCGTCGGCCATCTCCATCGGAGTCGCCGCTGCAGGTGTAGGCCTACTTGCAGGTTCATTGAGCCATGACAAACAGGCTTATAAGCAAGGCAACCAAACCACTTCTGTAACCCGATTTAAGGTGCTTCTGTCATTATCTTTTATAACTCATGAACCTTGGGAGCAACAGGCGTTTATAGGTTCTGGAGTTGCGGCCTGGAGGAGTGCTCCGGACAGGTCTAGGACCCGGTCTAGGACATCTTCGAGTAAACTACAGGCCACGCGCCCACAACACAGACAGTGAGACCACAAGCTACTGAGACCGAAATGATCTACACTTTCAGGTGTCATTGCGCCAGCTCTGGATTGCCCTAAACCCTAAACCCTAAACTTTCCCTAAACCCTAAACCCTAAAGCCTTGCTGTCCTAGCAGTTCTTGCAGCATGTACTGCAATGAGCAGCATGTTCGAAGGCGCCTCGCAGAACAGAGGCTCACAGCACTCCTCCACAAGGGCTTGTCTGTCTTGGAGCTGCACAAATCCTGAACCCCTAACCCATATAAACCCCCCCCCCCCGCAAAAAAGTGGAACACCAAAGCCCCTAAACCCTCAGTTTAGGGTTTAGGGTTTAGGGTTTAGGGTTTAGGGTTTAGGGGTTAGGGGTTAGGGGTTAGGGGTTAGGGTTTAGGGTTTAGGGTTTAGGGTTTAGGGTTTAGGGTTTAGGGTTTAGGGTTTAGGGTTTAGGTTTAGGGTTAGGGTTTAGGGTTTAGGGTTTAGGGTTTCGGGTTTCGGGTTTCGGGCTTCGGGTTTAAGGCTTAGGGTTTAGGCTTTAGGGTTTAGCATTTAGGCTTTAGGGTTTAGGGTTTAGGGTTCAGGGTTTAGGGTTTAGGTCGGAATAAATGCTAACATTATTCCCTTAGGGTCCCTTAAAAATATACCTGGTTTAGACTTTTGAGCCGGGTAATTACCTCTTTATAGCAGGAACCCCCTATATGAAGGATGCCGAAGAGGAACCCTAAACCCGGAACCTGATTTAGAGAATTGCCGGCGCGGGAAGCGCATATTTGTTGCTGACCTTGGGATGCTCGGGTTGAGGTTTCAAAGGGCTTAGGGCTTTAGGATTGAAGATGTAGCGGGTTTAGGGCTTCTGAGGGCTTAGGGTTCTGAGGGCATAGGGTTTTGAACTCCCACTTGGCTCTCCTCGTTGGTGCTGCCCTGAGTCGACTCACGGGCTGTCTTGTTCCTCCCAGGGTTTAGGGTGTAGGGTTTAGGGTTTAGGGTGTAGGGTTTAGGGTTTAGGGTGTAGTAGGGTTTAGGTTTAGGGATTCAGGGTTTGGCAGGCTCGGGGCTTAGGTTTTCAGATATATGGTTCTAGACTCGGCTTCAAATCTGCTGCACAAACGCCCCATGCCTTCCGACAGCCTTTCCCAAAAACTCCCAACTATCTGTACAATCCCTAAACACCCGAGCCTTGGCCCTGAATCCCACCAACCCGAATCCCCGGGCGTCTTTGGTGCCCATTTGGTCACCGGACTGCAGCTGTAGGCGGAACACATGACCTTGTCGCAGCACTCCTGGCAAAGTGTGCACTGGCAAAGAATGACACTCACATGCGAGCACCTCTCTACAAACGATTTTTGTGCGGCGGCATCCTCACGATAAGCGGATTAGAACGAGGGCCCTTTCACGAAAGGATAATCACGCATCTGGTCATATCCGGCCTAGGGGACTCGGGAATGGAAGAGAAGAGATCGGCGTGGGGCTTCCAGGTTATAAATCTTCTGATCCATGAAAACCCACAGTCGCACTGGAGGAAGGCATGTAACCCAAGGTTGCCTTCTACCCTAAGGCTCCCTAAGCTTCCCTAAGACTCCCTAAATACCTACCCCCCGTCCCATGAACCCCGCCCCCCCCCCTTTAAGAACCCTATAATTTGGAGTGCAGGGTCTAGAGTGTGGGATTCAATCAGGTAGTCGGCACCGGCACCCCGTGTTCGGCATCTAACACCCTTGCAAAGGCCATCTCTAAACCTTGCTGTCGGCAATGGCTCCCCTCCTCCCCCCCCACCTGCAACAAAAATCCAACAAAACCCTCGTATACCTAAACCTCCAGTCCGAAAATGCTCAATGACAAAACCCTGATATCTTAAAAGCCCCAACACCATCAAATCGACAATGAACTGGAAAAACCCTAAAATACATCTAAACCCGACAATCTTCAACCCCTGAATCCCCAAAATCCTGAAACCCCTATACAAACCCAAAGCTCCCCTTGGCTTCCAAGACCACCTCACAAACCCGACGCCCTAAACCCTCAACCCAACCCTAAAACCCTAAAACCTGGAACCCTAATACCATTAAAACCCTATCGCCCTAAGCCCTAAAACCCCAAAACCCGAAAACCTTAAGACCCTAAAACCCTAAAACCCCTGAAACCCTGAAACCCTCAAACCCCAAGGAGGCCTCGTCGCTGTAGCCAGGCTGCGACAGGCCCTTGGATCCCACGTCGGCCTTGTGCACCCACTTCCTTGGACCGCTTTGGGGCGGGGTTCAAGGTTTAGGGTTTAGGGTTTTGGGGTTTAGGGTTTAGGGTTTAGGGTTTATTTAGGGTTTAGGGTTTAGGGGCGGGGTTTGGTGTTCAGGGGGTCTAGGGCTTTAGGGGTTTAGGGCGCAGCGAGACCTTGGCTCAGGGTTTAGGACTTGGGATCAAAGGTGGGGTTTAGGTTTTGGGGGCCTAGGAATTCAACTTAGGATTGAGGAAGTTGATGTCTAAGGTGCCTCGCAATGGCTTACCCACTTCAGGTTTCGGGGTGTTGGGGTTTTTTCGGTCCTATCCATGCGGTTGTCTAAGAATCTAAGGAGCGTCGTATTGCTTGGTATGTCTACAGAAGTTCTGCACATGCCATCCGGGAACCTTGCATCTTCAACCCCTGGCCCTCACACCCCCTAGACGTAACCCGCAAACTGGGACCCTAAACCCTAAACCCTAAACCCAGAACGCTAAACCCTAAATCCTAAATCCTAAGCCCTAGACCCTAAACCCTAAACCCATACAGCCACGCTGCGTGGCGCTGCTGCAGGTGTACTCCTCGCAGAGCCTCGGCACCAGCGCCGGCAGGGAGGTGGGATGTAGGGTAGTTGAGGGTTTCTGGTTTAGGGTTTAACATGGTTTAGGGGTAGGCTCAAGGGCCGAGGGAAGAAAGAGCATTTTGGATATTGAGCTCTGTATGGTTCACACACTCCAGTGCATTCAGCTTGAGAATTGCTCCAATAGCCCCGACTGAAGGAACCTTCCTTAAATCATAGTCGGATTCCTCCTGCAGTCTAAGGAGTCGCCTTATGTAAGGCCCATTGGAGTCTGAGAACGCAAAAGTGGGTTTAGGGTTTTGGTTTTAGGGTTGAGGGTTTAGGGTTTAGGGTTTAACTCCAAAACTGAATACGGTCGGCCTGGTCTCGCAGCACTCGTCGTCGCTGCCTTGGCTGGACCAGAATCTGCGTCTGCTTGCTCTAGAGCCAATCCTGAAGACACCCCTGAATCCCGAACTCTGAACCCCAACCCTGACTACGAACACCCTAGCAACCCAGAACCCTAAACCCTAAACCCTAAACCCTAAACCCTAAACCCTATACCTAAAACCCTCCAGCTCCCCTGAGTCCCTCCGTTCCTCCAAGTTGCTTCCCAGGCGTTTTCCAGGCTTCAGCTTCCTGGGTGGCGGGGGCCATGGGGGCTTTGGGCTTAGGGCTCGCGTCTTGGTCTTTGGGGAGTACGGTTTAGGGTTTAAGGTGTTGTTGGCCCTGAACCACTTTGGCCCTGTAGGTTGCCATGCTGGCAAGTAGCATGGAAGGCGTGCTGCAATTGTACGCCTGGGCCGCGCGAACAGATGAACCCAGAACCCTTGAACCCCGACGCAAAGTCTTCTCCTAAACTCAGGAAATGCATCCCACACCCGAAACACTGAAGCCTACAACCTCAACCCCAAACCCAAAAACTCTAATCCGGATTGGGCCTTCCCCGGAAAGGCTCCACAGATCCTAGACCAACCTGGGAAGTGTCAAGGGCTTAAAGGGTTGGGAGCCGAACCCGCTAAACCACAAGGGAGCGGAAGAGCCCTCGCTACTCGCCTCGCAGCTCAATGCCTCGCAGCACCTCTCGTTGGTGTAGCCTGCGTGGGCTGCGTGGGCTTTTATAGGGTGCTTCGGGGTACTGGGGCTTCGGGTTCTAGGATCGCTAGGATCCCAGTACCGTTGGAAAAACCGCGCGCCCTTGAACCGAACCCCAAAACAGGAAGAGCATGGATGTTACCGGGGATGCCTAGGAATGTCAGGGGGGAGGGGTAAAGGTTGGCCGGTGCAGCCTTGGATTTGGGGGTTTAGGGTTTAGGGTAAGTTTAGGGTAGTTAGGGACCAGGGTTTAGGGTCTAGGGCTTAGGCTTTCAACCCTCACATTCCTCGTTTTTGGGGACTCCCCCAAACCCTAAACTCCAAACCCCCAAAATCCTCAAGCCTTGTCTCAACTGATTGTCAGCTCCCAACTTAGATCTGTGCTCAGCGTGAAATCCCTGAACCCAAACACCCCCAAACGCCTGAATTGGTCGCCCAAACCCTAAACCCTAAAACCCTAAAACCCTAAAACCCGAAACCCGAAGCCCAAAACTCTAAACCCTAAACCCCAAACCCTAAACCCTAAACCCTAAACCCTAAACCCGCAAAAGCAGGGTGGCACCTGGCCGGTCTGTGCCGGCTGGGAGAGTCGTATTCAGCGGCTTCCATTTGGAAAGAGGCTTGCAGGTGAAGTCCTCCGGATTGAGGTTTGGGGTTCGAGGTTTCGGGAATTGAGGTTTGGGGTTTGGGGTTCGAGGTTTCGGGCTGAGGTTGTATTTTCTTTGTGGAGTTTAGGGTTTAGGGCTTGGGCATTCCTTCACTGAAGCCCTAAATCCTGAATCCCTCAGACGTACCCTACAGCCCTATAAAGCCCTACCCCTAAACCCTAAACCCTAAATCCCTAAACCGCCTAAACCCAAACTTGGCTGCGGTTTAGTCCTTGCAGTACTTCTCGTCACAGCACTCGATGAAGGTGCTGCCCATCAAGCTGTCCTCTCTTCGGGACTTGCCCAGGGCCACGGGTTCTCCATGAGGGGTGGCCAGAGATGGGGGTTCTCGAAAGGGGTCCTGATAATAATAAGGGAATCCGATTATTTGGGGTCTATCTTGGGGGTCCCTTATGTTCTCGTAAACCCCCAAGTGCTGTGACTGTTGCGATCCTCCCTGTTGCTTCTTTACGGGCAACTCCCCATGAACCTTCAAGTGTCTTGCCTCGACTGGCTCTACACCAGAAGAGGAAGACCATGGACTGCTCGGGGCGTCAAGAGGGGGTTTAGGGTCTAGGGTTTCAGGGCTTAGGGAAGTCTAGGGTTTAGGGTTTCAGGGGTTAGGGAAGTTTAGGGTTTAGGGTTTCAGGGTTTAGGGAAGTTTAGGGGGTTTCAGGGTTCAGGGGTTCAGGGGTTTAAGATGCCCAGAGGCCTTGTCTTTCTTGTCCATCCAAGAGGGGCTGACAGAGCAATCGAAGGATTTGCAGCCTGGGCCCAGACATGGGAGCCCTGGAAGCAAAAGTCGCTCGAAACCTAAACCCCAAACCCTGAAAAAGCCCCAGACCCTAAAAGCAACTGTAAACCCTATCAACCCTAAACTGAATCCGAGTCTTCGCGCAGTCCAAGAGGCTCTTCAACTCGCAGCACTCGCCCTCCTTGGGAGGACAAATTCGTTTGAAGATTAGGCTCTCCGGGTTTCTGTGGCTCCACAGAAAGGGCTGAGGGTTGAGGGTTTAGTAACTTAGCAATTTCGCAATAGAGTAATGTAGAAGGGTAGCAATACAGAAATATCTTCATATAATATAGGATTTTGGGATTTAGGTTTATGGTTCCATCTCCTCCTAGGTAAGGAAAAAGAAGGGGAGTGAAGGCAACAATGCGGCCGAGGCGCCGAAGACCCCTGCAGCTTGTCCTCGGTCAAGACTCACTATAGGGGTGCCCGCTGAAGATCTTCAGGAAGAGTGGACGTTTCGAAACTTCCCATAAGATTTGAGATTGCTTCTTCAGTCAGTGCTTGGCAACAGCCCATAGAACTGCATTAAACAACAAGAAGAAGGTAGAAGAGAGCTGGGGGGGGGTGTCCGATAATGAAAGTTGCCAAGAGTAGAGTAATTTGGAGGTACACTAAAGGGCCCCATCTTCGGAAAACACCCATGCAACCCGTGTAGGCCCAGAAACCGAAGAGGAGAAGGGGACCCTTCTTTGCTTCATGGGGTTAAAAGGGAACCGAACCCCCAAAACGAAATTGAGTAAGGTACTACTCCAAAGCTTCCAATTCCAACACTTTTTCATGCCTTGGCCTCACGTGGGCTGGGTGCGTAAACCCTCTTGGTCTCCCCTGAAAACTAAAGCCCTGACATACAGCTTTGGGGATTCAAAGCCCCGCAGCTTCAGGGTCTCCAGGATTGAACGTATCTGAGGGGTGAAGTCCCAAACCCTGAGCCCTGCTTCAACACCAAACCCCCAACCCCCGAAGCCCTGAACAACCTTAACCCTGAACGGACACGCTCCGAGATGCGTAGTCTCCCTTGCGGCCCTTCTTGGAGCTCTCTTCGCAGGTGTACTCAGAGCCTGGGGTTCGGTCTGATCGTTTCGGGAGCAGAAAAGGGAATTGCCACCAGCTCCAGCATCATGGGACCAAACTCCCAATCTGGCGCGGTCACAAAGAATGCTTTTCACACCACCCCCCCCCCCCCCCCCCCCCCCCCCCCCCAAATCTCCACTGTTTCGCAATGAGTTCTCTCATGTTTTCTGCTTATTTCTCCCAACTATTCCCGCACTTGCTCTCAAATTTATGCTTTTGCCCACAGGGGTTGAGGTGCAGGTTTTGAAGGAGTGTTTGGTTTGGGCCTGGGGCTCAGGGCCTAGGGCTGACAGCAGGGCTTGGGGACCTCCCTAAAGCCTGACAGGATTCGGAATCGGGTTCAGGGTTCAGGGTCAGGGTTGCAACGGTTTAGGTTCAAGGTATCTGTCAAGGTGCACATGCGCGGCTCGCAGCAATCCTGCCCCGGGGAGGTGGGTGTGCTTTGCGGGGCAAGGCATGCTGGACCTCCAGCTCTGGGCCTTCGGCTGGGCCCTGCGCTGTCTCAAGCCGTTTAGGGTTTAGGGTTTAGGGTTTAGGGTTTAGGGTTTAGGGTTCAGGGTTTGGGTTTAGGGTTTGTAAGGATAATCAAGCAGGGTTTGTGAGCTTCGGGGGAAGGGGTCAGGCTTGGGACGGGACGTGCCACCGAACTTACCACCGGATGGGCTCTGGTGTTCTTCTAAACGTTGAAGCCCCAAACTTGTCAAATCCCGAGGCCTGTAAGCCCATTGGAACTGATAAACTAAACACATGCCTGTAAGTCCTAATGCACAGAAACAACCTGCATGAGAAGCCGAACAACGAACAGCCGGAACGCTTGGGAACAGAAACTAAACGTACATAATACACATCCTGAGCCTTTTATTCGTACCCACCCTAAACCCTTTAACCTACAAGCCCGAAACCCCAAACCTCTAGAACCCTTAAACCCTAAAACCCTCAGCCCCTAAACCCTCGACCCCAAAAGCTCAAACCTTTTCGGTCCTTGGTCGTGGATCCAAGCAGACCTTGCCGCAGGACTCGCAGGGCTTTGGGTTCTCATTTAAGAAAGGGTGTACCTGGGACTTCATTTAGATATATACCACCTGCGAGCAAGAGCAGGTAGCGGCCTGGGTGCAAGAGCAATAACGACACCCACAGGCCAACTCTTGCAGAATTCTGTCGTGCCTGAGCCCTCGCGAGGCTTCCATTGGCTGCCAGCGCCTCAGAGAAAAGTCGCGGGCGGAGCATCTTGAAATACTTCATAAGCATCCCGAAACTCCTTAAACAACCCAAGTTCTGCATCCCCACCCTTAACCCCCAAATCCTACAACCCCCCAAAGGATACTTATTGTCTCAGCACCTTCCTCGGCTTCTGCCGAGGAGTTTCCGGCTTTCCTTGCCCTTCTGAGGCCTCAAGGCTGGCTCCGAGGGCTAGGGGTCTACAGGGTTTAGGGTTTAGGGTTTAGGGTTTCGGGTTTAGGGTTTAGGGTTTAGGGTTTGGGGGTTGGGGGTTGGGGGTTGGGGGTTAGGGTTTCAGGGCTCAGGGATTTAGGAGATTCGGACTTCTCAAAGCCTAACCCTCTAAGCCCCTACATCCCGAAGAACAACGCTGCAACACGCTTGCCGTCCGCGTCGCACAGCTCCGTCATGTTGCATGCGATGGGGGTGCAGCAGCGATCCACCGTGCTTCCTGGCAAGACAAGGGCTGCTGGAGCTTGGGCTTGGGTCTGGAGGTTCACGGGTACAGGGAAAACATGGCAACCCGCTACTTCACCTTGAGGTACTTACTAGCCCTAGCCTCCATCGCACATTGAACCTGAACCCTTCAAGAGGGGTGTGAGGAAAACCAGCCTTCCTTGCGTCCCCAAACTCCCTGGCCCTGAAGCACATGCCTCTGAACCCGAAAGGCCAGCACCCTCCAGACTCCTAAACACTAAACCCCAGACCACCGCAGACTCTAAGCCTTCCCAAAACCCCCAGACCCCAAGAACCCCGGACCCTCAAACCCCTAGACCCGAAACCCCAGACACCTAGAACCCGAACCCCAAGACCCCTGGACCCGAAAAACCGAAGCCCCAGGACCCACGACCCCCGAAACCATCAACCCCAACCCCCTAAACCCACTAAACCCAAGGCCCCAAACCCGAAGACCCTAAGCCCGGAAGCCCTACACCCCAAACCAAAACCCGAAGTGGCCGACCTACGAGCGTCTCCCACTCGTCCGACTTCCTCAAGCCAAGCTCGAGATCGTTTAGGGCCGGGCTTAGGGTCCACCATGGATACGCCCAGGGCCGGCGAAAGGTTCTTGGTGGGCTTTGGGGGCGGTTATGGCTTTGGCTTTAGGGTTTAGGGTTTGGGGTTGAGGGTTCGAAAGGTCTGAGGGGGTTCGTGTGAAGGAAGCGGGCATGTGAGCAGCCTCGCGTGCTGCCGCGGTCCTCGCATTTGAGCGGCAGCCACAATGGTGGTTGGTTCGGTAGAATAGGCTCCCCCTTTTTCTGGTACCCATTGCGATGGGACATGATGGGCCCCTCATATCCAGGACCCATGTCCACTTAGAGAGCTGGCCATCTGCAGTCTGGCTGGGGCCTGAATGCAGACATATGAAGACCCACAAGGAATGTCAGCAATCTCTTGAGACCACGGGGTTAATGAGGCTTTGGCCAAAAAGGAAGCCTCTTCGGGGAAAAGAGGACACACGACAGGTTGAGCTTTTGAGGATTATTGTGCGGCTTCGGGGTTTTGGGCTGAGGGCGTAGGAGTGGTTGCGCATGACTTGTGGAGCAAGGGGATCCGACCCGCAAACCTAACTCTAGCACTATACCATTCTGAACAAACTCTATGGCTACTATACCTAAACCCTAAACCCTGAACCCTAAACCCTAAACCCTAAACCCTAAACGCGACACCCTAAACCCTAAACCCTAAAACCCTATCCCTGCCGAGAATCTTGTACTGAGTCGAATCACAGGACTCCTCGTCCTTGCACATCAGCTGCACGCAGCACTCCTGTCAGCACAGGCACCCTCGGAAAACCGAAGAAAGGGGGCCTTAAGAATTAGAATAGGGTGTTGTGGGGGTTCTTATCGTACAAGGATACAGGGACCATAAGGGAATGCTAGTACTGATTACTCCGACCCCTATACTAAGCCCTAAACGCTCAACCCAGAATCATCATGAGAATGGGCCCGTGCAAGTAGGACTAGCGCAGGTCTTGTAGCCAGCAGCATTTCGGCCACGACGGCTCATGGTGGAATTTCGGGTCTAGGGTCGAAGGTTTCCTTATAACCCCCTGAAACCATCAACCGAAGACTGAAACTGAAGATCTGTCTTTATCCCTAAGAGCCATAAACCCACAACGCTTCAACCCAAAACCCTGACCTCTCCCCGCTTTATCCTGAACCCTAACACTAAACCTCGCGGAAGTATCAAAGGGTGCACCAATTTTGTTCAACGCACCTCAGAAGGCAACCTAACCCGAAAAACAAGGAAATCAGGATACGCAGTAACAATGGCTCAGTCTGAAGTAAGAGGCCCACGATTTGCACATCTTAAGGAGACGCCCTAAACCCTAAACCCCAAAGCCTAAACCCCAAAGCCTAAACCCTAAACCCCAAAGCCTAAACCCTAAACCCTAAACCCTAAACCCTAAACCCTAAACCCCAAACCCTAAACCCTAAAAGTGCAAGGATGCCGTGGACCTCTCGGCTGTTTCCCGGCTTGCTGGCAGCGTCCTCGACCTGGTACTTTGAAGGTTCATGGGTCTGGGGGGTCTAGGGTTTAGCGTTTAGGGTTTACGGTTTAGGGTTTAGGGTTTACGGTTTAGGGTTTAGGGTTTAGGTTAGGGTTTAGGGTTTAGGGTTTAGGGTTTAGGGGGTAGGGTTTAGGGTTTAGAAGGTTTGGGGTTGAAGGGGAAACCCTAAACCCTAAACCCTGATCTCTAAACCTGTCTGATTCCTATCGGGCGCCCCGGCCAGCTTCCAGTCGGAGCTCGGCTTGCACTCCTTGAAGGACTCGCAGGTGATGGGCCTTGGCATAGGGGTTTGATTCGGCGGTTTCGGGGGGTTTGGGGTTTTTGAGGGGTTTTGGGCACGGTCTGGGGGGTTTGGGGGTTTTGGGGTTTTTTGGGGTTTTTGGGGTTTTGGGGGGTTTTAGGCTTCATTGGGTGGCTTTGGGGGCTTTGGGTGTTTTGGGGTTTTGGGCGGGTTTGGGGGGTGCTGGCTTTAGGATTCAGGGTGTCGTATTTAGGGTGTGGGCATCTCGGGTGTAGGGTCTAGGGGGAGCAAACCCATCAGTGAGGAGGGGAGATGGCGCAGCATCTGCCAGCACAACACTGCCAGACTGCCTCAAGCAAACGTTGGTCAGGATGACGTCATCATCCGTCACCACTGCATCCTCAGCAAAACAGGCTGAAGGCAACCATGAAATGACGTAATCTCTAAACCTCAAACCCTAAAACCTAAACCCGGAAATCCAAACCCTAATCCCTAAACAACAACAGGCCCTCGAGCTTAGGGCCCTAAACCCTATATCATATATCCCATAGATCCGAAGCCTTCGGGCCCCAAACCCGAGATCCAGCGAAGCTGCCTTGCCGCGATACTCGAAGTCAGTCTCGCTGGCGAGCGACTTGACCTAAGGCGTAGGGTAGATAGGTCTTAGGGCTGAGGGAAAATGGGGAAAGGGCTCTTGGGGATGAGGATTTTTGGGTTTAGGGTTTGCAGGCTCTGAACCGGAGGAATCCTGAAGCCTCAACCACACCCTGGTTCGGTCGAGCTACGGTATCCGTGCTTTTCAGCTCCACGTCGACTGCACCTGCCACAGGTTCAAGGTTCAAGGCCTAGGGTTTCGGGTTCAGGGTTCGGGTTTCCTCCTCAGCTGTATGTAGTCCAGAACTTGTGGTTAGATGGACCCTGAGAAACCGCAAAAGCAAACTCTAAACTCCTAGATCCCTTATCTCAACGACGACTACACGGTGGGTCAGAGGGTGCGGGACAAGATGACCAGCAGCTAACCCAAATGTTCCCTTCGTGCCACCGTGTAACCCTGCTCGTGGAAAGTAGTAAAATCATCGTTAAAACCGAGGAATTCGACAGTTCATAGGGGCACAAAAGTGGCAAAAGTCAGGACTTAAAACTACTAAACCCAAAAGCAAGGTCCGTCAGTCGGCATACATCGAGTAAGCAAGGGCATTCCGAAGTCAAACATGACAACATGTCTTAAACACTGTTGTTCGCAGTGTTTACGGGCATCGCAAGGAAAACTCTCTAGTCCAAAAACAGCGATCCCAGCCAAGCCGAAACCAAGGATCCCCCTTCGAAAGCCGCGTAATGGACCCGAGCCTCCCAATCTCAGGGCCCCCATGGCCTCTATGGGCCACTAGAGATGCCCGGGCCTGCAGATCTCAAAGCCCCCCTTCACAAAGCCTGAACCCTGAGCCCTTGCAGTGTAGCTAGGGCTTTAGGGCCTTAGGGGGCAGGGTGCAGGGCTTAGGGATGTTTAGGGTTGGAGTGTAGCACCTCAAGCTCTTGAACTCCAACATCCGACATCCCGGACAACGCCTCCCGGCACAGTCACAGAGAGGAAGCCATGCCCGCCACCCGCAAAGGCATAGGTGACGCTCTTCTTCCTCAGCGGGGGGGGGGGGGGGGAAAGAGTTGAGGCTTTGAGGCTTCTTAGGTACCTTACTGAAAGCATGCAGAAAGGGTAGCTTGCTTTTTACCCTACTTACAGCTACCCATGAACCCTTCAAGCGGGCCCCCCGAGATACCCGAGCACCAACCAGAAAAACCCTAACACCCCTCTGAACCGAACCTTCCGGTAGGGTTTAGGGTTTAGGGTTAGGGCTTCGGATTTTTTTCCACTGGCGGAATTCGCCTTTGCCGAAGCCCTAGCACCCTTTTCCCCTGGCCCAGCTCTCATAGCTCCGAGATCTCAGGGTGCGCCACGAGCCAGACGCACAAGTGCATCCCAGAGGTCGTGAACATACAGGAAAGCAAAGGGCTGCAAGATGACGAGACAGAAGTCGTAGACGCTAAGCCCTGTGCCCTGACCAACAAAGTCAGCCTTAAGTTCCACATAGAAACCCCAAACCGGTCAAAGATAGGAAGCCTCCCTACCCCCCAACCCCTCACGTGGAAAGAGGCCCTCCAAGATTCATGTTGCGGTCTTGGCTCCTCATGGAATTTGCCGTGAGGGAAAGCTGCCAGGTCTTTCCCACCTCCCAGTCCTCTCGGCTTGGAGCGCGAGAGTTCGGCTAAGGCTAGGGTTTAGGGCTTTGGGTTTCGGCTGATTCGAGTTTAGGGAAAAAGCTTCGGGCTTCAGGTTCAAAGGTGCAGAATAGGCCTCTGGGTGGTGCTAGAGGGCATTTGGAGTGGGGTTGCCCACCAGTCGGCAGTGCCTCACACAGATGATTGGGATCGCCGCTGAGCTGCATGGGGCGACCCAAACAGTTGAGCTGTGTCGCTTGGCTGGCAGCTGAGATGCACAAACGCACTTCGATGCCAAGGTTATGGGCCGTGGTTGTTGGCATGCCTTCTGGTGCCTCTTCAATGCAGGTCAGAAAAAGGTGGCTTCAGGTAAGAACCCTTGACGCTCCAACCTACACTCTGAATCCTAACATGCACCCCCTACGCTGCGTTGCTTGCGTGTCCTCGGAGCTCTCAAGCGCGGCGCGCAGCTTGGCTGGGTCCTGAGTGCATCTAAGAGCCTAGGCCCTAAACACCCCAAACCCTAAAGCCCTTTTGTAACAACCCTCGCGCAAGGCCGCGCACGCTCCGCACCCTCCGCTGGGGCTCGCACGATGATGTCGGCAAACTGTGCCTGGAGACCCCGAAACACTACACTCTGGGGTTTGGGATTTAGGGTTTAGGGTTTAGGGTTTGCGATTTAGGGTTCGGGGTTTAGGGTTTAGCGTTTAGGGTTTGGGATTTAGGGTTTAGGGCTTGGGATTTAGGGCCTTCTGTCCCTGGTGTGAGTAGGAAATATCAAACTAAATTCTGCACAAAAGCTGCTACACATATAGACATATATATATATATATATAAGATAAGAATATATATATATACATTATACATATATATACACATAGAAATGCATATACACTGTACACGTACGCATATAGCACTGCCGATGAAGGAGAAATCGCCAGGAGACGCGGCAAAGCTCTAAACCCTAAACCCTAAACTCTTCACCCTCAGCCCTAAACCCTAAACACCCTAAACCCAAAAAAACCATCCCCGGCCTTCCCGAGGGTCTTATGCGGGCCCGCGGCGACATCGTCCGGCAGGACGTTGCCTCCACAGCATTGATGCAAGGGTGAGAAGTATAGGGATTATAGGGTTTGGAGGGTTTATAGGGTTTAGAGGGTTTATAGGGTTTAGAGGGTTAAATGGCCCCGAAACCCCTAATTCATTCCACGAACCCCTAAACTTCCTAAAACAGAACAACTCGCTGGCTTGCCTGGGCACGCCGGTGCTTCCCGGTCATCCCTGGAGGCCTCATGCAGAAGGCTGATATCTTCGAGGTGTTGTTGGGTAGTTCTCTAGATAAGAGTCCCCTTCGGGGTCTTTCCTTTCAGGGTGCCGTGCTGAATATAGGCCCCCGCCCCCAAAAAAAAGGGACCTACCTTATTGTCTTTTCGGTTCGGGGCCGTTGGGGTTTAGTGGCTAGGGCTTCAGGGTTTCCTGGTGGTGTTGAGTGTAGAAATCAATCAGGGCTAAGTCGGGAATAGGGCCCAGCTACAAACAAGTTCAAAAGCCACTCCCTGCAGAAGGTATGGTGTCAACAGGAAGAGGCACGACTATACCATGTCTGCTCAGAACTTGGCGTCGTTTGGTGGTTCTTATGTTGCTTCGGGCTTGAGGGCTTGGATAAGAACACCAGGCATGCACCTCTAAACCTGAAAAACACTAACCCAGGCATCCCAAAATTCGAAACGAACCTTAAGCCTTAGACCCTACACTCTAACCCTAAACACACAAAATTCCAAGCCTGGATCCTAAACCCGAACAGACCCCAAGTCTTCCTGCAAACCCCCAAACGAGCCTCAAATCCTAAACTCCCCACTCCCCAACCCTAAACGCGCTCCAAACCCTGAACCCCAAACAAACCCTAAACCTTAAACCCCCAAACGAACCCGAAATCCTAAACTCTAACACCCAATGGACCCCAAACCCCAAACAAGCCCCACACACTTTCACCCTGAACCCTAAACCCTAAACCCTAAGCCATAAACCCTAAACCCAAACCCAAAGCCCGGGGCAAGGGCCGATGAGCGCATCAGGAACTTGGCAGCCCAGGAGGGCGCCAGGAGCAGCACGAAAAGCTGGACAAGGGCTCGGATGAGGGCACTTCCGAGGTTTAGGGTTTAGGGTTTAGGGTTTGGGGTTTGGGGTTTAGGGTTTAGGGTTTAGGGTTTAGGGTTTAGAGTCGGGGGTTTGGGGTTTGGGGTTGTTGGTACATGTGCCTCAAAGGACATAGGCCGGTGTCGTGTCGTGGCTTTGTCAATCCCTCCCCCAGCAACGATCTGAGCTGCAGGGGTCGTCCGTCTTGATAGCGATCGAAGCATTTCGGGGTTGAGGGTTGAGGATTTAGGGTTGAGATAGGGTTTTAAGGCTCATAGGCAGAGAAGAATACCGCTTTGGGGGGTTTAGGCTGTTTAGGGTTCGGATCTCGGTCTTGGGGTTGAAGCTAGGGCCTTAGTGGGTTTTGGGGGGGGCGATTATAGTATGACTATACAGGCACCATAAGGGAATAGTAGTAGTCTTTATTCCGACCCGTATATGAGGGGTTTCCGAAAATAGGGGTACCTTTTTGGGGGTCCCTTTTAAGGGGATTCCATTCTATTTAGGGTATAAAGGGGGCACCCCTATTTTGGGGACAAGAACCATATGGGGAGGGGTCTATCCTGGGGCACACGCAACACTCCGCGCCTTCATTGCTTGCATTGGAGCGTCCACTTTTGCGGCCCGCTCGGCAGCGTTGAGCCACGATGGGGCTGCCGAGCGGAGGTGCGCACGCTGATCCCAAAGCCTTGAAATCCTGAAACCCTCAAGCCCTGAAGCCCTGAAACTCTGAAAGCGTGAAACCCTAAACCCTGAAACCCTGAGTTTTCTTCTAGACAGCCAATTCGAAGACCCCCTCAAACACTCAAATCGAACCATGGGTGGGACTTTCGGAGCTAGGGTTGGGGTTCAGGGCTTAGGATTTGGGACTTTGGCATTAAGGGTTCAGGTTTTAATGCTTAAAGGTGTAGGGGCTTCGGCATGTTGGAGTCTGAGGCTGCAGGCATACTCATTCTGAGGGCTTAGTCGCCACTGTCTTCATGTGTAGGCCTGTGTAGCCTGTGCTTCAGGCTTATCCTGGGTCCTGTGATCCCGGGCCAGCTTCTCAAGCATTTCCGAGCGCAAGATGCCGCGCGACTTGTCCTGTGCTCTCTTGTCTCGGTTTAAGGTTCAGGGCGGATGAATGGTTCAGGCACTGCAAAGCAGCTTGACAGGGAACTACAAGCAATCTGACACAGCCAATGCCCAAAAGTACGCCAGCCATCCGAGGGGAAACTCTCAGCCCTGCTGCATCCTTATACTGCTTGGACTTAGGGCTTGTGGTTGAGGGCTTAGGTCAACTCCCTGCCCCACGCACGCGTCGACCACACTCAGCTTGCAATAGCAGACACGCGACAGGTGCCTTGCTAGAATTAACAGACCGTGCTTCAGCGCGGTGAGGAGTACATGGCTGATAACAACAGCAACACCGCTGGACCCGCGGCAGAAGCGAAGAGACTCGCACCGAAGTGGCGACAGCGGCGATGCCATACGCCGAGCAGCAGTAACAAGCACTGATATTGAAGCTCGTGCATGCACAGGGCATGGCAACCGCCGTCTTCCCCCAAAGCACTTTAATTGGGGTTTTGGCTTGGTTGGTATATGCAAACATGAAGATACACATGCAGTAGCCACGCAGCACGCAATAGCACGGGGCCTCTGCTTGGCAGCAGGCGATCAGGACAGCGTGTGGTCGCTGGCCGCTGCCCTCAGCTTTTGAAGCGCCAAACCGGGGAAGTGGGGGAGGAGGGAAGGTTGGGTTTGGGGGCTTTAGGTCAAGGTTGTGCATGGGGTTCCTGTTTTTGGTAGCGCGAGAAGCCTCGAAAGTGCATCAGCTCCCCCCTGGGGCACTGAGCTCCACGAGCCGGTAAGTTCGGGGCCGAGTGAAGCAGCTTCTTCACCACCTGCGCCATGAGTGGCCATAAGCTGCTCTCGCTGGACTCTTGTGTTGTTCGTATCAACTATTCCTTCTGGGAATTGAGGGCTCATAGGCAGGGGGTTGAAGGGAGCTTCACGGCTTGGGCCCGTGGGCTTGGAGGCTATGTAGGGTTTGGTAGGGTTTGGTAGGGTTGGTAGGGTTTAGGGTTTGCAGCTGAAGGTGCAGGGCTAGGGCTTGGGGAAAGCAGCTTTGTTGGGTAGAAAAGGAGGACGCAAGCTGTTGCGTGGGCATTCTTTGGCAACAAAGGATCCCGGTACCAATTCAAGGGAATCTTGACCGGGCATCTAGCAAAGAAAGGAGTCCGAAATGACAGGGCTAAACGCTTCAGCTCTTGCTATGGTGAGCTAACGGCCCCCCTACTTCTCAGGGCGGCGCGAGGGAACAACAGCACCACAGGAGCGCCGAAACGTGACAATGCCACTCCTACTTCTGAGGCTGGCGCGCAAAACGAATCCTACAAACACCGCCCTGTGGACAGCTGGCCCAGAACCAAGTCTCCACACATGTAAGCTCTGGGGGTGGCTCACACTCCGTTGCAAAGGATCTCAAGGGGCAAACATGTAAAGAACAACGTCACGAGTGTCTGCCAGCAGCTTCACGCCCTTGGAAGGATAGGCTGCAGGAAAAGCCAAGGCGAGGAAAGAGGGGCCGGTGGTGTTCATGGCAGTGGCGCTTCGTCCACTAGCTCCGCTCGACGGCGCAGCACTGCACGTGCGCGGTGAGCGCGGATTGTCACACAAAGTTCTTGCAGCAGATCGGCGTGAAGGAGAGCGGCGTCAGCGCCTGTGCGCGCAGCCGCGGCGCGGGATATCTGCAGGAGTACTTTGCTCGCAGCCGGCTCCCATGCACCACTGCTCTCCGCCACCATGGGAAGGAACTTGATGCCTTGAGACTCGCACAAGCGAGCTGTGTCCAAGTGAGCCGCCTTGTGTTGAGCGTAGGCTTGGGCAGCCGCAAGTGCCTTGTTACCCGCCTGGGCGAGAGTCTCCTGCCGCTGTGGGGCCGTAATGGCCAGGTCAAGGGCAGCAGGAGATCCCCGCAAGCAGGGCAAGTACACATCCGCGGGGCGCCGCAAAGCATTGCCAGCCTCCTCAGGGCGCTGTGGGAGAAGAAGCCCTGGGCGCTCCTTCTCTGGGCACAGGCCCGCTCGCTCAGCCCACCTGCAGAGAAGGTCGCGAACTGCATTGTGGCGCAGGGCGCGCTCTCCCCCTGCGCTGCAGGTTGCGGCATGTAAAGAGAGCGCATCCAGGACGCCGTCACACTTGGGGCACCAAGCGTCAGCGGCAGCGTCCGGGACTCCAAGTCTTTGCCGGAGCTCCGTGACGAAGAGGGCAGTTTCGATGCGCTTGGGACCTGAAGGAGTGGCCGCCAGAAAGGCCCGCGCGCCGGGTTCAGCCTCAGATCGAAGCAGGGCCCGAGACGTCAGCGAGCAGCTGGCAAGCTGACGGACCCAGCTCGCCTCGTCAGTCGCTGCAGTGAGGGACTTCTGCTTCATGCCGAGCGCCAGATGGGCAGCGAGGGGCGCAGCCCTGTTGCGGTTCAGAGCATCGACCGCCTCGACAACCTCAACCTCCACAGCGAGCCCAGCGTCAGCATAGCTGGGGTCAATGGCCCGGCAGGTGTCGAGGCAGGCGCCGAGTGAGGCAAGGAATGCTGCTGGGGCTCAGCTGTCGTGGATCGGAGACCCAGGCCAGCATAGGAGAGTCCCCGGGCAGCTTGTTCCCATTGCGCAGCATCGAGATGCAGTCCAGTGAGGGCAGCGAAGCAGTCCCTGACTGAGGAGTCAAAGCTGAAGCGCTGGCGAGAGCCCGCGTGGCGGACAGCACCGCATACTATGCAAGCGCAACCCTACCTGGGCGTCCTCTAACTCACCAAGCGCCTCCAGCAACGGCATAGCCTGATTAACCCTGCTCGTGGCATGGATAGCATGGAATGTGACGTCGCCCACAGCGGCTCCCAGAAGTTCGAAGTTCCACTGCAAGCGGCTGGTGCCATCAGGCTTGAAGAGGAGCTCATCCGGCAGGTGGGGCCGCAACATGTCAGCATCCAGCCGTCCGACTCCCACGACCTCGCATTTGGACAGGTTAAGTTGTAAGCCAAGCGCAGCCCCCCGTCGTTGAACCTCACTCAAAGCCTGGCCAACGTCTGCTACGTCGCCAGCGATCACACCATCATCAAGAAAGAAGAGGGCCAGGTCGAGCGGGCTGGCCCGGAGAGCCTCAGCAAGTGGCTGTAAGGCGGCAGCGAAGAGAAGTGGGCCCAAAGGGTCGCCTTGTTGAACGCCCGCGGCTGATTGCAGCTTGACCGAGGGCCCGAACTGGAGCGAGGTCGGTTGCCCATAGCACCACGCCACCCATCTTGCGAGGCCCGGAAAATGGGCCACGGCCGCATCCACCACCGCCTGCCTGGACACTGTGTTGAAAGCATTGGCAAAGTCCAGCTTCACAAGCACTTTACCGGAGGTTGAGGCTTGGCGCCGCATCCAAGCGCGGGTGGTGTGGACAGCCGCTTCCGCCCCAGAGGGTACCCCGACTCCAACTTGAGCTGGGCAGAGGTAATGGTGGGCATCCTCTCGCACGGAACGCATCAAGCATTTGCCGACCAGCCGGGGCAGCACCTCACCAATGGCAATGGGTCGCACTCCCCCCTTTGGCTTGGGGACGGCCACAAGCACAGCACCAGCGAGGACAGGAGCCGCGTCAGCACAGACCTGGCCCTGCACCATCAGGTTAACAACGGCAGTCAAGTGCGAGATGAGAGTTTGTTGGTCTCCTGGTGACCCTGCCTCACGCAGGTGCTGCACTCGCAAGCCACATGCTCCCGGCGCGGTGTCAGTGGGGAAGTCTCGAAGAACTTGGCCCACCAAATCAGGAGCAAGCTCCAGGGCGGCAGGCATTGCAGCAGACTGGACCTGGGGATTGGGCTGGACTGGGTGCAAGGCCCGCAGGGCAGCAGCAGTGGAAGCATCCTCAGGACAAAGACCTTCCGACAGCAGCGCGGCGCAAGCCTTGCGCTCGAAGCCCTCGCGAGCCAACGCCACTGCGTGGTCTCGGCGCTGGGCCGGGGTGGGCGCCTGACGTCGCCCTCGCTGAGGCACATGACGGTCATGCCAAAGGGCGGCCCGTTCTCCCTCAACCCAGCGCTGCAAGCGGTCCACGGTATAAGCAGCCATCGCCCGCCGGTGCTTGCGACCACCACGAGGGGGAGCGCCCAGGACGCATTGGGGCAGCATAAGGAATTCGCGCCAGGCACGCTCATCATTATATTCGCCTGCTGCAGCAGCCGGAACATGACGAAGGGTGCGAGCGCAGCCCGCCTGGATGTCATGGAAGCTCGGCAGCGTGGGGTCATCAGCCCGCTGGGCACCGCCGCCCACCCCGGCCCGATCCTGCGGCCGGCAGGTAGGATGCACCTCATGTCGGGTGGAGACACTAAGCCCACAAACCCGGCACCGCTGCCGGCCATTAGTTTGGAGCCAATTGGCCGGAACATCACCTTGGAGTGTGCCAGCAAGATGGCTATCGATGTGGTGGAGCATGTTGTGCACGCTTGCCCAGCCAGGGGCTCGAGCAGGGTCGCTGGAGGGGCAAGTGGCAACTGGGCAGAAGAATCGCGCCGGTCGACTGGAAACAGCCTTCTGCTCCTCGGCTCAGTAAGAAAAAAGCAGGCATTTGTTCACACACGCCGCCTTATCTTTGCAAAGTGAGGGGCGACTACGCACAGGCTTTTGAACACAATTCCTGTGTTCCTTTCCTGCAAAGTTCCACCTTCTACGCTGCACCCTGCCTGCCCAAATTCCCGAACTCAGTAGCTTGGAGCGTCCTCAACTCTCAACCTGCAAAACTGCAAAGCCTTACATCCTAACCCTAAGGCCCTAAACCCGAAGACCAAAGCATGAGACAAACACTCCACCCCCCAAGCACCGCAAGCCCCGAAAAACCCTAAAAAAACGTTAAACCCCACAACCCGCTAAACCCAGAAATCCGAAACCCCTAGACCGGAAAACTCTTGCGGGTTCGGGCCTGGTAATCCTCGATTTCTGCGAGCTGAAAGAGGACCTGCCGACACGCTGAACACGCAGTGGCTTAGAAGGCTTAGTGTTTGGGGGTGTTTAGGGTTGAGGGCTTACTGGTGGGGTTCGGTTAGAGAGGTTTTAGGGCTCAACGGTCACGTAGCTGAGCCGAGTAGCTGTCTTTGCATGCCACTTTTCGAGGTCATGACAAGTCAGAACTAGTCTACAGTCCCAGAACCACTTTAGTCGGGTTAAGTTCCTTAACTAAGGATTTCCGTAAAGCTACCTGACCCACCCATGAACCTTCCCCTCACCCCACCCCTAAGCCCTAAGCCCTAAACCCGAAACCGCAAGCCCTGAAAGCCCGAAGCCCCAAGCCCTCAAAGCCCACTCAAAGACCTAAGCTCTTCAACCCCTAAAACTCCACACCCCACCCCAAGGGCGGTCTCGGCATTCCTCTGGGCTCCCTCAAAAGCACCTCGAGAAGTCGAAGTGACGCCCAGCCTAAGATCTGCCGAGGGCTCTTGGGCTGCTTGAAAAGGGGGTGCATTTTGAAAATGGTGCCTCTTTTGAGAGTTGTAAGATGTTGACTTCAAGGGCGTAAGGGGCTAACAGCCTTCCTAAACCCTCAACTTTGAACGACTCGGCTCAGGAAGCCTTTGAGGATCGTGTTGGAACTTCGTGAACAGGAATGGAGAGCAAATTTGTGTTTAGGGTTCAGGCTTTAGGGTTTAGGGTTTGCGTTCGCCACTCAAACTACTTGGAGTTTTCATGGGCACCTATCAACACTTACAAACAGTAATTGAGGTATAATTTCACTTGTGTTTGAGCTAAACCTTAAACCCTAAACCCTAAACCCAAAAAACCCTAAGCCATGAGGATTTGGCGGCGGGGGGGGGGGGGGGAATTTTCTCGAAAGCCTCGAGGATGACGCTAGGATATGCAGTGAGTTGGGCACCGGACAGTTTCCTGTCCCTGCTGTGCCGGGGTGCCCCTGCGACGGCGACTTTTCAGGGTTTAGGGTTTGGGGTTCAGGGCGTAGGGTTTGGGGTTCAGGGTTTTGGGTTTCGGGTTCAACTTACTTTCAGTTTTCGAATAACGGATTTGTCAGAGGAACTCCTCCTCTTTTACTGTCGCTGCGCAGTATCTCCGTGTTGCCTACCTCAACTAGCATTGACAGCCAGGGCTTGCTGCCTGCCACCCGAGCTCCAGGGTGGCATTTGTGGGGCTTGACAGCATTCTGAGGGTTGTATAAGGGTTTATGGTTTAGGGGTTACATAGGGTGTAGGGTTTGGGTTTAGGGTTTAGTCAGTTTAGGGTTTAGGTTTTAGGGCCCTCCGTACCCAATCCTAAACCTCTAAACCCTAAACCCTAAACCATGCAATCCTCAAACCTAAGCCCCTCAAACCTTAAACTCTAAAAAAGCTCTTGAACCCTCCAAACCTCCCAAAAACCCCTTAACAATCCCTCAGAACTCCCTTCAACGCACACTCTTCCAGCCTCGGCTCCTGGTAGGCCGTGGATTGGCTCCAGCCTGCCCGGCTCGATGCCGCCGAAAAGGACTTGCCCGAATCTTCAGGCGCAGCGCTGAGGCCCCAAAAGCCTTGTACGCCCTCACGCCCCAAAACCCGAAATATCGGCCTCTACTACTTCCGTACAAAGTCCGCAACCTCAAAGCCCCCAAGAAACCCTTCCAAAAGCCCTCAAATCTCAAAAGCCCTGAACCGTGAGTCTGGGAGTCCCCAACGGCTTGTGACTGGCGAAGTTGATGAGCTTCGCGTGGACGTCGGACAAGCCACCGACCTCGGGGCTGCAGAGCTTTAGGGTTTCGGATGTAGGGTTTAGTAGGGTTTGGGGTGTAGGGTTTAGGGTTTAAGGCTAATTTAGGGTTCAGAGTTTAGGGTTTGGCGCTTGGAGTTTTAACTTTTCCGGGTTATGGAAAGGGTTTTTGGATTTAGGGCCTGGCGGATTTAAGGGTTTTGAAGCTTGTGGGTGTTTTTGGGCTTTTGGGTTTGGGGGCTGCTGCTGTACGTCGCTGCGCAATTTTGCAAGTGCCCCCTGAACTCACGGCACGGCCCGCGCTCAGCCCTGAACGCCAAGTAACCCTGACCCTTGCTGCTACCATAAACCTAGCCTGCGCATCATTTCCCGCACTCAGGTGCGCGCTACGATTTTCAGGAACTGCAGCTGAGCTGTGGTGTTCCTGCGGGCAACAAGGAAGCTCATGACACATGGGCCTGCTATGTATTGCTACCACAGAAGTCATAGCCGTTATATGCTTCGATCACCCAGCGGGTCCTTCGTAGTCTCAAAACCGCCTCCACTGGGAAAAGGGCCTGTCACATTTGCGACGCTGCAGCTACCCTATAGCAAACCTTTTCAGGCCAATCTTTCTCATCCTGGAATCACAGGCATAGCACAGCACTCCCGAGGTCAGTCCTGCAGGCCGCCTCTAAACGTCACAGTGAACCCTAAACCCCACTTGAAGGTTCATGGGTGGCAGTAAACAGGCTTACAATCATCCTACTTCTAGCCCCCCATGAACCTTCAAGTAAGCGGCAAATCCGAAGCCCTACAAACCCTGGAACCACAACTACCCCTAAACCACAAGAAACCCTACAACCCACACAAACCTATCAACCCTAAAAGCTTTACAACAAAAGCTTAGACGTGACACACCATTGTAATTATGAACCCTGCCTATAAACCCCAAAAAACCTGCAAACCGTAGCAACACTATAAACCCTAAACTTGAATCGCTTTCGCACCTCAGTCTTCTCGCCCTTGGAAAGAGGCTTCTGCACGTGCTTGAAGGTGTTGAGCAGCGTCTGAAGGCTGAGGACTTCCAAATACCCTAAATAGCCTAAATATCCTAAAAATCCTAAATACCCTAAAGCCCTAATTACCTTCAATACCCTAACCCTCTTGCGACACCCTACATCTCACCCAACATGAGGCCCAAAAGCTGCAATGTCCGGAGACTCTCCCAGCATCCTTTCTCTCACCCACTCAAGCGCTTTCCCCACTCCCTGTTGCCAAAGGGCGCACGTGCTGCTCCAAACCCTAAACCCTCAACTCTGAACCCTAAACCCTCAACCCTAAACCCTAAACCCTAAACCCTCACCCCTAGACCCTCAACCCTAGACCCTAAACCTTCAACCCGGAGCTGAGGGGATACCGGAAGGTTGTGTCTCCCGTGCGCCTCCACCGACTTCTTGTTGGGAAGACGAAGCTCTGGAAGATCAAACATGAGATCGAAGACCTGCTGAGGCAAAAAAGGCTCGTGGTTTAGGGCATGTTTAGGGTTTAGGGCTTAGGGCTTAGGGTTTAGGGTTTAGGGTTTAGGGTTTAGGGTTTAGAGGCTGATGGCTTGGGGTGAGGGTTCGGAGTTTCGGGCTTAGGGCTTGAGGTGTATGCTTGCGGCCAGTTCGCCTGCAAATCGCGCGCCTTGTGACGGTTCACCGGCAGAAGCCGTGCAAATCCTAAACTAAACCCTACACCTAACGTCCTACACCGCCCACATACTGCCCTACACGCAAAACGGACAGGCAGATATGTCAACTTCCGGCTGCGGGCCTCGTCCCAGTACGCCTTGGCATCCTTGCGGCGAGAGCGAGCGAGCAAGAGAGATAGAGAGAGGGCGGATGAGAGAGAGAGAGAGGGAGGCGGCTTAGGGTTTTAGGGTTTAGGGTTTGGGGTTTAGGGTTTTAAGGTTTAGGGTTTAGGGTTTAGGGTCTAGGGTCTAGGGTTTAGGGACCCCCAACCCCAAGACTAAACCCAACTCCAGGCGAGCGGCTCGCAAGATTTCCATGCTGAGCCCGTGCCTCTCCCGAAATTCCCCTGCACCCCAACAGCCTAAGCCCATGAACCGCCGACAAATCCTAAAGCCCAAACTAAACCCGTACACCCTCAAACCCGCACCCAAAACAAAAACAAACCCCCAAGAAAAAGGAATGCCTAAAACCCCCTAAACCCCCAGCAATACAACACGCGGAAAATGCCTTAACCCAACAAAACCCCTTGAACCGTGAGAACCCTCTAACCCCGAAAGCCCACAAAACATGACGTAACCCTGAAACCCTAGAACCCCTAAAGCTTCAAACGACGCTAAACCATAAACCTCCATCCCCTCCAACCCACAAAAAGAGAAAAAACGAGCCCTGCCCCCGTCCCCTCTCGTCCTCGTGCCGGTGCTTGGTCACCGAGGACTTCAAGACGTCGACGATCATCTCCATGGTCAGGGGCTGTCCCTGGCTTTTTCGGTCTGAGGGAATAGGGTTTAGGGTTGAGGGGTTGAAGGGCAGGACTTTGGTGATCATCTCGGCCCTGCCTCTGTGGAGAAGTGTCTTGTCGGGATTTAGGTGTTTCTTGAGTGTTTACGGATCTGGCATTCGCCATCACATTCTAAGAAGCTCATCTGCCAAGTGGTACACACGATTGCAGATTTCACCGGAGACATCTGCCAGGTGCCCCTGCCTCCGTGCCCGGCGCCACCTCAGAAGCAATCCCTAGACACTAAAGCCAAAACCCCAAACCCTAAACACAACTTTGAGAACACTGGAGCTCCCTTTAAGGCCCTGAGAGCTGCCCCAAGTTACACATGGAATTTTGGTTTCGGCTTTGGGGTTAGGGTTAGGGTTTAGGGTTTAAGGGCTCGGGTTTAGCATTCCGGCGCAAAGGGTGAATTTATCGCTCAGGCTCAAAAACACTTCAAAACCCTGAACCCGCAAGACCCCCACACCCCTAACCCCTTCCCCCCATAAACCCGCCAAACCCCTCATGAGAGCCCCATGAGCCCCAACCCCCTAAACCCCTAATCCCTTAAAACCCCCGAAACCCTAAAACCCCGAAACCCGGAACCCCTAAACCCCTCAAACATCCTCACACCCCGTCACTGCCGAGCGCCCCAGCCGGTCCATGGTGCCTGGGATTCGGGGAGCGAATAACATGAGATCTCATTTCAAACATAAAAAAGTTTGATCAACGCATGACTTGTTAATGAAAGAATACACATGTGACAAGATAGTTATGCAGTAAAATGCAACCGTTATGAATACTGTGACACATTGCGTGGTGGTTCAAATTCATACTCTCAGGCTTCGGGTACCTCCTATTGCAATCCCTAGTAAGGACTGCCCAATGCAGCCCGAAAGACCGTGAATCCTCGACCCGAGCTTCAAACAACTGCGGCTAAGGAGCCACAGGTACTGCATCGTCTCTTGGCCTATGCAAGGTCTGGTTCTGCAGTGTGGAGCTAAGGGGTCGGGCTTTCAATGAAAACTCGGCCCTTGCTGCACTCGATATCACTGCCGTTGAACTTGGAACCCCCAACCCCTGGCAAAAGCACTGTAAAGAAGGTTTGGAAAAAGGATCTGCTTTTCACACTGAGGCCGGCGAAAATTGGAACGCCTGAGGTTTTTAAAAGCAAACGAGATTTTGCTAAAACCGAAAAAATCTTTATAAAGAGTCTAATATGCTCTTGTTTCCTCACGCGCATGAGATTTTTATGAAACGCCCAAATACTTTCAAAAACACGAGTTCACAAAAACTTAGCTAGCAAATCCAGGCTATACAGAACTACAGAACTCCTCGAGAACCCGTTTTGCAATCTAGGGGCTGGTGAATCACCCTTGCTTTTGGGGACTCTCTGTGGTTTACGTCTTCGGGGTTCATACCAGAACGACCAGGGGCGCAGGCCCAGACTTTACAAACCTGAACGCCCCTACCAACTCCACCATTGAGTCAACAAGGGCAAGGTTGCTGGAAGCTGCTTGAACCCCAAACTCTGAACCCTAAACCCAAAACCCTGGCCCCTGGGAGCCAGACAGTCCCAGGTGTTTTGGGCCTTAACGGCGAGCACCCAACACCCACAGGGGTCTGGGCTCTACTTGAGGGTAGCTGATGAAGCCCTTTTGCCAGGGCCTCACGTCTCACAGGCCTGAGCCTAAATGGGGGCGTGGATCTGAATTCTTGTAAAGCGGGCTTAGGGTCTAGCGTCTGGCGGCTGTGGTATCTTCCTTCCCTCTAACAGCTGCTCTAGATTAGTCAGGGTTATGGGATTTCGGGGGTGTCGGGAGGGCTTGGGGGGTTTGGGTCTGTTGGGGCAGTTTGGAGGAGTTGGGGGGGGGAGGTTTTGCTTTTGGGCCTCTGCTTGGAATTCGGGGTGTTTATTTTTTTTGGGGGGGGGAGGGGGGGGCTTAAGGCTCCAAAGTACGGGCCACGACGGCTAGCAGATGGACGCACTCGGGGTCGGGCCGCGCATTTCGCCACGCCGGAGACCAACCTCTGCTCGACCGTCGGAAGACCACGTAAGGGAGGATGAGAATACGCATTGCCCGAGCCACCGCAATTAGACGCAACAGCAACCTGAAACTCCCACCCTTTGGCTTGGGGTTAGTGGCTTCTTGCAGTCTTGCAGGTGTGCAGTGGCCGTGGCTCAGCAGCCGTCTCTGTGTCTGACATGGGGTCATGAGATGTGCGCTTTGATGCCTGCTGCAGATGTAACTGGCAAATATCGTAGCTGCTGGCTGGGGCTTGCGTTGTGGATGTGAGATCCGGCGCTCCCTCCGTCATCACATGGCATCCCCCCCAACTCTACCAGCAGCTGCTGGCATCCTGCACCCCCTATGAACCTAAACCTGAAACCCTAAACCTGAAACCCTAAGCCCTAAACCCTAAACCGCTGCACCCTCAAACCTGGCCAAAGCGCCTACAGTCTTTGAGTGCACAGGCACAGCTCCTTTTTGCTCCTTGCTCAGCCATAGCCATAGAGTCTCCGAAACTCTCTCAGAACTTGCATGCTGCGGCTTTCTTCCAGGCCATAGACCTGCAAAAGGGCTCAGAGTTTGGGATTTAGGGGATTTTAGGGCTTAGGGCTTAGGGCCTAGGGTAGATCTTTATAGGGAGCGTGCACTCGTGGGGTTGGGCGATGGGGTTTAGGGTGATGCTTGACAAGGTTTAGTGCTTAGGGATGCTTAGGCTTTGGCATCTCATGTGCCTTTTTTTTGCACTGCACCCAGATCTTCTCCAGAGCTTTGCATATGCCCCCTGGAGCCAAACGCCCAAAAAACCTGAACCTTCAAAAGCCCCGGGCCTGAAGCAGTAGGCCGACCTCTTCATCCTCGAGCTGCCCGCAGAGCACGTGGGCCAGAGCGGGCATGGCATACCTCGAAGGTTCTTCGGGTTTGAGGACTGAGGGCTGAGGGTTCAGGACTTTGGGGCTCTGTAAGGGGTTGATGTCTTTGAGGCCAGGGTTTAGGGCTGAGGTCTCCAAGGCGAAGGATGCGGTAGGTTGAGTATGTGACAAGGCCGAGGCACGCATCATCCCACAAGGCGCCTGAGAAGAGGAACATATCCTCAGCAAGAGACCCTACAAAGCTCGGCATTCCCAAAGTGCCTGTTGCAAGAAGGGGACCGAGGGACACGAGAGAGCGAGAACGATGGCTCAGCCTTGTCTGTTGTCTAAGAGGCATTGCGTTGAATTGTTAGAATTAATTTCACTAATTCACATTCTTTCATCCAATCAAGTTAAGCAAATTCATTCAGCCCTAAGGCTCTGGCTTTAGCTGTCTTACGATCGCAGTTTTGAGCTCCAGCCGGTGTGTGCAGGGCTGCTAACCTGGCCTCTGCTGCTACTGTGTGAGGTCCTTCGCAGCGGACAGCTTAGTAGTTGAGCTTGCGCTTGTTGAGGGGTCCTTTTCCCTGGTGCTTTGTTGGGAGGGATTTCGATGGTCTCCAGTGTCCCAAGTAGTCTTCTTTTCTCCCCCAAGTTCCTCGATTCCGGCGCGAGGGGCCTTCGGGCGCTCCCGAAGGAGCAATGGTCCCGGCGAACGCGTCGCTTCCGAGAGGGAGACACGAGAAAGTTTCTGGCTTGGGCTTCAGCTTTGGGACCCCTGGTGCGTGCGTGCGTTAAGGATTTGGGTTGGATAGGTCTTGGGGGTAAGGCTAAGCCTTCTACAGTAACGCCATCAAGAAGCAGATAGCCCAACCAGGAAGCAGACATACCCAAGGCTCCACCTTGGCTGTCCCACGATGCGACCCTGGTAACGGACTTGCCTTTGGGATTCGGGCTCAGGAGCCAAACCCTAAACCTTTCTGGGCCTTTACTGCTGTCGCGCTGGAGGAGTATGACCCAAACTCGAACACCACAAACATCGAAGCCCTGCACCCTCCCATGTCGGAGCTGCATGAAGTGGCCCGCATGCCAGACGGTGAGGCCGCCCCACTGGTGGTCGACTCGGCTGGGATGTTCTTGCTGTTGCTTCGGGCTTCGGGGCTTCTTACCATGCGCATGGAAAACGTTAACTATCCTATGTTTGTTGCCACGCTCCCCGGCTCCCGCTTAAGTTGAGTATATTGTATGGAAAGAGCTAAACCCTGGAGTCCAGAAATCCTGATAAACAAACTAGCTCCCCAACACCTTTAACTCCAAATTCGTCGTAAAACACAAGCCGCCTGAAGCCCCAAACACCAAGCACGCCCAAATCTCCCACCCCAACACATGCAACCCTAAGGTTCTTTGAAACCAACAAGCATCTAACGGTCTAACAACTTTCAATGCGAAGACCAGACAGCACCCTGAAACCAGCCCCTGCACCTAAACCCTAAACCCTAAACCCTAAGCCCGAAGAGCCCCCCCGGCTCTTGGATCAGTTGCGGCCGGGAGTCGATGTTCCCAAAGAACGAAGCGCGCCCGCCTGTCCTCTTGGGAAGTCCCGGCAGGACACTTGAAGGTCCACAGGTAGTTATAAGGAGGAATGAGTGTTGTCATGTAGGGTTGTTGAGATTTTGGATGCTTTGAGGTATGTAGGGCGTTTGAGTTCTGAGAGCTTTGGCGTTTGCGGGGTGCAGGCCTGTAAAGGTTTAGTTGGGGCTTTGGGGCGTTTATGAGTTCGGGTGATTGGGAGGTGTAGGGTGCTGTCCAGGCGTTTAGGGCATTTATGTAGGTTCTTAGGGCTCTTAAATCTTAAGGTATCTTAAGGTATTAGGCTTTGGGTTTAGGGTATGAAGGGCTTTTGGGGCTATAGAGCTTTGGGAGTTAAGGCTAGGGTGTTGCTCAGGGCTTATCGCTTTGTCGGGTTTACGGCCAGGGTTGTTGGGGTTGTGAGAGGTCTTGGGCTGATGGTGGCTTTGGGGTTTGGGGATTTGCCTTTCTTGCTGCCGGGTGTCGGGGGGGTAGGACTTTGGGATAGTTTCTCTGGCTGGAAAGCCCCAAACACCCTGCCCTATATGCCATAAACCCGAACCCAGACCCATCCCCATGCCGGCGGTCCGTCAGCAGCGGCTCTGCCCCGAAGATGCTCCGCGGGGAGGCGGCTGCGCCCCGAAGGAGGAGAAGAAAGCAGCCTGCGAAAGTTTGGATTTTTAGGGTTGTTGATTTCAGGCTTAAAAGAGCATCGAAACACAGAGACCCGATAACCACAGCTATAAGGCAGATAGGCCATGCACCTTCAAGAAGAAAAGGATCAGTTTCAAGGCGGGCGTCGAGTCCGCCGGTCAGAAGTGTTGGGCCAAACATCAGCCATTCTTTGGCCCGCTAATTCTGCGGGTCTTGCGTGGTGAGCGGGGCCGCCTTGGGTATCCTATGATTTGGGTTCACAGAGCACACTCCTCTAGAGCGCGCTTGCTTTGCTCTCTTCGGCTTCTTCTCCAGTTCAAATCCTCATATACCAAAGCCACTCTCCCCTCGACCCCATACCCCTAACCCCCGAAGATCTCATTTCAAATCTCTGCACCCTCAACGGGTTTGGGTCGGCCCCCACACCCTAAACCCTGAGCTGCGCCTGGCTTCATGCAGGACTTCTGCAACTCATCCGGCTCGGAAAGAAAGTACGGGGAGTCTGGGTCCAAGCTGCCTCGCAGTCGGATCCTGGGCTTGACGGCTCAGTGCTAAGGAAGGTTTGCAGCCTCTCCTGAAAGAAGAACCCTAAACCTTGAACCCCAATGAAGTCCGTAAACCCCGAAGTAGCCCCAAAACCCGAAGGCAGCCTCTAAAGCCATCAAATCTTCAACTCTGCCCTCAAACCAGAGTTCGCCACGGCTCCACTCCCGTGCCATCCGCACCTGCAGGTCGGAAGGTGTGGAGCTTCGAGCTCGGGTAAAGGGTCGAGGGTTTAAGAGTTTTGCTCAGAAGGCGTAGAGCTTCGAGTTCCGACAAAGGGTTGAGGGTTTTCAGAGTTTTTGGGCAGGGTTTTTCAGGAAGCTGTGTAGAGTTTTCTATGGCAAGTTGCGAGGTGCCAAAGACCTTAAGCAGCCCTCCTTGACTTTTCCGCACTGGTTCTGCGGGGAGCGGCAGGGGGCGTGCTTGTGCGCCCAGTCTGGATGGTGATGTCGGGCGCCAGCCAGCTCACAAGGACCCACACCCTTCCAGTTACCCCATAAATTGGCAATGAGACTCAGGGGCTTGCATTTCGGCGGGCCTTGTTGGGTGCAGGTCTGTGGCACCTCTGGCAGCACATGTCTTGCAATGTATTGCTGTTGCCAGCTGTCAGCCGGCAAGAAACAGTCAGTCTCTGACCCCGAATCAACAACTTGGAAGTCTTGTTAAAATGGTTCCCATCATCCGATGGCACCCTACGTCCTAGTAGAACAACCCTAAACCCTAAACCCTAAACCCTAAACCCTAAACCCTAAACCCTAAACAACGCCCACATCTCAAGGCTCTGCGGTGGGTTTGTAGAGGACGACCTCAAAGCTGCCTGGGCTTGGTCTTAAAGTTTGGGGGGCTTCAGGGTTTTGGGGTCTAGGGGGGTTTAGGGTTTAGGGTTTGGGGTTTAGGGTTTAGGGTTTAGGGTTTAGGGTTTGGGGTTTAGGGTTTAGGGTTTAGGGTTTGGGGGTCCGCGGACCCTGGCGGCGTGTTGGATGGGAAAAGGAGGTGAAAACTTTCCCTCCTAACCCCCCCCAAAACGCGGGGGGGGAGGGGGGTACCCGGGCAGCTTTTCCATGGAGGGCCAGGCCACCCACACCGCATAAACTCACGGACCATAGGCGGTTTCGCACAAGACATAGGGGCCTTTGGGAAAAAACCACCCAGCACCCCCCTACCCCCCCCCCCTACCCCCCCCCCCCCCCTGCCCTGCCCAAGCTGGCTTCCTCCTAGGCTCCCTCTAAGCTGGCTTCAGCTCCTGTTTGGGTCCTGGTGCTACCCCCCCCCCCCCCAACGTTTCACAGAGGCTCAAGCAAATCAACTTTTGGATCCTTTGAGCTGACGAGCGCGTTTAAACCTTTCAACTATGCTCCAGCGGGGTCGGCGGCTTGAGCCGGAGGCTCTTAAATTTAGGGGTTTAGGGGTTTAGGGGTTTAGGGGTTTAGGGGTTTAGGGGTTTAGGGGTTTAGGGGTTTAGGGATGACAAGGGTTGAGGGATGGGGGTTCAGGTGTGGGGTTTTGGAGTAGCAGCGATGGCTGATTGACAGTCCACCGCTTAGCAAGCCTCCAGCTGGGTAAGTGATGGTAAGTGCTGCTGTCACCCATCCCAAACCCTTCAGTCCCAAACGCCTAAACCGTGTGCGCAATCACGGGCCATGTCACCCTGGGGCGTGTCCACGTTGAGAACCGCATGGCCCTCACCGAAGTCGTAGGCGTACCCAGCAGAAGCACTAAAACCTCCAGAAGCGAGGCGTGGTTGGCACGTTGTTTGTACATTGAGGGCTAAGGGTTCAGGATTTTGGGGGCGGGCCGCACAAATCCTGCGTCCAAGATGTGTTGAAGTATGCTCAGAGTCTGACTGGGGATCCCCAGTGATCCCCCCATAGATACCTAGCATCTTCAGATTCTGCAGAAGCAAGATCCTGTCCTGCACACTATGCGACCCTAAGTTCGAATCACCCACCCACCCTGCCTAACCCATAAACCCACAGAACCCGAAAGCCCAAAACCCAAAAGAACCCTACATCCCTAAGGACCCAAAGGACCCTAACGCCCCAAAGAATCCCCCACCCCTCCCCTCCCCCTCGCCCTCCCCAGGAGCCTGTGAGCTGTGGCGCCATGCCCCAAGCCTCCTTCCGCTTTGGGGGCTTTAGGGGTTTTCGGGGGTTTAAGGGTTTTAAGGGTCTAGGGTTTAGGGTTTAGGGTTTAGGGTTTAGGGTTTAGGGTTTAGGGTTTAGGGTTTAGGGTTTAGGGTTTAGGGTTTAGGGTTTAGGGTTTAGGGTTTAGGGTTTAGGGTTTAGGGTAGGGGTTTTAGGGGGGGTTAAGGCTTCAGGGGCTTTAGGGGCTTTTAGGGGTCTAGAGGTGTTGAGGGTTTGGGGCGTTAAGGGCTTCGCTCTGCTTGGGGTGTAGGACTCAAAAGGACGAGGTTTGAGGCGCTACGGTTGTGGAATGTAGTGTATCTGTATATGTATAGGATAACCTCAAGGCTAAGGGTCTGATACTTCCTAAACGACAAACCCTAAACCCTAAACCCTGAACACTAAACCCTAAACCCTAAACCCCAACACAAAAAAAAAAAAACATGAACCGTTAAAGTAGCGCCTCGCACTTCGCGGGGATGCAGCTCGCTGCCTCGGTGGAAGGAGGCCATCGGGATGCTGGGGACTCTAAGGGTATGCTCCGGTTGAGGGCTAGGGTTTAGGGTTTAGGGTTTAGGGTTTAGGGTTTAGGGTTTAGGGTTTAGGGTTTAGGGTTTAGGGTTTAGGGTTTAGGGTTTAGGGTATTAGGGTTTAGGGTTTAGGGTTTAGGGTTTAGGGTTTAGGGTTTAGGGTTTAGGGTTTAGGGTTTAGGGTTTAGGGTTTAGGGTTTAGGGTTTAGGGTTTAGGGTTTAGGGTTTAGGGTTTAGGGTTTAGGGTTTAGGGTTCTTTTGGGGTTAGGGTACCTAAGAACGAGACCCCTAAAGTTTAGGGGTCTGGGGTTGTGGGCTCTTGGGGCTTAGGATTTGGGAGGGGGGGTGGGGAGGCTCCACCGTTCCCATCTCCTCTGCCGCGACGAAGAAGACTGTGCTAACGTCGAGGGGTAAATCCGGAAACAAAGAAAACCAAAGCTAAACAGATCGCTCAAGAAGCCCACCACTACAACCCTTCCCACCCCCCTGCAGCCCTTTGGGCCCTGCACTTGGTGGAGCGTGGCCTGTCTGCTTGTTGCGGTTTGGAGTTTGAAGGCCTAGAGATGTGGGGGCAGCGTTTTAAGAGTTTAGGGTTTGGAGTTCGGAATTTCGGAGATTGAGGTCTAGGGTGCTCATCAGCGAAAACACGGTGCAAAACTTGGTCGTTGGTCGCTCAAGGTTGGGACACAAGTATCATGAAAAACCGGCGAGAACCCCAAGGCTTTTGAGCTCGGGGTCTCAGATCCTAGGGTTGAGGGTTCTGGGTTTAAAGGGCGACACGCTTATGGCGACTTTTCACTTCCATGGAGTTCTTGGTTGAGGAGTCCTTCCGAAAACGGGATCTTGTGGTTTCGGGCCTAGGGGGGCTTAGGGTTCCGGGCTCCCCGAAAAGCTAGGAATGCACCGGTTAACGGCGACACCTGGTTTTCACCACCCAAGAGTGATACGAAACTCGGTGGTTCACAGTTCAAAGGGTATTCAATGGTATTTAGTTGCGGGACCACTCATCAGGAATTGTAGTCGTTGGGCATGGGAGGCGACACAGCCTCTTCCTGTAGATAAGATCCCCAACACGACGCAACAGCCTCCAGCAGGACGAACAGCCCCTAACGCAGCATCCTACCATGTCACGCAGTAGCCACCTGCAGCAGAATTATGTCCTGCGACGTATCGCAGCACGTCCTGGCAGCCAAGCCTGCTGCTGGTTCGGCGCCGAGGTGTCCACTGCATGGTTGGAGAAGCCTCGGATCCAAGATGGCGGCCTAGGACCTAGGGCTTAGGGCTCAGCGGTTGGGGTTGCGGGTTTAGGGCTGTTTGGGGGATTGAGGTTGCCGCCCTACTATGGGCAAGCTGTCAGCAGTAGCACCAGCGCCGAAGGTCTTCGTGCCCCGAGGAAGGTCATCACAGTTCAGTTCCAACTCTCACGTCCATGCTTCTACAGATGGATTTAATGTATTTCTCTCCATTATACCTCCATGTCGGAGGGAGTCCCCCGAAGAAAACGCTACCGATGACACAAAAAGCCCCCAAAGATAGGCTTTCGTGTTATGGCAGTGGCCCACAAAGGGAAGGGCAACTTAGACAACCACACACATGGGGTCATCTACTCATGCCCGGGTCTGTCTCTGTGCACCCTAAACCCTAAACCCTAAACCCTAAACCCTAAACCCTAAACCCTAAACCCTAAACCCTAAACCCTAAACCCTAAACCCTAAACTCCCCCACCCTGTCCCGCTCGAATGTTCGGCGCAATCCCCCTCCCAGCCAACAAGGTGACAACAGCAGAGGGGCACTCCTCCGCGAAGCGCACCAGGTCAATCCTGATTTCTTGCGGTGCAGGGGTCTAGGATTTAGGGTTTTAGGCAGGGTGAAATCGTGATAGGGCCATGGGGTTTTCGGGTTGTAGGGCTATGTAGGCTGCAGGGCCATAGGGTTTTCGGGATCAGGGTTGGCTTACACAACGCACCAAGATGATGACAAGAGTTAGATTTGGACTACGAACACAGAAAACGAACACTACTCGACCAAAGGGGGTTTACGAAAATAGCGGACCCCTAATATAGACCCCCACTTACTTACCTGGGCTCCCTTATAATAAGGACCCAGGAATAAGGTACCCGGTAATTTCGGAAACCCGCCCCAGTTCAAGACGACAAATGCCCGGTGCTTCTTTTTTGAGCTGGGCAGCTCTTGGTCGGCTGAGGCCCAGCCCTTGACGAGGCTGCTGGCAGTGACGGCTCCTGAGTGAAGTTTAGGGTTTAGGGTTTAGGGTTTAGGGTCTAGGGTCTAGGGTCTAGGGTCTAGGGTCTAGGGTCTAGGGTCTAGGGTCTAGGGTCTAGGGTCTAGGGTCTAGGGTCTAGGGTTTAGGGTTTAGGGTTTAGGGTTTAGGAGTGAAGGCTTTTGGGCTTTTGAGGCTAAAGGGTTGGTTGGGGTTTAGTGTGCTGGTTGCGCCTTGTCTGAGTTCCAGATACCCGACACACGTGGCCCTTAGCCCAGGTAAGCAGGGAAAAACTGCCCCTGTGGGAAGTCGGCATCCGAAACAGCCTGAACTTGCCAGCTTCAGTTGAGGCTCCCTCCAGGGGAACCTGCGGCGACGCTGTATACCTGGGATCTCCCAGCAGCCATCAGACAGCAGGGTTCAGCCAAGACTTTGCATCGACGTGAGTCCCAAACACAGTTCAAGCGCACACGAAAAGTGGATTTCAGAACTGCAAAGCCCGAAACTCATCTTTTGGGGAAGTGTGGGGTTCCAAAAAATGCAGATGGAGCCAAGGCGCAAGATGAACTGCCACTTCCCCGCCGGCGTCCGAGCGCCAACGACGGCGTGGCTGGCGCCGTAGGTGTTGTAGGGTCCACCTGCGACTTCTCTAAATCCTGCTTGGAAGGTTCAGGGGTAGAGGTGGTAGCTTCTTTTGTGATCCGCGTGGATATTTCCTCGTGTGAAATCTTACATCTTGGGGTACTGTGCTCGAGAAGAGAATGTAGCTTCCAATCTTGGCCAAGTAGCGGATGCAAGTCCTTGCATCCTACACCACACTCAAAATGGAAACTACTTCGAAACTGTCCCCCGTAGGGAAACAACCCCAAACCCTCAACCTAAAACCCTCAAACCCTAAACCCTCAACCCTAAACCCTCAACCCTAAACCCTCAACCCTAAACCCTAAACCCTACACCCTGAGACTCTTGGGGTGCTGACCTGTGTCCGGCCCGCTACCCGTCAGCTGTGGGCTCCAACCCCACCTCTCCTCACACTTCAGGGCCACCTGAGTGGGTTTCGGGGTTTGGGGTTTAGGGTTTAGGGTTCAGGGTTCAGGGTTTAGGGTTTCGGGGTTCAGGCTTTGGGCGTTTAGAGGTTTAAGGGTTTGAGGGTTTGGCTTGGGCGAGGGTTTAGGGTTTCAGTGCCAAGAATCGGTTGACCGATGATTGATACTTTGCACCCAATGTGTTCTCTTCTTGGAAAGGGGCTCTAGGGACGATGAACCATAGCACCCTGGAACTGAAACACATTGCTGTTACTGCCTAAATATCTGGGAAGTCTTACCCTCTGTCAAGGTTGGGATTCAGGAGGGTGGCAACAACGAAACACGCCACCAGTGTTTCTTGGAATTAATCCGTTCAGGGTTTTTGGTGCGCTTCGTCTCCAACAGGCTTCAGGGCTTGGATTTCTCGAAGCACTCAGGGCCTCCACTGTCTCGGGTTCAGGTTCAGGGTTTAGGGTTTAGGGTTAGGGATTCGGGTTTTGGAATCAGGGTTTTGAATTGAGGGTTGGGGGCTTCCTTGCTTCGGGCCCGACATCTACTGGCAGTCAGGGGACGCAGTCGGCGGACTGGTGTACTTCCTCCTGAGATGTGGCTGCATTCAGGGTCTCGTCCGGGAGCTTGGAGAAGCAGTCCTCCAAAGGGTTTTCTGGAGCTGCAGGCCTTGGGGGCCTTTAAGAGTCAGGAGCTTTAGGGGGTTTGAGGCTCTGATTAAGATGTTGAACCCTAAACCCTAACCCCTAACCCCTAAACCCTAAACCCTAAACCCTAAACCCTAAACCCTAAACCCTAAACCGAATAACTTCGGCTCTCGGGTACGGAAAGGGGTAAACTTGGGAGGATTTTGGGCGCCAGGTCCTCCGTGAAGCGGAGGATGTCCTCCATCTGCTGGGCACTTGCCCATCCTGCAAGGGTTTCGGGTTTATGGCCTAGGGTTTAGGGTTAGGGTTTAGGGAGCTGCAACGGCCCGGTACCTCTAGGGGTGGGGTGTAGGGTTCCACGGTCTACATAACTCCCAAAACCCCTAAACCCCGAACTCTTAAAACCGGCCCGCAAGTATGGCTCCCGGAATCCTCGGTAGAGACTGCTCGCGGTGACCTGCCATGGGATGCTTACTTTGCAAGTCTCTGGCTTTCGGCCCTCGAGACCTCAAACCCGAAGCGCGAACCCTGAAACCTTAAACCCTGAAACCTTGGACCCGAAACTCAAAAAGCCCTGAGGATTTAGCAAAGGGTTGAGGTCGGTAAAGTTTCCGGATTTGGGACGTCAGTGCTGGGCTTAGGCTTATGCGGAGTCATTCTGGACGAACTCCCATGTGCGATGCCTCACCGCCGAACATTGTCAGCGTACCAAATCTGGGCCCATGCGCTGAGCACCAGCCAGGCATCGGTCATTTCAGATGTTGGCATATTCCCCAAACAGTGGCCGCCGCAAACCGTGGTTACACTTATGGGTCCTGACATGCAAGGTAGCCTAAACCCTGAATCCTAAACCCTAAACCCTAAACCCTAAACCCTAAACCGCGGCTGGAGACACGGAGCTCGTGGAAGGCTCATCATGTACTCTTCGACTGTGGCTTTGTCCCTGTATATCCCTACAGGCCACACCATGCAATATAGTTCCCCAAAGCCCTCTGCCTGCGCCTATATTGAGCTAAGCCGACAACCCTTAAACCCCTGAACCATAAACCCCTAAACCAAGCCCTAACCCCCTAAACCGATTTCCAGGCCTGCTGCTTTCGCTGCAGGAAATCTTGACCATTCGCCACTTGAGGCAGAAGTAGGCCGAGAAAGCCAGCGAGCAGAGCCATGTTCCTGAGCGGATTACATGTTCGAGATCTCTTGCGACTCGCGGTTTGGGGCTGCTTGGCTTGGATATCTTGGGAACAGGAATTTGACATCTTCACCCCATCAACTAGACGCACTTGCTGGCTCGCAAACAGCCCTACTTCCGACGCTGCTCATGAAACAACAGGTAAGCCACTACTACAACGACAACCGCCACCACAGCTGATTTTATCACTACCCTTATCACGAAGTGGCCGATGCTTCGGGGAAGATGAACAATGGCTGCTTGTGAGCCCAACACGCTGCAGACAGAAGTGATCTAGAACCCCTTTGCACAAAAAAAACCTACCCAACCAAACTCTAAACCTGGAAGCCAGCCCACGAATGTTAAGGCGCCCGGAGAGCGCGCCCCAACAAGCCCTTCGCAAGCGCGAGTGTGTTTGTGTATGTGTGTGAAGATAGGTGTAAACTAGGGTGGTTCTTAGAGTGTTCTGAGCATCTGCGAAAGAGGCATGCATGTACATATACTACATATACATATTAATGGTAAGTGTAGATATGCAAACACCCATGTATGCGTATGTGGATACATATATATATATATATACATAGTATACAGACACAGCCAGGTACTAGAGTAGAAAAAGCCATATGCTGACCGACATGCTCAAACAAACATTTCGCATACTTCACTATCTTTTCGAGCCCATCTAGTCACGTGGCAAACCCGACCATTACCTGATGTCGGAATCACCCGCCAGGGCCAGGGCTTCAAGGATTTGGGCGCAAGTATCCTGAACAAATCCCTGGAGCGCAAATCTTAGAAACCCTGAGCTGATACCTTGACTCAAGCATATGGACAGCTTTCTAGATTGTCACCCGCAGCAAAGCCTGCCCATCCAAAGGCTCGGTGCACCCGTCCTGCATGTGGCGCTGGGGCGTTGCTTTAGGAGTTCTGATGAGAATCTCGAAACTCAAAAAAACAGCTGCTTCTGGCGAACTTCAGGGGGGTTAGGGCAGTTCAGGGCAAGATCTTGACCTTGGTCCATGTCAACGCTCCTCAAGCTTCCGTAGGAACCGCCCCTGAACGAAAACCCTAAACCCTCAACCCTAAACCCTCCCCACTTGGACCCCATGTTGAAGGACACCCTGAGAACGTAAAGCCTCGAACTCCCACCCCTAAACCCGAAACACCGCTAGGCCTTTGGAATCCTGTGTGTAGCAAAAGCCAAAAGACTTTCAAACCAAACACCCTCAAGTGCCTGAATCCCTACACAGGCCCTTAAATGGAAGCCTATAGAACCCCTGAAACATCCTGAAAACCCAGAAACGGAAAGGGTGGTCCTCCACTTCCTGCACCACTTCGAGGACATGCTGTGGCGCGCCTCCCGGTCTGGGTGTGGGGGATCATGCGTGGGGTTCAGGGGTCCAGGGAGTGTCGACTGATGGGCTCGTAGGGGCGAAGAGCTTCATAGCAAACACCCCACAAATCGAAACAGGGACCTTGTTGACGGAAAGCTTGCAGGTAACGGCTTCAGGACTCGAGCGTGTTTGTAAGGGGAGGGCAAGGGGGGTAAGATCGGGGAAGGGAGTAGGGTCGAGCGTCGAGGGTCTCTGTTCGGTTTGGAGTTTACGAAGTTTCGGGCTCTATGAGTTTAGGAAACCCTACATCCTCAACCCGAAACCCAAAAATCAAAGTCCCAACCTCTTCACCCTAAACCCCACACCTCCCACCCTAAAACCCCAAAACCTAAACCCTAAACAATCCTCAGCCCCAAGCGATGCCTCCACGGCGGCGCGCGCGGCTGGCAATCGCGGCCAAAGACGGCCAGAGCTGGTCCTGGGGCTTAAGATTCATGGGGCTATAGGCTATAGCATTGCATGATGGTGCGTAGGCCTTGGTGTTTCGGGCTTAAGTACCATAAACCTTCCTCTACCTTATGCCGCGGCCGGGAATCCGCCACACGGCAGCCCAAGATGTCCTCCATGGCGAATCTCTCACTCAGGCAGATCCTTGGCCAGATCCCAGCACCCTGAACCCTGAAAGAGTACCGCGCCTGCCAGCAAAAACGACGCCTGTGTCGCGCCTGCCAGCGTTTCCCGCGGCCCGAGCGCGCGCGCGGCAAGAGTCCAAGGCCTCTAAGTACCGTGCCTGTCAGCAGAAACGACGCCTGTGTCGCGCCTGCCAGCGTTTCCCGCGGCCCGAGCGCGCGCGCGGCAAAGGTCCAGGGCCCCTAAGTACCGCGCCTGCCAGCAAAAACGACGCCTGTTCAATCTTTTTTAGTAGAAATAAAAGAATTATATTCATCAACTAATAAAGAAATATTGTAATCAAAATAATTAAGTAAATCTAAAAGAGTAAAGTCATCATTCGTGCAATATTTTTGACCATTTAAAAAAAATCTTCATTTTCGAAATTAATAGTTTTTTATTAATTTTGTATTATTTCTTATAAATAAGCTAGACTTTAAATAACCTAAGTCCCGAACCAGAGCGACCCCGATAAGAGTCCCCGAAAGCCCCGAAGCCCGAACCATCGGAGCCCGGGTTCCTTTCTTAAGAGCTGTGGGATGAGGCTCGAGGGGAGACGCCAGGCTTCCACAACTGCTCTTGGCGTCGGGCTTCGTAACGCTAGGGTTTGGGGGAGCTTTTTGAGTCTCAGAGCCCTCTCGGGCCCGGCCTTGGCTACAGGTTGGTAAGTTTTTCAAGAACTCTCCGAAGGCTCTCTCCAAATCCGAAATCCTTGTTCAAAATCCGGGGGCCTCAAAACCCCAAAAGAAACCTCCCAGACACCAAAAAAACCCTAGCTGGGCCCGCGGACTCCACAAGGCAGCTGTTTTGCTCCAGGAAAGCAGCGTACAGGTTGAAGGCGGTCTGGGGTCGAGGGTTCACGTGGGTTCCGGGCTTCGGGCTGAGGGTTTCGCAGGCTAGGAGGTTCAACAACAATGAGAATAGTAAAGATGATGATGATGATCATCATCATCATCATAATAGTACTAATCATAATGACAATAATAAGAAGACTAATAAGAATAAGAATAAGAATAAGAATAGTAATAGTAAGTTCGGCTTTCGGGTCCTTACCGTGACGAGGGGGCATCTTCAGCCAATTCAACTAACAACACACAGATGCACCGTCACACCCCGAAACTCATTCTCAAACCTCGAGCTCAAGGTCTCAAGGAAAGGTTGCAGGAGCCGACCTTTCACGCGGTAGAAGCCTGGCTTAGCCCCGAAATTCTCAGAGCCGCCTCGCGCAGTTCCCCTAGCGCAAGGGCCCTGGGTGTGGTGGCCTGCAGCGACAGCTCCTTGGCTGCTAGGAAACCCCAAACCCCCGCAAAACCCTGAGGCATCATCCCCAGAGTTTAGAACTTAGGGATTCAGAGTGTTTAGGAGTCCCCTTTTATCTCCTTTAAGGGTTCAGGGTGGCTGGCTTGGGTTCGGGCGTCAGGGTTTTAGGGATCATCAGGGTTTAGCCGCTTGGAGGGCTTTGAGGACTGGGGATCATGGGGCTGAGGAGCTTCCCTAAAGTTTTCCGAAACCCTAAACTCTGCTAAATCAGGGGGGCCAGGCACCGCCAACAGAGTGAGCCCCAGGGCGAGGGGGGCGGGGGGGGGGGGAAGAACAGCAGCTTAGTCTCCAGCTTACCAGTAAGCTCGTGGAAGATGTCGACCCAGTACTCCTGCAGTGTCTTGAGCTTTCAGATCTAGGGTCTAGTTTCTGAGGGTTGAGGCAGTGGTGTATGGCCTGGGTGCAAGCAATTTTGGAGGCGAATCCGAACTCGAATGGCATGAGGAGCACGCAACAAAAGTCACAAGAGAGGCAGCAGGCAGCAGTGAATGCAGCAATACTGATAGGCTACTCCCCGTCATCGTCGCAACCGCCTTCCGCTATCTTCATCATACCAGAAAGAAGAGTAGGAGCCATGGGTTGAAGCACGAGCACGGAGAGGGGAAAGATACTGCTCTGCCCACCCTGGCACGCCCGCTCCGGGCGGGCGAAGTCCAACGCCTGGCTGCGGTGGCCACCGGCGGGTTCGATTGTGGAGTTTAGGGGGCGTAGGGTCCAGCGTTGACGATCCCTAAACTTTTACATTGTGCATCCTAAGTCCTTCACTTTGGACCCCCAAAACCCCCAGGTAAGCCACCTAAATGGGCTCAAGACTTGAGATTGTAGGGTTTGGTGCTTAGGGGGCTTCTTTACGGCTGGTTTAGGCTAGGGAGGGTTTCAGGCGTAGGGTTTTCAAATGCAATCTAGGGAACCAGTGGCGATATTCGGAATACCGGGATCTTCCACAGCTGCTTTTCCTTTACGGCTGGGTCTTCAGCTTTGGAAAACACCGCCGTACCTGCCACGCAAGGAAGACAAGGTCAGCCACTCCCGCCAGCCCCGCGAGGATGGCGGTGGTCAAGCCGAGCCATGGGTACCAGAGCCAGATCCGCCCGTCCACGGAGATGCGGTTAATGAAGTAGCCCACCAACGCGGCGCCAACACGGGCCGCTGCATGGCGCATCCAGTGTGCTGCGAGGTAGCCATTGTGAGCCTGTGCCTCGAGCCCCAGGTAAAGTGGGCCAAAGAGCGCTCGCAAGAAGATCTCGGGAATCCAAACCCGATCCTCGTGGGGGTTGGGCCCATCAGCGTAGATGATCACCCCTTGCAAGACACAAAGCCAACCAACGAGCCTGCCGAGTATGCAGGAGCACCTCGCTAGTCCCATCAGCTCGCGCTCTGCCTCGTCGCTCTCCACCATCGCCCCCCCCCCCACCCCCAAACCCCTGAGATAGCCGCAAACCCCAAACCTCAAAAACCCCAAGTCCCAAAGCCTGCGCCCTGGAAGTTTTGAATCTGTAATCCACAACTTGACGGGGCGCACAGCACCGAGCCGCAATGGCTGATGATGTCAGGCGTTTGGTTCTTCAGGTCGAGGGTTTGGGGTTGGGCTTGGTACAAGTCGAATGTCTTTTCTTGCGGACGGACTTTGGGGCTTCAGCCGGCCTGATGGCATGCTACCCTTGGGTCCTTCATGGATTCTCAAGCCCCAAGTTACGCTCATGATGCTGGATGTTTAGAGCTTGTACAGTAGAGTTTCAGGTGCGATCTCCTGTCCGCTCCCGCTTTACAACTACCCATGAGCCGAGTTTAGAAGTTAAGGGAAGACATGACTGCCCGTGAACCCTAAAACCCGCGCCAAGCCCCTGAAATCCTACAGCCCTACGACCAGAAACCCTCAAATCGCTGTTACCCTGCAACCAACCCTGAACCCCTGAACCCAAAACCCCTACTAAATCCCAGGGGCCTGGCAACACAAAGGGTGCCCTTGTCTGGCGAAAAGGGGCTCACAAGGGAGCCTGGTCTTCAAAAAACCATGGCAAGAAAGGTCCATGCTGGGCCCTCTTGCATTGAAAATGCAACCCGTCAGCATTCAACCCTGAAGCCCAAAGCACCCTTGCACCCCCACAGCCCTACACCCAAACCCTTACCCCTAAATCCACAATCGCTAGAGCCCCTACTAGCCAAAGACCCTCTTAACCAAACCGCCGAAATTTAAAAAATGAACTGAACCACTGGACTCTCCCAACCCCCGGCAGATTGCTGCCTGTGCCACGGGTCTCTCACCCTCCAGCCTGGGGTTCAGGGCTTTGGGGGGCTTTCGGAGCTTCCGAGGCTTCAGGGCTTCAGGTTCTTGGATTGTTTTGCAGATGGTCAAGCTGAACCTCAGGGCTCAGGGTCGATGCGGCAATTCCTGGGGCTTTGGGGCTCGGGCCTTGCCTTTACAGCATGAAACCTCTACGAAAAGGCAGTCGAGAAGCAGATGCTGGCGCAGAGGGGCATCATCAACCTTCGGGGGGCAGTTAAGGCACGCTCGTCTGAGCTGCCAGGCTTCCTGCCCTCATCGGGCTCCTGGAGGCTAAGCAGTTAAAATATAATTGCGTGAGATTGAGCGCGAAGGCGAAAATGCGTAGTCAAAACTCCATATGGGGGTTTCCGAAATTTGGGTCCTTCTTATAAGGGAATCCTACTATGTTTTTTTTTGGACTGCGCGAGGCACTGCGTCGTGCCCATCGGCACCGGCGTTTGTGGGGATCTATATTGGGCTTCCCCTATGCTCGTGAACCATTTACCAGGGCTTTTGGAGCGTTCACACACTGCCTGCGCTCAGTACATTTGCTAGCTCGTTTTGCTCACGCTTTCTTAGTATCAGATGGGCAAGAGGTCGTTGAAGAATATGACAAGGCCCAGCGAATAAGAATAATAGTGTTGTGGCGTGCGAAAACCCAGAAAGAAGGTGGATGCGAGGAAGACATAAAATTTGAGCATGCCAAGGGCCTTAAATGTACTATATCTTCTATTCGGCGCGCCTTTGAAGCGCATGAAAACACAATACACACCTGCCAGCAGTGTCATTAATATTAACGGCCTGTGAAGGGTCAGGTGACAATGGTCAGGTGGCTGGCTTTCAGGTTGTCGGAGCTGAAACCTAGAGAGTTGGGGTTTCGTGATCAGGGTTGAACTCTAAATCCAGGGCCCTGCCTCACGCAAGCGAGCCACGAGCCGGGGAAGTTCGGCGGTGCGGAAGAACAGTGCCTCTAGGCCCGAGTCCCCATTCCCAAAGATGACGGAGTCTCCTCCTCCCCTCGAAAAAAATTGGAAATAGGCAAAAACACTGTGGGGTGATCGCTCTGGGATGCTCTGTGAGCTTCCCCAGAAACCCTGGCGAGGAGTATAAAGGAAATAGCACTAAGTGAGCAACGGCGCCACATGAGAACAAAGATGAGCCCGAAAAACCTGAAACTCCATGGTAGGGAGAGTGCCGAAGGTGCAGTCGAGGCACCACGTCGCGCCAAGGAAGGCTCCGCTCCTAGTGGTGCAAGGCTTAAGGTTTAAGGTGCGGGGCTTGGGGCTTAGGCTTCCAGATAGAATGTTTGTATAAGGTTTAAGGCTTGCCAAACCTGGGGCGGCGTGCTGGCTCCGGGGAGTGACCGCCAGTTTTTGCCACGGAGGATGTGGAGAAAGACGATGGGCTCCAACTCCCCCAAAGAAGCCCCTGGGCGGCCTGCTGAAAACCCCCCGAGGAACACCCTATGCAAGAAGCCTGCAGAGGTGTAACCACATTGCGCCCCAGAAGGCGAGATGGAAGCACAAACAGACAATTACCCCACAGTGGTTTCGGGCACCACGTCATCAGCGGCTTCGTGGACATAGATGGGGGCCCCCTGAAGACCCCTCCAACCCCTTCTTTGATAATCGGGAACTTTAGGGGCCCCTGAACACTCCCTGCGCACCCCTTACGGTTTGAGTCTCCGAGCGGCCGAACTAATCCGCCCTTTCGGCTGAGCTAGAAGCTCTTAAATCGGTGTGCATAGTTGTTGGTGGCTTTTGTATGTGCATTTTTGGCCGTGTCTTGCAGTTGTTGGTTGAGCTTGTTTGTTAGCTTTTGTTGATAACGTCGTTGCTGCTGCTTAGTACTATTCTTACTGGATTTTTTGTGTTGTGATTTCTGACCTCGGCTCTCTCATTGCTATTGTTCTCATGATTTTTCTTTTTCTTCTCTCTTGTCCATTTGGAGCCCAGGTAGGGCCACACTTGTCGGTGGGGCACTGATCTTCCCCGCTCAGAGTCTTTAGGACTTTGGCGTTTTACGGTTGCGGGTTTCTGGTCTTGAGGTAGCCGATTTAGGTTTCAGAGTTTAGGTTAGGCCTTTGGGAGATCACTACTTGAAGGGTTCAAGGTTGAGGGTTGCTTCGTCCAGCGTTGTGCTTCGGGAGGCTTCGGCGGTGTGCTACAGGGACCTGCACGGCAATTGCAGCGAAAGGGCCAGAGGAGGATGGAAGTCATCTGACACAATCACCTGAGGAAGACTTTGGCAAGGAATGCAACGACGCCAAGAGCCCCTAGGGCCTCGGGGGTGAAGCCATGACATGTACAAGGGCCAGCAGTTCGGGCACTGCTGCCGACGAATTTCGCGAGGTAGACAATGTGAACTGCAGCAAAGATGCCGGCACGCAGCCGTGGGCCATCACATCCACCAGGCGCACGTTGTTGGTATGTGAGCTGCCCCGTAGGACCAGGCAGAACTTGCCTCGAACGAGCACCGCACTCTGACATGCCAACAGGCCGCCCTAGAGTCTAGAATCTCTGCCCTGCGCCACTTTTCGCAAGCGGGCATCATAGAGGATGCTGATACTGCACTGACTTCGGAGCCTCTCTCCCCACGCATGGGCAAATTCTATCAGCAGGCCAGGTACTGGAAAGCATTGCATCTTGATACTCCTCCTCGGACGAAATCGCCTGGGAGGGTCTCAACCCTACACCCTGATGGCACAACCTCACACTTTGAACCCTGAACCTATCCTCACTGAGGCAAGCTGCTGCACTGACAGCGGCATCTCAAGCTTCTATTTGGGGGTGGAGGGGTTGGGGGTGGCACACGCAGGTCCAGCAGCCAAGGAACAGAGCCCTGAACCCAGACCTCTGCCGGGTCCATGTTGCCATAAAGCGAGTGCCTTTGGGGCTTCTCAGGATTTAGGGCTGGGGGCCCAGAGTTCATCGACTTTGAAACCCTAAGCCTCATGATGGCTCTTGAAAGAGCAGCTTGGCTGCCCCTCAACACCGCGCCACGAAACCTGACTGTCCACCTACAGAGATAGGTCTGGATCTTGCATCAACGACAAAGAGCAAAAGGAAGAGAGAAACTGACCGACGGACAGACAGACAGAGAGACCGACAGAGAGAGACAGAGAGAGAGAGAGAGAGAGAGAGAGTTTTTCTTCAAAAAACAAAGAAGACTGCAAGAAATTGAGAGAGCGAGAGAGACGCTGTCTGCAGCACCCAAACTTTCTCCAAGACACAGCCATCGTCGGGCACAACTGTTCAGAGTTCCGGCGAAGAAGGCCAGTCGCGTTCGGGCTGCTGCTCGTGCTCGGGGGAGGATGCCTCTGCATATGAGAAGCTTAGCACTGAATCTCAGTCCAGCTGCAAGACTTAGGAGCTTACGGTTTGTTGTCAAGTCTTAAATGGGGCTTAGGGTGCTCTAAATCTGGCGATTTCTACAAGTACCAGATGCTTAGACCTTATGCCCACTTTATCTCTACCTACACGTGGACCTGCAAGTACATCACCCTCACAAGCTGGTGAACCCTGAATCCTTGCAATCGTTTTTTGAACCCTACTTTACACTCTTACCTTTGAACTCCAACCCTTCTCTAAACTCTGAACCCCCAACCCTCAACGTGAAATGTGGGTGGAGGCGGGGGTTCTTCATGACTGGATTCTATGTAAACCTGTCTTCAAAGCGAGGGCGAAATAAGGACAAAACCCAAAGCAAGCCCCTCTGACAACTTACGAGAGGTTCACGCGTGGCTATAAGTAGGGCTGACAATGCTACGTATAAAAAAGATGCGGACAACCCTACTTATAACAATCGACCCATGAACTCTAAACCCTAAACCCTAGTCCCCAAACCCAACTTATAACAACGCACCCATGAACCTTCAAGCGGGCTCGAAACTCGAAGCCCTACTTGGAGGTTCAGGGTACTCATTAACCAATTATAACTGTACTGATAACCCACTTATAAGCCCCTTAAGTGCCCTAATATGGTTATAATTTGGGTTACAAGTACAGCTACCATAAACCCTACTTGGAGGTACTTAAGGGGCTTATGAGTGGGTTAGAAGCACAGTGACAATTGGCTAATAAGTACCACTTAGAAGCCCTTAAGTGCCCTAGTATGCTTGTAATTTGGGTTACAAGTACAATTATAATTTGGGTTAGAATTTGGGTTACAAGTGCAGTTATAATTTGGTAACAGCTATAATCGGTTCGTAAGTACCCTGAACCTCCAAGTGCACCCCCAGGGCCTCGAGCCGAGGTAAAGCGGCTCGGGATGCTGATGACAAAGTCCTGCCTTGAAATCGTTACTTGGGTTTGGGGTTTGGGGTTGGGGTTTGGGGTTTAGGGTTTAGGGTTTAGGGCTTAGGGCTTAGGGATTAGGGTTTGGGGTTTTCGTGTGCAGCGTATGGCTTGAGGGTTTAGGGTTTTGAGGAGGGTGGGTGCAGGCATTGATGTGAGGTGTGGGCCATTTTGAGGGGCTTCAAGGCTTGAAGCTTAAGGGTTTGAGGGTGTCGGGTCTTCGGGCCACAGCCTTTAGAGCGATGAGCTGATGCAGTTGGTTTAGGGTCGTTTACATTTTTGTGCTGTTTGGGGTTTCTAGTTTGGGGTCCACTCTCCTAACCCCCATAATCAACAGCCAAATCGCTTCCCAGGGGCGGGTGGAAGACGCGGCCCTCGGCTGTTGACTGGGTCTCCTTCAAGGCACGCCGTGTCTTCGGAGCTCATCACCACCATCGTCGACCCCTGGTTTGCTTTGGTGGGGAATCATCGCCAGTACATTTCACCAGAAGGTGACCGAAGCCCACACCAAGGGCCAGCATCATCAGCGTCATTGGGGCCGAGGAGCAGCATCATCAGCTGGGTCGCCCCTTGGAGACCCACGCCCAGACCAAGAGCCGGCGTCAGCTTCATCGCACCCTGCATTCATTTGGTGTGACCCAAAGCCTACACCAAGGGCCGGCGACATCGGCATCATCGACCCTGCGCTTCCCTGACGCCGGGACCAAGCGCCAACATCATCAACGTCTCAATTGGTGTGACGCAAAGCCAAGACCAAGGCCCGGCATCGCCAGCATCATCCCTACCGTATAAGCCTCCATAATTACAAGAAGTACACCAAAAAAAGACTCCGATTTAAATCCCAGCATGTGCACGCAGCCTCGGCACAGCGATCCGGAGCTGAGGCGTCGGGCAGCGCCTTGGTTCGAAAGGCTTCCTAAACCCTCAACTCCGAAACCATAAAAACAGGCCTATAGGGTTAAGGGTTTAGGGTTTAGGGTTTAGGGTTTAGGGTTTAGGGTTTAGGGTTTAGGGTTTAGGGTTTAGGGTTTGGGGTCTAGGGTTTAGGGTTTAGAGTTTAGGGTTTAGGGGGTAGGGTTTGGAGACAATGGAGATTCTGCGAACGTCGGAGGGCAGGGTTATGAGCATGTCTACCCTCAACCTTCGCCCCCCTCCTGCTCGGCAACGCGCGCGCATGCATTTCATGTCTGGCTTCGGCCAAGTCTCCCACAGGTTCGCCTGCAATACGTGCAGATGGAAGGCTTGGGGTTTTGGGGTGAGGGCTTCCCTAGTTCCGAGCACTTCGGGACTTCCATGACAATGCCTTGAACTCAGGAGCCAGTGTCAGGGCCGCGTGTGTTTGCACGCTGCGCGGGCTGCAGCTCCAGAGTTCAGGCCGTGCCAAAGGTTGGCAAACGAAAGTGCTCCGTGTGAGCGTGCATCATGCAGGCCTAACCACCCCAAGAACACCTCTTTACAACGCTCAGGGTATTGAGGCCTTCTGAGGTTCCTAGACTCTTCGAAGCTTCTTATGTTCATGGACTGGCCAGAAAGCGTTTCCACATCAAGGGGATGTTGCACCCTAAACCCAAAAGGCCTCTTGTGGCACCGTCCGCACCCCACACCCACACCAAAACCCCTACACCCTTCAACACCCCAACATACCCCAACCCAAACCCTAAACTCCTCTGAGCCCAAGAAAGACCCGGAGGAAGGCCAGCCTTTTGCAGCCAATCTGTCTCCCCGGGCAACGTGCCGACGGTCCAGTTCCTGCAGGGGTCTTAAGGGTTTGGGGTTCAAGGGTTTTGGGGCTGTGGGGTCGTAAGTTGGGGAACATCCCCTTATTCTAACAGTCCTTTCTAGGGATGATAATACGCCCTGTTCTAGTCTCTAGTACGGACTGTTAGCACAAGGGGGAGCATCCCACGTCGTAAGCACGTAGGCTTTGGGATGACGTAGGCCTATAGAGTCGACATGGCCCCGAGTCCTCGTCTCGGCCAGGGACGCCGGGAAGTCCTGTGCAAGGTTGAGCAGGGCCCCAGGCTTCACAAAATGCAGAGTAGGGCTTCGGTTTGTGATGTTTGTGATTGTGGTCTGGGGTCTAGAGAGCTTCCTGGAAACTGGGGTCTGAGCTTTGGCGGTTCCGGCTTTAGGCCAGAGATTTCAGAGTCCAGGAGGGTACGTTTTTGATCCGTCGAGCTACAGGTTCTCGCTGCGCCCTGCTTCGCTGTCCTGTCTGCCAAGGTCAATCGCATAGACCGTCACAAAGTTGGCCTTAGATACCCTGAGCGCTAAACTCCACACAGCAAACTGGTAGCCCCGGCGATGACATCAAATTCCGGAGGTTGAGGGTTGAGGGCTTGGGCTGTAGGCTTAGGAATCTGTTAGATAGACCGTCCTCAAAGCTCAAAACAACAACTCCTAAATCCAACACCCAGAACCCCCTCAAACCCCGCAACGAAGCCCAAGGGTCACCAAAGTGGCGCTGCCAGGCGGGGTGGGCGTTGGCCCAGCGGGCGACAGGGCCTAGGCTGGTTTCGGGCTTGCCGACTTAGTGTTTGGGACGCCGGGCTTAAGAGTTTCGTTTGTGCCTGGGGGCTCTAGGGCTTTAAGGTTCAGGGCTTAGTCTGTAGCATTGGTCAGCTGGGAGCCGTGACATGCTCACCCCAAGACCGTTGAGCGTTTCGGGGCTGAGTTGTGGGTACCCGGTGTGTGTAGGGGCGTTCTGCATGCATGTTGGGTTTTGGAGGCTTCACTGCGCTGCGCGATTCCGGGCACCCGGCGTGCGCTTGCAAAACCCTCGCCAAAAAAATCATGGGACTGGAGGTCCGTGCTTGCAAGACCCTGGCAAATACCATGAAAGCCAAACCCGGTTGAGGCTTCTGGGCAGGGTTTTATAGGGAAGAAATTGGACAGGTAAAGAAATTTCCACATAAAGATCTTGCAGGCATCCAGGACAGTCTCTGCAGGCACACTTGCCGCAACGTTAAAATTAGCTGGAATGGGTGCTTTCCTACTGCTGCAGGAGAGGGAGCAGCAGTGTAGCGAGTCTACGGTTTTACGGAACGGTCGTATCTTCGGGCACCAGAGCCGCAGAAACCAGCTGCGGAATCCTGAGTTTTTTTATAGTGGGATCCTTACGTGGGTTTGCGTTTTCCTTCAGCGTTCCCTTGGTTTTTGGCACCCACATAAAGATCCTACAAAATCTTGCTCGTTTGTGTGTTAATTGCCACATAAAGACCCGACGATTTTTTTCCCGCCAAGAATCCCCTGCCCAGTGGTGATGCAATGATGCAATTAAGGCACGACACCTACGGAATCCCCACTGTGCAGTCATGATACCCCTAAAATGAGCCCGGCACTAACAAGAGATGCCCATGCTCGCATGTAGCTGAGATAGCTCCTTTGGAAAGCCTGGATGATGGTGGGCGCAGATCCCCGGTGATAGGATCCTTATGTTTATGTGGCCTGTTGGTCCCCGATTTTAACTAGGCCACAGGGTACACGGAAAGCGGTCTAGGGGTTAATTTGTGTGTACTGCTTCGAATTCCCTAAAAGCAGTGCGGCTAAACCTTAAACCCTCCTGGACCCTAAGCCCAAAACTTCCAAGCCCTAAGCTCCACACATGCGCCTGTTGGATTCAGCTAAACCCCAAACCCAGGATGATGCCCAAGATGCGCAGGTACTCTGCATCCGCCAGCGCCAAAGCCGCCTGTGAAGCCCATCAAAGGGCACGTTCTGGAAACGACCGTAGGTTGCGCAACTGGGGAAGTTTTTTTGGAACTCAGGGAGTCATCTTGGGGCTATTAGGGCTTATTTGGCTTGCGTGTCTCACCGAACTCCTTGGGTGCTTGGGTTCGGTGTTTTCTTCTGAGATTGCAGAGGGGCTGGCCAAGCGTGCGGCTGCAGACCAGAACTCCTGAACCCGTAACGCCTCAAGCCTTTGGGGTTGCTCGGGGTTAAAGGTTCGAATGGCCGACTTTCAAAGCAGGGTTTGGAGTTTGGGATTTAGACTTTGGGGTCTTGTGCTTCGGCTTTAGGGTTTGGGGTGTAGACTCTGGGGTTGGGGCTTAAGGCCGTAGGGTTCAGGATTAGGGGTTTAGGCTTTGCGGGGGAAGGTTGAAGTCTGGCCCTAGCTTTCGTGAACCCCACCCAGCACCATGCCTCGTGCGAGTAGGAGTAGTTCTGACGCAGGTGAAGATACACCTGCAGCGCATGGACCTTTCTCTAGGATAGGGATTTAGGGTTCATTTGAAGATCACTTTCCGGCCGCTTCGGGTTCTGCCCAATTTTAAAACAGCCCCCCCCCCCCCCCCCAAAAAAAAAAAAAAAAACTGAACCCTGGGTCGGGCTCAGGGTCGGGTTGAGGACAGGGTGGAGGTGAAACCCTTCAAGGCTTCAGCTCGCCGGCCAATCAGCTCAGGAGCTGCCGACAACTCGAACAGTTGGTCTCTCTGAATGCAGAATTTACCTTTCGAGTCCAAGGTTTGGGAGTTAATCTTCCAGCTCGTCGGCCGATTTCTGGCACGCTGAACCCGGCTGGCGCTAAACTGGAAGGCCCGTTGACATGGCAACGGTTATCATGACTGCTAGCAAGGCCCACCCTGCCCACCCCCCTCACACCTTGGTGGTGCACTGCGCGAGCCAGATGAAATCCGCCACCCGCCAATCATACGTCCTGCCAACCAAGACCAGGGGCATGAAATCCCCGAATACAGCCAAAAATGCCCTCTCGACACCCTGAAGCCCGAAATCAACACCAACCTTTGGCCGTCGAGGTGCCGAAACGAAACAGTGCAGGACCCGTCCATCTTTTGAACCGATCAGGGTTGGGTTCCAGGTTAAACGAGCGCTTAGCAGTTTCGGGTAGTGCGTTGAGGGCTTAAGGTCGGTTAACCTATTGGGGTCCACATGTGCACTTCGACTGATGCCTGTTGACTGCAACAGGCATCCTTACTTGGAGAAACAGGTGACTTAGCAAGTAAGTGCTGAACAAACTCAAAAGTACCCAAGAAGGGACCCCAATAGAAACCGACAACGTCGCATCATGTCGTAACCTACTAAGTCCCCCGATCCTCCGAGTACAACAGACGAGCCTGAAGCTCGGATGCCACTGCAGAAACTCCAGGAAGTGCGTCTCCATGGAATACTGGTAGCCTTTTTCCCCCGAACTGGAGCCTTTTTGGCTTGGGGACCCCACATGAAGAACCCCTTCTACCCTCCAAACCAAAGGGGCCATGCCTGCAGGGCTTGGGCAATAGTCGGAGCAAAGCACATGTGTGTAGTGTAGTGTCCGTCTTCCGGGCCGCTAACCCGAAACCTTGAGCCCCCAAAATTCCAACAGAGCCCTCTCAAAGTCTCGACGCACTGACTGAGACGATGGGGCGAGGGCCTGTGTCCCCATCGCACGGAGTGGCCCAGCGGCTGACATGGATGGGGATCTCCTGTTGCATCGTCTGTAGCTCAGGGCAAGAAGCCCCCGAAGTCCCCCAAGATGGCTAAGCTTGGTAAGAATCTTTCCAAGACCCTCAACCTCCGAGCAGACTATGTAATTTGAGCGGCAGGCCAAACTCAAGCTTGCTTGGGCTTGCTACTTTCTCTCGCGAAAGAGAGGTGGCGACAATGTCACGGCTTGTGCCCTGGAGTGTAGTTTAGAGGGAGGTCTCCGCTTTGAAAAGCAGAGAGTTTGTGGCTTTACTACGCCTTGGGATGCAGCAACAAGCAACGTAGCATGGATATGTCGTATTGATTCTGCTACATGCGACCGCCAAACGTCAAAGACTTCTTGTTCCCATCATGACGGCACGAGTGGCAGTCAGACTTCCGCAACTTTTGCTTGCTAAGCATGATCCTTCTAAGTCGTGTTCGAGCTAGCGGAATGTGACATGCTACCCCACAGACAGAAGCAGCCACAATGCTAGAAGGGGAACTGCCAGTGCAATTCTCCCTCTGAAGCACTTCGATACTTGTAGGTGTGCCGCAGTCCAGAATGAAGAACCGGCGTTCCAACAGGACCTGCGCCGAGAACTTTGCATTGCACAGGTGCTTCGGCCATGGAAAACCGAGAGAGCGTAGACAAAGAGAAAAATAGAGAGAGAGAGAGAGATCATGTAGAGAGTGGAGAGTGCAGAGTGGAGAGTAGAGAGTAGAGAGCAGCAGACATAGAGAGCAGAGAGCAATAGAGAGCAGGGAGTAGAGAGGCATGAAAGACAGATAGATTGTCCAGGAAGGCCAAAGACAGACGACCCATGTGAATGTGAGGCTATCTGGTGACCATTTCAGCCTGAACCTCAAGCATCCGCCATGGAGAAACACGGAAAATCTACCTACCGGAATGCGAGACCAAACTGGTATCGCCATTCGTACCCAGAAGGTCAGGGCAGCTGATGATCAGGGCTGTGGCTTCGTACTGTTGGCAGTCAGACGCAGAAGCGATGCGGCGCAGTTGTATGGAACAAAATGGCGGTCACATGCGGTCACTGCCGAACAATAAAACCGAAACAGGAGAATCACCCGCAGTCGCATCATGAAAAAAACTGAGCTCGAAATGTGGGGAAGTCGAATGATGCAGTGGTATAGTTGGCAGCCAAACCGCACCCCAAGCTAAGCCCTGCGCCAAGCCCCTAAACCCTGAAAATCACACAAACCCGAAGGCCTTGAACCAGGATCACATGGCCTCAGCGCTCGCCGCGCTGAGTGCCAGGAGGATGGGGGCCCAGCGCATGGCGCCATGGCGCGCAGGATGGGGTGCTTACTCTGGCGGGGGTGTCCGGGTTGAGGGTGTCGGGTTGTGGCTGTAGGGTGCACGGCTTGAGGGTGTTGGGATTTGTGGGTTAAGTTCTGGAGGGGGCCTGCTGCGTGAAAAGTCAGCTGCAGCAATCGGATTTGAGTCACAAACAATTCTTAAGTCAAAGGGTGCTGGATCACAAAGCAGTGCCGGATGGGAGACAAAGACCTGTGCGAATGATAGAATCACATTTTCGGCCTTAGGACGCAGTTCCTTGGCCTCCCCAAACACGACGACCCTCAAGCTCGAACTCGGTTTAGGGCTGAGGCCACTGAACCCAAGTTAGCCCAGCGTAACCCTAAACCCTAAACCCTAAACCGTAAACCCTAAACCCTAAACCCCAAACCCCAAATGCCCCAAGCCCTTCATCACACCTGCTGAGGCCCCTGCTGCGCGTTGGGGTCGGGCGCGGAGCTGGATGCCGGCGCAGAGCTGGACGAGGAAGTCCCAAAATGCAATGAAACCTTGGGCTCTTACAAGGCTGGGTTTAGGGTTTAGGGTTTAGGGTTTAGGGTTTAGGGTTTAGGGTTTAGGGTTTAGGGTTTCGGGTTTAGGGTTTAGGATTTAGGGTTTCGGGTTTAGGGTTTAGGGTTCAGGGTTTAGGGTCTAGGGTTTAGGGTTTAGGGTTTCAGGTTACAAGGCTTGTATGCATGTATAGCTTCATCCAACAAGGGATTATTTACTACAAGGCTTGTATGATTTTATAGTTTCGTCTAGCAAGGGATGTAGTTATTGATATGTATGTCAATACCTAATTTTATCAGGGCTTCAGGGGCTTGAGTTTGGAATTTAGGGTTCGGGGTTCACATTGTAAAACTTGGCCATAGACATCCGGCAACCTACATGCTCAGGTCTGCTTATTGCTAGTTCACCCAGCTAGCCTCAAACCCCACATCCACACCCCTAACCAAAACCCTCAAACTGGCCAAAGCCCTGTCTTACCCCGAAACCCTAGAACCCAGAAGCCCTGACACGATCTATCTCTGTCTTCAGAAGGCACGTATCAGCCCTGGCAAGCCGGGCACCTTGCACATAGGACCTCGGCAACTCCTGTAGGGTTTGGCAGTTTGGTGGGTGCAGGGGTGAAGGGGCCTTGAGGCCAAGGCTTGAGGGTTAGATGGGGATTCCATGTTTCGGATTAGGTGACTGGGGGTCAGGGTCGGCAGGGTTTGGAGTTTGAGGTTTTCAACCCTGAGCCGGAGCTGGCGAGTTCCTCCGCACGTCTTGACAGGACTCACTTAGTTGCACATGGCACTTCTGTTCAGGGCCTAGACTTTAGGGTTTGGAGTTGGGTTTACCCATATAGGGTTTTAGCTTCAGGCTTTTGATTGAAACAAGTAACCCTAAAGCCTATACCCCTAAGCTCTGGGTAAGGGTTTTGGGTTTCAGCCCGCCCCGAAACCCAACCTCCCTCTCCTCGGCTGTCCAGCCTGGGAAAGTCCTTCAGGATGTTTCGGATCGCCTGGCGGAGTTTTGGGTTCAGGGTTTAGGGTTCTCGTCTCGAACTTGTGACAATAGAGATGTGCAGATCATGCTGGAGCATGCTTCACGAAGCCCTACGACATTTTCCCAGAAGGGAAACCTGTTAATGTACCCCAACTGTACCATAACCCCACCAGAACCACGCACCAAGAGAGACCAGCGCCTGCAAGCTGAGGCTGCCCCCAGTCTGCCCAATCTCCTGGGCAAAGAAAGGCATGTAGTGGCTGCAAGCCCAGCCGAAGTGTCAACCTGGTAAAAACCTCCAGAAGGGTACTACATCAACATACATCAACTACTAAGAGGCATTCGAATTCAACAGGCCGCTGTATCGCTCGACCCAAGGAGAGCCCCATTATAGATCATCGATGCATCCGCACGGAACAAAAACGAAGCAGCTCGCCAAGCTCGCCAATGATAGCGAAGCAAAATGCTAAGGCGTCAAGTGAAACCTGTCCGCCAAATTGAGTTTGGTTGGAACTTCGTTGTTCCAATGCTTGCCGCTTGCCTGTTTTCGGGCTGCTTCGCGGTAGCTCTCACAAGCAAGAAGGACTCCCGTTTCGGGCTTGTGTGTGTTTCGACTTAAGGTGTCCACCCTGGGATCCCCTGCCTCAATGAGATCGCAGGCGCGAACTCCGTCTTGGTAGCCTCACTGCTGCGGCTGCGGTATTTGCTCAGGGTTGTGCTGCACCCTACACCTCAACCAAAACCTGTCAGGCCTGCAAGAAGGAAGAAGAAGAAACTATAGGACATCCCATCAGCTAGGGTCCCAATTTTAGGGTACGTACAACTCTACTGAAGAACTACTTGCTCCGTCACCCGAAACCCCCAAGCGCTGCACCGCGTTGCGTCGGGCCTGGGCTTGAATCCGTCATTTGAGGAGTCTGGGAAGGCTTTAGGGCTTGGCATTTCGGGGTTCGGGCTGTGGAGTTAAGACCCCAACCCCAAGTGCCTCCAACTCCTTTCTGCCGCCCGTGACACGGGGTTCGACAGCTCACGGGCAAAGATGCTGGGAAAGCCCGCAACCCTAAACCCCTAAACCTCTAAACTCTAAGCTGATGCCCTAAGCCCTGAATTGGGGGCTCAGAATAGCCCAGTCATTGCTAGGTTAGAAGTATCCTGAGCATCAAAAAAGCGGATGCCCGAGACCGCAGCTGCTGGCCAGCATTTGGAGCTCCTGCCCAGGGGATGAGGAGAGGTTCGGTTAGGGTTCAGGGTTCAGGGTTCAGGGTCCAGTGTTTAGGGTTTAGGGAGGGTTCAGGGTTCAGGGTTCAGGGTTCAGGGCTCAGGGTTTAGGGTTTAGGGTTTAGGGTTTAGGGTTCAGCCTTTAGGGCTCAAACCCCAACACGCTAGATCTAGCCCGAAGCCCTCCTGCTAGAGCCAATCCCCTCTTCGCTAACCTCTCCCAAGACCGCTGCCTCTTATCTTGGGAACTTGCAGGGTCGCGGTTGAGCTTCCAGGGATATGGGTTCAGGGCTGAGGGCTGTTTAGGATTGCGGGGGCTCAGGGGTAGCTCAGCGTTCGGGTTTCAGGGGTCCCTGGACCCCAAACCCTAACCCTACGCCCTAAACCCTACACCGCCAACAAGCATTCCCATTTTGGGTATATGGCACCACCCACCCCCACATGCAACATCCATCTCAGGAAATTATCTTATTCCCAATGCCCACACCCTACCTAGGTGCCATAGCCCAAAACGGGAATGGGGGGGGTGTCTTGTACAGTGCAAAGATCAAGATGAAGTGGTTTGTCAATACAAGCAAGCACAAGCCCAACACGAAAAGTCACAAATGCACCAATATTATTTGCAACAGCTCAACGATCCAGGCTTTGAGTACGATGTTCCCAAACCAGACCAGATCTGAGTAATTGATGGTAAAGAACACTGTTGTTGCAATACTTGTCACTCAGGAATGTTTGCTTGGATGTGGGCAAGACACTCTAACAAACCACCACATTTGAAACCAACCCAGCATTGTTATAATGGAATTGACATACATAAGCAGATAGATATTATAGTTACATTAAAGTTACAAACCCTGAACAAAATTCTAGAAGGCCCCCATTCCCGTTTTGGGCTATGGCACCTAGGTAGGGTGTGGGCATTGGGAATAAGATAACTTCCTAAGGTTGATGTTGTATTTGCGGGGCGGGTGGTGCCATAAACCCAAAACGGGAATGCTCTCAGCTAACTAAACAAACTCAAGAGCACCTGGGGCGACGAGCCGCGCGACTCGAAGCGCTTGAGACGCCCCGCGCCTGGAGTTGCTGGCAGCGCTTTCGGGGGCTGGTGGTTCAGAAACCCGCGCGAAGGCCTTTCCCCACCTATGCCCATACTATCCCCTCCTGATCCTGAATAATTCTCCACTATAACTCCCCCGAGCTTCACAAGCTTTTCTACACTTTCGTGGTCCACCCGAGGCTGTAGCTCACCATACAATCACAGGTCTTGTTCTGCCTTAAGGTTGGTCCTTGTGCTCCTTTCGCATCATGCTCTCGATTTGGTCCCGCTTAGGGTGCATCTTCGCCAGCAAATGCGTCGTCTGGCTTATGGCTTTCATGTCAGACGCTACTTTCAGGGATTGGAGTGCAGCTGCAGGCTGCGAGGCCTGAGCCTCTCCTCGTCATTGTCTGCCCGATTCTCGTCCGGTCGTACTTTTTTTGACGTTTTCCACGCGCAACCCCTGCCCTTCTTGCCCCTTGCCCCGCCCCCAAAGTGAGCATCATCCAAACTCGCGTCCGGGGGTGGGTCTGCTGATGCACAGTGTCGGGTGGTCGACCTACGGTCTCTCCCGTGGGAGAACATACAAATATGTTGATGGCAGAAGCTTCTGGATATAACAACAAACATGAAATAACTAAAACTAGTAATGACCTGAACTTGACAAAGAAAGAAGTCATGGATGCCTTAACTGGCCTGCCGGCTATGTTTATGCAAGGGATGGAAAACATTTTTATTGAAACTGTGGATGCGGAGAAGAGAAGAAAGTAGAAAACAAAGAGCCGAAAGGATTGGCAACACTTTATACGAGAATGAATGGATAAGCCTAAATGGTTTTTACCAATTAACTTGGCGTCGTCTCCCAGTTCACGGTTTTCGGCTTCGGGGTGGTTTTCTATTAGGGGGGACATACCCCAGTTCAGGTTTGGATAATTTGTTATAGAATGGATAAGGTTATAGGTTTGGCTATTGGTTACGAGCTGGGTTATAGAATGGATAAGGTTTAGGTGGCGTTGGTTTTAGCCCTTGCTAGCTCTTAAACCCGCAACCCTTAAGCCCATCAAGCCTAGCCCCCTACCCGTTCCCTAAATACTTGGTACTTCTAACCCCAATTGTACCTGTACTTCTAAGCGCCCGAAGTCCTTTATGTAGGTTACAAGAAGTAGAGGGTTATAAGTACCCATGAACCTCCAAGTATCCCCCATAAACCCCTCTGGACGGAAGAAAGCAGATCTGGGCCCAACGGCTCATGCGCTGCATCGAGAGCAGGCCCGCAACCATGTTCTTGCTTCCATCCGACTCCTTAGTGTGACTTCGGGAAAGGAACTCGGTGTTTTTGGAGGATTTGGGGCCATGAACCCGACACCCTAAGATCTTTTTTGGGGTTCGGGTTGGGGGCCCAAGGTCCAGCCATGCCCCCACATCACTCGAACCGCAAACACGGCCTCAGACCACCAACCCTTGAGCCCTACCCACACCTAGAAAACACATACCCTCCAACCCCGAACCCCGAAAGTGCCCTGCAACCCTGAGCACCCAGCCAAAAACATCCAAGGAAGTCCTGCAGCCAAGTTGCACCCTGGTGGTCAAGCAGTTGCTTGAACGTGTGCTCCCGATCACGTTCTTCCAATTGCTGGCGCGAGATGTGGGGTTTGGGCCGATGGGGTTTGGCACGGTTAGGGGCTGTGGGTTTAGGGTTTAAGTCCTGGCGGGATTCGAGGTTGAGGGGCAGGGTTTGTGGTTTGAGGAGTTGGGGTGTTTAGGGCCTCGAGGGCTCAAGTCCTAAGACCTGGCTTCATTTTCGGAGTGATGCGCTGAGTGATGGTTCAGAGGGATTATAGGGCTTACAAGGGACTGTGTGGTTCAGAAAGGTTAGAAGGGTTTATAGGGCTTTCAGGGTTTATAGGGTGTGTCGGGTGAACGGGTAGGGGTTGAGCGACTTCGACTGCTAAAAGACCCCTGCCGACCAGAGACTTTCGGTCGCTCAAACTTGGGATGTCACCCCTTACAGTAGGGGTCTGTAACACGGGCAGTGATAAGCAGCTAGTTTGCTTATATACCCTGCCCATGAACCGGGTTGTGGCAGCGGCTATTGTACGGGGGAACAATCCAACCTCGAAGGATTGTCAAAGCATGACACCCCAAAGCCATAATCCGAAAAGCCCAAATCCCCTACATCCATTAAGGCCCTGGCCCCCCCAAACCTACAACGACCCAGACACCCGGCCCCCCCCAACGCTGAGTTCTTGTTGCTCCGCACCAGGCAAAGAAATCGATGCACCAAGTTGCCACGTCGCTTGGAAGGGGTATTTCAAAAAAAGAGCTTAGGGTTTAGGTTGGGATGTTCCCCCTTATACTAACAGTTCGTACGAGGGATTATAGTACCCCCCGATTATAATCCCTATTAAGGGCTGTTAGTATGGGGAACCTCCCAGGTTTAGGGCCTAACTCTTCTCTCGGGTTGGCAGTATGGGTTCAGGGCTTGGGGTTTTGGGTTCCAGGTTCGGAGCTTAGGGTTCAGGGTTTGCTTTGGCCGGCGCGGACGTCCCAACGAAACCCTAAAGACCCGAAGCTCTCACTTGGGCTGCCCATTCCGCTTGATGTCCAGGACCTGGCGCTGCGCAGGCGAGATGGGGGCTTTTTGGAGGGCGTTTTCTTGTCGGCCGTTTACGTAGGTGAAGGCTCAAGGCAAGCCCCGCCTAGCGTGGGGGTGGGGGGGGGAAGGGACCCTAAACCCCAAACCCTCAACCCTAAACCCTAGTCAATGAAAGGCAACCGGGGGGTGGCCTCGATCTCGAAGAGCAGGTCGGCATCCGGCGGGATGCCCCAGGAAGGGAAGCCCCGGGGGCCGTAGCCTCTCAGGGTTTTTTGGGTTTAGGGTTTAGGGTTTGGGGTTTGGGGTTTAGGGTTTAGGGTTCAGGGTTTAGAGGCCTAGCATGTAAAGTACTGCAACAAAGTACTGCAGTGGGCAATGGACCAACTCTTATTGCAACATGCCCAATGCTCATCACCCAATCCTAGACTCTAGTCATCCAAGTTATCTCGCAGGATCCCCCAAACCCGACGGCCCTTAGAAGTCCCAAACTCAGACTTTCAGGCCCTTAGGGCCGAATCCCCTCAACCTCCACACCTCATGCCTCGAGGAACCTCTCCCTGTGGGCCTTCGCTTGCAGGGATGCGAAGGCCTCTGACCTCGCCCTTGCGCATTCCTGGCCACAGATTGAGTCAAAGCAAGAAAAAATGGGGTCTTTGGGTTGAAGAGCTCAGGGTGACCCCATACACCCCCACTCCAGGTAGTCCCCGGAAATCCTCGGCCCCAAAAACAATCTGAACATCTGAACCCCGAAGCCCAGCGACGGACTCTGAGGGCACCTCATTCCTTTGCCCTGCTCCGCACCACCTAGGCTCAGAGACACCCGAACCTGAATGAAACCCTTAACCCCAGAGCAACTGGCAAGAAAGGCCCAATGACCGGCCTCTGGCTCCGTAGTCCCAGCCCTTGATGACACCTATGACAACACGGCGCGACGAGGGTTCGGGGTGAAGGGGAGCATGGAGGGGGTGGCTTATGGTGTGTCGCGGATGAATTAAACCTTCCCCTGAACTCCCCACAAACCACAAGCCAAGCACGAGGCAACCCAGCTTCAACTAAGAGACTTGGGAATCACACAGTGAGGGGCTGAGGGGTCAGGGCTTCGGGCATCAGCATCAGGTTTGGGTTCGGGGCTTCCAGGGATTCAGTAGGGCTCTAGTGCGCCCTCGTGGGACGAAAAAAAGGGCTACAGGAGTTTGGGGTTGAGGGTTCAGGGTTTTAAGGTTTGGGGCCTTGGGGCTTAGAGTTTCAGGTGTGGGCGTTGAAGCCTCCACCCGCGGTGTAGGTGAACGGCTCCTGCCCCGGATCCTGCAAAAGTTGGAGTCAAAAAGCCCAAAAGCACATAAATTGCCCCATTGGGTAGGGCAACTTTAGTGCAACTATAATGATAACTGGCGAGAACCTTATTTGAGGTTTTCATACGCCTTGATGCAAGTACCCACGAACCTTCAAGTATAACCCCAAACCCATGTTAGCATGCAGCGTGCAGGGTGAGGTTTGCACCACGGGTTTACGAGCGCCAGAGCTGGGTTCAGGGGTTTGGGGCTCAGAAAAGGGTTTGGGGCTGAGGGTAAAGGAGGGCTTAGGGTGTGTGAGTTGGGGTCTACGTGGTCCGGGAATCTGAATCGCCTAAACAAATTCCAAACCCAAAAACATCCAAAACCCTAAAAACCTGGCTGAATCCTAAACCCTACACCCAAAGCCCTCACACCCTCCAAACAAAGGTAAGCCAGGGATGCTGCCCGAGGATAAAACCCAACTCTAAGAACCCCTTGAGACTCTACACACCCTCTCAGAACCCTAGGAGCCCTAAGGCCTGAAAGCCCTAGGGTTCTGGGGCTTGGGGCTTGAGCTTTAAGGCTACCCTAACACCTAAACCCTAAACCCTAAGCCCGTAAGGCTGCAGAGTTTGGGGGGTTTGGGGTTTGTCGGGGTTTCGGTTTTGGGGTTTAGGGGGTTTAGGGTTTCAGGGCTTTTGCTTTGGGGCTTGAGGATGGGCTTCGGCTTTGGGGTTGCTTGGAGGTTTAGGCTTCAGGGTGTCAGGGTTTCAGGGTGGGTCTCAGGGCTTAGGCTTAGGGTTCTCTTAGCGTATGGGGATTCCAGGGGGTCTACTGTAGGCTCCCCTTTGTCCTTGGTGCTCCAGAACTTTGTCTTGGTGTCCCGGACGAGGCCCGTAGCATGGACGGTCACCTGTTGAGACCGCACTTGGAGCTTGAAGGTATGGGGCTTCGGGTCTAGAGTTTCGGGTTGAGGTTTTGAAGTGTGGGGATTAGGGCTGTAAGTTTAGGGTTGAGGCCTAGTGTGTTAAAGTTTGGGGTGCTAGGGTCTGGGGTCTACGGTCGGGGTCTGATTAGAGCTGATTGGGACCTCGCCCTGCCGTCGAAGAAGCTGACAGGGCAGGATAGCCATGGGAAACCCCAAAGGCTCCACACCCCGTGGCAAATCTTGACCCTAGGTGCGAGGATCGTGAATGCACTCAAGAACCCTAAATCCTAAACCCTACTTGGCCCTACTTCAGATAAGGCCTGCTGCTTGCTTCCGGTCCAGGCCTCATCGCCAGGCTCCACGTATCCGTAGCCCTTGGCTTCATGAAACTCTTTTGCTGGGGTTTGAGGACCATCCTGATGGAACTCCCTACCTCAGAAGGGGACTTTTTCAACGTTTGCATACTGGTATGAGGACTATACACCCGGGCCAAGCACCGAAACCCCCCCCCCTCTCTCTCTTGGGCAAGCCGCCGATCCATCCTTGAGGACCGTGTAGATCCTGGGATCGCAATTGTTCGGTTTCCGCGCTTTAAGACGTGAATCCTGGGATGTTCCCGCCCCCGAACTAACAGTCCTGAATGGGGAGTGTAATGGGGGCCAGTCCTGAATAGGGACTATAGCAGGGGGCACTATAATCCCTATTAAGGACTGAGCTATATATATATATATATATAGAGAGAGAGATATATATATATATATATATATATATGTATATCCTATTAAGGACCGTTCTTATAACAGCAAGAGCTGCGACCCTCCAACCTCTCTCTTCCAAGCGTCGTATCCGCACCCTGCACCGGCTGATACACAAACTCTGCTGCCTGCGGTCCAAGGTTTAGGGTTTAGGGTTTGGGGTTTGGGGTTTAGGCTTGGGGTTTAGGGTTTAGGGTTTTTAGGGTTTAGGGTTTAGGGTTTAGGGTTTAGGGTTTAGGGTTTAGGGTTTAGGGTTTAGGTTTATGGTTTAGGGTTTAGGGTTTAGGGTTTAGGGTTTAGGGTTTAGGGTTTAGGGTTTAGGGTTTAGGGTTTAGGGTTTAGGGTTTAGGGTTTAGGGTTTAGGGTTTAGGGTTTAGGGTTTAGGGAGGCTGGGCACAAGGCAAAGAGCAGCGTGGGCCCTGCTGCTACTGACATTCTAAGGGCTTAGGGCTTTAGGGCTTGGGCTCCTTTGTCTTTGGAGTGGCTGAACAGATGTCTGCCGCCTTCTTCCGACTTCACTTGGCCACTCGAGACACAGAGCCCGAAAATCTGAACCCCTGAACCCTGAACCCCCTGCCCTGAACCGAACAATTCCAAACCTTGAACCTTGAACCCTGAACACTAGACCCTGAGCCACTAAATCCCAAACCTGCCCGAACCCTCACTCCTCAAACCCCAAAAGCCATGAACCCTCAAACCCCCAAGGCTCTGCCTCCTCCTCCTTGGGCTGCTCTTTCTTGAGGCCTCCGCGGCTCATCTGATATTCCTCGGGGGGACGGTGGAGCCGACACTTGGGCGGAGGTATCAGGGGCCTCAAGAATTAGAATGGGGTTTTGGGGGGGCTTAGTACAGTATAATCGTAAACGCCTGCGCGCACCGCCTCGACAGCCCGGGTCGGCCAGGACAGGAAAGGAGGAAAGAGGGGGGGGGGTGCGGCGGGCGTGCGGGTGGGGGGGGGGTGGGGGGCGGGGGTGCGCCGGGTGGTTTGGGGGGGGGGGGGCACTCCCCCTCTAGGAGCCACCGACAGGCGGGACCCTCCACAGCATCGGTTTGCAGCTCCTCCAAGCGATTGGGGGGGGTCCCACAGGGCGGGGGGGGGGGGGGGGGGCGCGTCAGAAAAATTTTGCACGGTTCCAGATGCTTCTTGGCAGGAAGCCGAGGCGAATTCGCCTCGGCTTCCTGCGAACAAGCAGACCCGGATCCTTCCCCCCAACCCAACCCTTCCCCCATGCAAAATTTTCTGACGCCACCCCCCCCCCCTTGTGGGACCAATCGCTTGGAGGAGCTGCAAATTGATGCCGTGGAGGGCCCCCCCCCCACCCCCCCCCCGCGCCCACACCCCCCCCTTTTCCCTTTGACCCCTCTGCCCTTCCTCTTTGCGAAACCCTCTTTCCTCCTTTCCTGTCCTGGGGCCGGCCCGGCTGCCGAGGCGGCGCGCAAGCGTGGACCAGAAGGGAAGACTCTAAACAAATTAGTCCGACCCGTCTATTAGGGCGTCGGGTGTTGTGTTGCGATTATTGTATTGTATTGCCATGGTATTTGTGCTTCACCGTGTTCGGTGCCCTTCCGACCGCAACGCGTAGCCGCATCCAGGCGTCGTCGGCTTCTTCCGGCGTCATGCTTTCGAGCTTCTCCAGGGTGTCCTTGCCAGGCTAAGACCAGTGTGGCAGAGGACACTTCGAGACAACTCCAGAATTGCAGGCTTCAGGGGTTCAGGGTTTAGGCAGGCATGGGCCCACGACCACCACGAGTGGTCCGGTCCTCGATGTTGGCCATCCCTTGCAGAGAGGACGCCTGCAAGGTCAGTCTGCGCAGTGGCTTTTCAGCTCTGATGCCTAAGCAAACCCGAGGTGCAGCAAATGAATCCACACAAGTACGCCGGGAAAACTCATGAGCTCTAGTCCCAAGCTCTGTTAGGAGCCCTAACCTTAAACTCTCCAGGGTTCAGGGTAACGTCTCAATAAGGCTTGCACCCTGGTACCACCCTTGCCTTAACCTTGCCGCTGGAATCTGTGGCAGGAGAAAGCCTCAGAGACCCAGAGTTCTCAGGTCCAGCATGCTTCCCATGATCGCTCGTCCCTTGGAGAGAAAGCGTTTAAACCCTCAACCCTACTAGCCATCTATCAATTGCCCTGCCCTCTTTAAGTCTTGAAACTTGCACACCTAGACGATCACATCGATTTATCCAAGACCCCCTAAAAGCAGGACGCCAAACCCAAACCACCCGACACCCCAAACCCTAAACAACGCCTATATCAGCAAGCTCATCCTGACCCATGAGCAACACATCACGCTAATGCCTAAACACCGTAACCCTAGAATCCCTACCCGTGGTCCTAAATTCCTGTGCCCTTAACCACAGATCCTAAAAACCCCACGCTCAAACTTCAACCCCGACAGCCGCAATGCTAGACTCCTCAACCCAAACACTCACTAAGGCCTACACCCCTGCAAACCCTGGATGCCCAAACTCTTAAATCGAAAACTGTCTCCTAGGTGCTTCACTCAAAAACAATCGCAAAAGCCTGAATCCTAAAATTTGTGGATGGGATGCTCACGATACCTTGGCTTCGCTTCAGCCAAGCAGCGAGAAGACCCAAAAGACGAAACCGAAACCGAGGAGCACCACCTAAGTTGTCGGCGCTGAGAGTTTAGGAGGTGTTTTTTTGTTGTTGATTCAACCCCTATAACTTTAACCATGGGTTTATAAGGATTTCCTATAAAGTTAATAAGGCTTAGGGTTTGGGGCTTAGAGTTTAAAATCTTGTTGCGTTCGGGCTTCGGGGTGTAGGGATGTGATGGGATGTGTAGGGCGCGCTCTGTAGCTCCAAAGGCCAGGTTGCTCCGAAGCCCAGCACTGTCAGCAGCGTGCCGACTGGGTCGCCCCCCTGGAGCCGGAAGACAAGGAAGGTTTGGAGGTCAAAATGTGTGTCTCTGGGGTCTGAGCCACGTCCTAAGCTTTTGGCGGTTGGGCTTCGGGTGTGAAGGTTTGGGCTTGGGCCTGAGGGTTTTTAGCGCGGCTGAGAAAACGAATGGCCACGGCTTGTGCGCACTCACACGTGTGCAGCCCATCATGACCTCATCCTGGGCCAAAGCTGCGGCGGGTGCCAGAGCAGCCGCCGCCGCCGGCAGTCGTGCGGCAGTCGACCTGCAAAGGGATAGGCTTGAGGGATTTGGAGGTTTTGGCGGCCTTTTCTTGGGGTTATGTTGCCTTCGGGCTTCCTGGCTCAGGAAGTGCTGCTTGAATCCGAACCCTCGGTTCCAATTGAACTGCAAGTCAGACGCTTCGAGCCCTCGAGATTAAGCATAGGATCGCCTTACGAAGTTTTGAACAAACGTGTTTGAAGCCCGCTGCAAAGCCCCCACCTAAGCCCTGAAAAACGCCAGAGACCTTAAATCTGAAGCTTGAGGTGCAGTGTGTGTGGTGTGAGGCTCAGGTGTTTCAAGATTTGTTGATAGCAAAGCCATGCCAGCCTGTAAGTCACCCAGAAACTGTCAGCTTCGCTCCGCGGACAGGTATGCCGGGCCGACTGGGTTAGGGCGTTCCATACAAAGGCTGTGGGTGGTTCGGCCTAAGCCACCAAATCCATGAGCATGGATACATCCGCAAGACACCGAGTCGCAGCCGCACAGCTGCGAACATCCGCATAAGCTGAAAATCTGTTTTGACCCGGAACCCAAATACAAAACCCTCGAGCCTGACCGGAGCTGGCAGCAGAAAGGGCAGACCGAGGCCAGCGAAAGCAGCCTTCCGGGGTCGAGGGGGTTTTGTGGCAAAGCTCTGCAGTCTGTCTGCTTGCCAGTTGGATCGCTAGCAACAGAATCAGAAAATCGGCAAACTACGCTTCCGAAGACCTGCCCCCCCCCCCCCCCCCCCCCAACCATCCCCCCCCCTCTCCCCACCAGCTGCAGCACTGCTGCACTCCTCCGCTGGCGCATGGCGGAGTGCGACGCGCAGGAACAACTTCTCAACAACAACCCCCGGAAACCCGAAGATGCGCCCTGATGGCCTGCCTGTCTTCTCAAGTAAGCACACACATGAACTTGGTGATGACAACATGCAACTTCTGCTGCAAGTCATGTGGGCTTGGGAATGCGATCTGGGAGATGTTGCAGATCCCTGTCTCTCTGCTTGCGCTGGCGCGCGTCCTTCGGCCGGCCCAGCACATGCTGTCAGTTGTACAAACGATCTGCTGACCCTCATGAGCCCAAAGCTTGCGGCATGAGCTGAGCCTTATAAACCAAGCACCAAGAGACCCCAAAACCCCCTTTTGAGGGCAGGTATATTCCTGAGGGGCCTAACTTAGGGGTGCTCCCGAACAAAGGGCGCAGTCTCTCGTCCTATGACGTCCTCTCTACACGAGGGTCCCGCGGAACATCCTAGAGGGTGCCTGACTGTTGTTTCTTGTAGAGCATGAACTCTCAGCCCCAAATCCTGCCCAACACCAAATGGGCTTAGGGCATAGAAGTTGTCATTTTCCTTGGTGCTCCCCTTTAACATGCAGGGGGAGGGGGAGGTTTAACACCAGGCTGGCTTGAGGGTTTTGGGGTTCACGGCTTGGGGGACCCTAGGCCCTCAACCCTTAGGAGTGTCGTGCTCACCGAAAAAGGCCCCCACCTCCTCCAACTCCTTGACAGGACAGCCTGGCGAGGTCTTCGGACTGTTCTGCAGGGGCCCTAGCGCTCTCGGAACTCCGGGACTTTAGATGGGCTTAGTTTAGGTTTGTCGAGGGGAAAGGGAAGGAAGGGTGGCGGGGGGTGAGAGAAGTGGAAGGCAGCCACGGCTCGCAAAGGTAGTATGTATGTAGATCCTTACGCTGAAGTTCAGGGTCTAGGGATGTATTCATGCATGCATGTTGCAAGTAGGTAGATACAGTGCATGCATGTTGCATGCATCGTTATGTGTATGAAGGCTTGCGGGTGTTTGGGGGCGAAAGCCCGACTCAGGCATCCTGAACCCTAAACCTCCCGAGAACCTCAATGAAATAAGCCCCAAGACCCACACCCAAAAACCCTATCTTTCAAACCCTTGTAACCCTTCAAAGGGTTAAATAAGGATATCAGGTATCCGAAGTCTTTCATTCCCTTCTAAGCACCATTATAAGCTAAACCCAAGGCCAACATCATCAGCATCAGCAAAGGCCCAATCATCAGCATCATCGCCCTAGCGCTTCATCTGCAGGGGACCAATCCACAGGCAGTGGGCCAACATCATCAGCATCATCGCCCTTGCGCTTCACCTGCAAAGGCCCAATATGCGGGCTGCGGGCCAACATCATCACATCATCGCCCTTGCGCTTCACCTGCAGGGGACCAATCCCCAGGCAGTGGGCCAACATCATCAGCATCATCGCTCTTGCGCTTCACCTGCAAAGGCCCAATCCCGCGCTGTGAGCCAACATCATCAGCATCATCGCCCTTGCGCTTCACCTGCAAAGACAAAATCCCATCATCAGCATCATCGCCGGGGACCATTCCCCAGGCAGTGGGCCAACATCATCAGCATCATCGCCCTTGCGCTTCTCCTGCAAAGGCCCAATTCCCGGACTGCGGGCCAACATCATCAGCATCATCGCCCTTGCGCTTCACCTGCAGGGGACCAATCCCCAGGCAGAGGGCCAACATCATCAGCATCATCGCCCTTGCGCTTCACCTGCAAAGGCCCAATCCTCGGTGCTGCGGGCCAACATCATCAGCATCATCGCCCTTGCGCTTCACCTGCAGGGACCATTCCCCAGGCAGTGGGCCAACATCATCACATCATCGCCCTTGCGCTTCACCTGCAGGGGCCAATCCCCAGGCAGTGGGCCAACATCATCAGCATCATCGCCCTTGCGCTTCACCGCAAAGGCCCAATCCCCCGGCAGTGGGCCAACATCATCAGCATCATCGCCCTTGCGCTTCACCTGCAGGGACCAATCCCCAGGCAGTGGGCCAACATCATCAGCATCATCGCCCTTGCGCTTCACCTGTGGGCCAAGGCCAAGATCATCAGCATCATCGCCCTTGCGCTTCACCTGCAAAGGCCCAATCCCCGGGCTGTGCCCCCAAAACCCTTCAAGACCCCTGGCGCAAGAAGCCACTACCAAGCCCACAACCATATCATTCTCGAAAAATTAAGGGTGCCCCTTTTTGCGGGGACCTTGAGCGAAAAGAAGGGGCAGTCCAAGGAAGCAGCCGACAAGAGCTTAGGGTTTAGGGTTTAGGGTTTAGGGTTTAGGGTTTGACTTTGGGGTTTGGGGTTTAGGGTTTAGAGCTTAGGGTTCAGGGTTTAGGATTTAAGGCTGCCCAGCCTTTCAGCAGCGCCAGAAGCGTGTGGACCAGCGGCTCTGACAGCTTCGGCTGTCGACCTTGGAGCGCGGGGCAGTCCAAGGAAGCGGCCGACAAGAGCTTGGGGTTTAGGGTTTAGGGTTTAGGGTTTAGGGTTTAGGGTTTAGGGTTTAGGGTTTAGGGTTTAGGGTTTAGGGTTTAGGGCTTAGGGTTTAGGGTTTAGGGTTTAGGGTTTAGGGTTTAGGAGGGTTTAGGGTTTAGGGTTTAGATTTTTTGGGTTTAGGGTTTCGGATTTAGGGTTTAGGGTTTAGACCTTAGGGTTTAGGGTTCAGGATTTAGGGTGTATACCCAAACTCCCCCAGCTCCCTCAAGTTCAGGGTCCAGCCGAAGGAACCCAATCGCGGGATTGTCAGCGGAGTCCCTTCTCAATTGGCCGATTCCCTCCACTACAAACAACGGTGTAGGGTTTAGAGCTTAAGCTGTAGGGTTTCTTCATGGTTTCAGGCCTTACGGTTGGAGTACGTCTATTTGAAGTTGCGAGCAAGCTCTAGCATGATGTGGCTTTAAGGGCGACTTAGAAACCCAGAACCCTAAACCCGCAACCCCGCGGGAACGGAAGGAGATCAGCGCCGGACCACCAAAGCTGATGAGTTCCCTTGCACGGGGATTCGAGATTGAGGAGCTGGTTTTGACGAGTGCGGGGACTCAATAGAAGAGGTGTTGAGAAAGGTCGCGGGAGTATCTCACATCAGGTGAAAATTTGCACAACGGCCGCTCTCATATGAGCTCACTCTACTGTTCGCAAGCCTCTTTTGATGTGTGATTGAAGCAGTAGTACATGGGCCCCTGGTACCAGCAACGAAGGACAACTGCATACATCGGCTACGTAGTGAAGTCAGCTACAGTATCGAAAAGCACCGCTGGCTACAAAGTGGTCTGAAGGCGTGGTGTGTTGGTCGCTGTACATCATTCCAACACCTGGGAGTTCCTGCATAAATGTGATATCACAAGCAGAACCCTTAGTTAAGCCCGAAACCCTGAACCCCTCACCCTTGACCCTTAACCCGACACGATCATAAGTTTTTCGGGCCTTGGAATTTCAGGTTTCAAGTGCAACGAACCAAAACTCGCGGACTTCAGGACTTGGGCTTGCGGAGCTGTGAAAAACGCCACTGAATCCACCAACTCCAAACCTCCTTCAGCCCTGTGAGTTTTTGGCTTCCGGCTTGGGTTTAGTTCAGAGTTTAGGGTTCGCTTTGAGGTTCGTGCATCTTTTGACTCGGAACGAGCCAAGCAGGTCTTGGGACAGTCATGCGAGCTGCGTCCGAGGGTTCGCATGGGAAAAGGCCTCATGCCAGTCTTTGAAAGCTGCCCTTACGCATCCCTCCAGCCGCCCCTCCATGAATACCTCCTAGACCGCCCCCACACACACAAAAGGATGATGGACGATAAATTGGAAATAGGAAACGGCACGTGTCTCAGGAATACAAGCGGGAAATGTAAAAAAACAAAACGTTCTAGTCTAGCAGAATATACATGCATGTCATGAGTAGAATACTACGATTGCAAAAATATAGAAGAAGCATAAGAACCGTATTAGGAATAGGGAAATGTGATCAATCTAAAACATCTCCGCATAGAGATATATTCATATATGTGTATGCGAGTAAGTATGTGTGTCTACATATATACACACATATACATATTGGTGTGCATAAAGGTACGTATCCATACACACATTAGAGAGATGCGCAGAACCAAGATAGTCTTAAGCTGATAAATATGCTGAATATTATAAGCCTGTTAAACATGTTTAAACATGATACATACAGAAAAACCGGATAAATACATGACCAGGAATAAAGTTTCGTCGCTCTTGACAAGACAAAGTTGACGGAGGACGAGTATTGCATCATGGTTTTGTTCTAGCCTGGCCAGCGGAGGAATTAATCCCCTGGAATAAACTTATACTATTTTTAATGTTCCGGAGGAGGGCCCGGCGCTCTTGGAGTGCAGGAGTCTAAGGGGGAGAGGGGGTTTTCTGCTGTCTTCTTGTCTTATGTTGTGAGTGCGACGAACTTTCGGCCTGGCGCAGTATTAGCAATTATGATACATGCTATGCAGATGATGACTGCCGTACGCATAGCTTTCTGAATGGTAACCTACAAAATCACAATACAGGGATGGCTAACAATAAAAACAAGTGATCATACAGTTACAATTGCAATAATTGTAGACACACCTCCGCCCTAAACCTAGGCCACGATCAAGACTTCGCCCGGTGATTGAGGCTTTTTGGGGGCTTGTGAAGGTTTTAGAAGATTTAGGATTGTAGGGCTTCAATCACTCAGGGTGTTTAGGGCATTGTAGGGTTTGGTCTCGGAGGGGTTAGGGCTCAGCGCTTTTAGGGCTTTGGGCCTGTGCCTCGGGTTGCGGTCGAGCTTAGGGTTTGGAGATCGTACTGCTAGTCCCACCCATATCCCCAAAGCCCGAAAGAGCCGCAACAGTTCGCGAGTCTCGACCCTCTCCCCCACAAGACCTCACGACCTAAAATCACCGAAAGCCAAACCCTAAACCGAAAGTCGTATTGAAAGGACAGCTTTCGGCTCGAACGCTTCGCAGACTGCAGCCCGAGCCAATCGCAGCGCGAGCTGCAGGAACCACCACGGGCTACATGGGCAAACCCTTGAGTAAAGGATGCCGGAGTCCAATGCTGGCTTAGGGTCTAGGGTTTAGGGGATGCCAGGTAGTTCTTTCTAGCTTTCTAGCCCTAAACCCCCCCCGGAGCGCAAACAGGGGGCTCCGATTCCAGGGGTACCGGCCCGCACAAAGCCCGGGCAGTTCGCTTGGCAGTGGCAAACTGCCTCCCACACTAAAGAGTGACTCATAGCGACGTGAGGGTTTCATAGGGTTTCTAAGGTTTAAAGCTTTGGGTGTAGGGCTCAGGATACGTGAGAAAGACTCAGCAAGTCTTCCACTCCATGAGTCACTCCAGAAAAAGCAGCCAAAAAGTGGCGCCAGTGTGAGCGACGTGCGCCACGAACAATAACCTCGGCGAGGGGCGTTGAGTCTGCTAAAACGCTGGTACCTGAAGGATCAGAGGAGGCAGCTTCAACCCCACAAAACCCCAAAGCCAACCTGCCCCCCCCCCCCCCCCCCGCCCTTCCCAGGCAGCCCTTAAGGAACATGGCCCTTTCTTCCCTCAGAATCTCTTTAGGAGGGTCCGGCAAGAGTCACCAAGCCGAGGGATGCAACTTTAGGGGAACCGGGGGGGGGGTGGGGCGTAAAAGGTATGCACTTGAGGACGTCCCCGTGACGGGGTCGCTCCCTGAAACTGCAAGCCTCTAACCCAACCAATGCCCTACCTGAACAGTGAAGAGCTTCGCCAAGTCAGGTTCCTCAACCCAAACCGAAAAACCCTAAACCCTAGTCGCCATTCTTCGGCCGAGGCGCGGAATAAGATGCCTCACGAGCCACCTGCGTTCGACCCGCGCCCGTGCTTCGCTGGTTTCTTTCCGTCTTCCAAGGCTTCAGGATTTGGGGGCCGAGGACTAAAGGTGTCTGGCACAAGTACCTCTTCAGAGCGGATTTACACAGGCTGCCTGGTCCCGTTCCAGCGCGCGCTGCGGATCATAGTTCTTCTAGCCTGCGCGCTGTTTGGACGAAAAGCGCGCTCACTCTTTGGCTTCCGGGCTCGCGAAATGCGAAGCTGTCGCTGCTTTTGGAAGTTTGGGTTCATACAATGCGAAACCGTTGTGGCTTCAGTACGGGTTACATGGTGTCTCACTGTTTGGGGTCTACCCTGGTTTAATCCTGAGACTCAGAACGACTGTGCGTTGGGCTTCGGATTTGGGATTTAGGGGTTAGGGTGTGCATCTGCGGACGCACGAAGGGGGGGGGGGGTCTTTGTGTTGGACTTCTAAGGACGCACTCCTTGTCGCATGCTCGCGTGGTGCAGGTAAGTGATCCCACACCTCGGTTTAGAGTTCTACCCCCCCTTCCCTTAACCCCTTAGTGAGAACTGCTCTCGTGTCAGACCGCCAAAGAATGGCCCGAGGAGGGAGTCCCATGTGCAGAGACTGGCACTCACCAGTTTAAGAGTTTAGGCTTGGGGCACGTAGGGAAGGGGAGAGGTAGCCCAGCCGATTTCAGTCATTAGCATACTACCTTCAATCGGTGGTCGGCAACGTGTTCTGTGTTTTCTGGCACCTTGTGGCTTTCGGCCAAGCAAAGTGAACGTGTTGTGCACTTCTCCACTTCCCACAAGGGGTCTTGCGACGGTACGCCGTTCTGTGCACAACTTCATAGAAGAGACAAAGGCCCGGAAAGCCCTACCCCGAACCCCATGTCTCAACAGACCGTCTAAACATCGGACTTGTTTGGAGCCTCCATTGCAGTATATATTCCTCCCAATTCATTAAGGGTACCCAAGAGGGCCCGTAGTGCAGAATGGAGATCAGCCCCCTATCGAGAGCTTCCTGCCAAATTAGCGAAGTAATTCGGTTTCAGAGATTGAGGGTCGAGCTGCTTCTACCTACGTGGGATTTCGCGTTTTGAGGGCTTAGGTTTGAGAGTTGAGGGTGCCAGGGCTGTGGGGCTTCAGGGGGTGGCTCGATTCCCAAACCCCCGAACCCCCGCCAAACCCCCCCAAAGCCCCGTAAACCCCTGAAACCCCCTAAACCCCCTAAACCCCCTAAACTGAACCCCTAAAACCCCTAAACCCCCTAAAACCCCTAAAACCCCTGACCCGCTCTAAAACCCCTAAAACCCCCTAAACCCAAATTTCGGCGGTGGTGCGCCTGAGGAGTCATTCTAGACAAGTTCTCGCTTCGGAGGTGCCTCCGTGGCGGAAACAGGCATGCGAGACATGGAGGGTGGTCTTAGGGTTTAGGATTTAGGGTTTGGGGTTTAGGGTTTAGGGAAGCTGTATTATAGCCTTCTTAAGGTGCTTACAGCCCTACTTTTTTACTGCCCATGAGGCTTGAAGCAGGATTTGAAATCTCCCTCAGCCCTAAACCCTCCCACCACAACTTTTGAGAAAGCAGCAAAGAACCCGGGTCAACTCGGCAGCTTCAGTTTTCACAGGTTTCCGGGCTTGGGGATCAAGGCACCAGGACCTGAGGATTGGAGTTTTTGGGGGCTCCCGGGGTCAAATCAGGCCGAAGGCCTAAGTCCCCCATCTCGGAGGAAGTCATGGTCTTGGCAAAAAAAACTCTTCGAACCCCTAAGCCTCGTCTCAGGCCCCCTTGATGGGATGTGGACTGAGCAGTCGAGTAGAAGGGCAAAGGAGCTTTGTAACCCTACAAGAAGTGACAAGTCGTGCCCGAAACCCGGACCGCCGAAGCCCCCACCCCCCCCCCCCCCCCCCCCCCCCCCCAACCCCAAAACATCCAACAAGAAGTTCTGGCACTTGCGGGGCCCGAGCTGTAGTCAGGAGATAGCGGCCAAACTCCGCCATCATCGGCTGGCAGACCTTGCAGGCGTCCAGCCCACAGGGCAAACAGGGTTTAGGGCTTGGGGCTTGGGGCTCCTGGGATATCGGAAGAACGGGCTCCGTTTGGTATAATATCATGATGAAGGCATCCAAGAAGTACAAGGCTGCTGTTCCACCTTTGCTGGGCTCGGGCTCAAGGTGTGTCGGGTTTAGGGTTTCAACTGTGGTTCCGCGTTTTGGCCTTAACCCGACAACCTCGAAGCCCTAAATCCGGGAAGCCCCTGAAAAGCTAAGGCCGGCACATGTAGGCAAAGTACCTGAAGGCCCAAGAGGCACTGGCTCGCGGGCTGCGGGGCTTCTCTACTTAAGCATCGGGAGATTGGTCTGAGGCTTCGGAACAATGGTGGCGTAGTGGGGCTCTGGGTGTTGAAAGGCTTTGGGGGTTTCAAGGGACTTAAACCGTAAGACTTAAACCCCGAAACTGGGCTTCAGAGAAGTTCAGCGCCCCTGCTTTCTGGTCCAAGGCGGAACCCACTCTAAGAAGCCCGTCTCGACCAGAGGCTACCTTTAGCAGGCTTCTGACAGGCGGTATCTGCAGGAAACCCCTGACGTTATCGAAGCAAAGGGCAAAGTTGCGGTATAGGGTTCAGGGTCCAAATTTGCGGTTGAAGGCTTTATGGGTCTCATAAGCCCTCGCCGTCAACGCCAAGCCCTGATCGAAATACTCCATCCGCACTCTGCCATTGCAGCCGGCACGCATCTGCATGGGGTCTTGGTCCCCGCGCATGAACCTAATTCTTTGGGGCTTGAGGGTTTGAGTTTTAAACCTCATGCTGTGCCACAAAGCTGTGTCCGACAGACAGCGGTTCTTGGTCACTGCACACGACCTCGGACTGCATGCCAGGCAGCTTAAGGTACCACTTGACAAATCCAATGAATGTCCTCAGATGGGTTTCCGAAATGCCACAGTCGGGCACTTGCAGCTTGGCCAGATTGACGTTCGGGCTTTGGGCTTTGGGCTTCGGCTTCGGGCTTCGCTTCGGGTTTTGGGCTTGGGCTTTGGGGCCTAAGCCCTACAGCCCTACCCAGCCCACTACGCGTTTAACCTGAACCAAGCTCTTCTTGCTGCCTGAGCCACACAGATCCCCGGCCATCCTTGTCGAAATCCTTCCAAAACATCTTGAAGACGTGCTCGGGCACCTTTGAATTCGGGGCCTTTGCAGGTTGAAGTCCAAAGCTCTCCCCAAGAGACCCGAAACTTGAATGCCCCAGCAGTTTAAAACACCCAAACTGAGCGATCGTCTCAGCAAAACGACCATCAAACTCTGCCAAGACACTTCAGGACCTTTTGGTGCAAAGTGCCTCTGAATCCTGGAAGCTCCGCGGGTTAACGTGGCGAGCAGAGGTTTAGAGGGGCGTTGAAGGCTCAGCGTTTTGGGGGCTGAGAGAGTTCTTTGGGGATCGATATCCAAACCTTTCGAACCCACCCTACCTAAACCCTAGACTCTAAACCCTAAACCGCTTAAACTTTAACCCTCAACCGTGAACTCCTCATCTAACCCTCCAAAACTTAGATCGTTTACGCCCTCAACCTAACCCCCGAGCCTTAGACCACTAAGACCCTAGGACATCCCAAAATTGTAACGACGACGCCCCTTAGAAACCTCCCGGACAACCCCAAAACCTTAAACCCCATAACCAGACCCCCCCGCCTGAAATAAGATCAACAATGCAATAAACATAAACAAATAATGCCAACAGAAACAATCATACCTTGAACAAGGCATGAAACCAATAGTCGCGAAAGCTCAGGGCGGATCCGCCAGAATGAAAAACAATAGTCTCGAAAGCTCAGGGGGAGGATCTGACAGAATGGTCCGCCATGAAACAGCTTGGGGTCAACACGTCAGATGGGGTCTGCGAGTCGGCCAGAGGAGTTTTTTCTCGTGGGGGCTAAGGGAGGATTTAGGGTTTAGGGTTAGGGTCTAGGGTATAGGGTTTAGGGTTTAGGGTTTAGGGCGTGTGAATTCCAAAATGCCGCAAGCTGCAAGACTTTGAACTCGTTCATCTCCAGGGTGTTGGAGTTGTCTGCATCCAGCTTCTTAAACTCATCCTCGGCACCACCAGCTACACAGCGGCTTTTTGAAAAAGGAAACTACCAAACTGTCCTCTTTGAGGGCTTGGGGCTTGGGGGTCAAAGGTTTGCTACCCTAAACCCTTAAGCCGATCTTGTTGCCGGAACCTCCGCAGGTTCACAAAACGCTCAAGCCCTAAACCCTAAACCCCAAACCCTAAACCCTAAACCCCCCCCCAGGCCCCTGGAGGGCCCTAAAAGCGCCAAGGGCTCATAGAGCTTCTCCACCTCGAGGATGGTCCTGCCCAGGCTTTTGGCGACGCTGCGAACCATCTTCTGATCCTCCCTGGGCGGCGGTTTTGGGTACAAAGGGTTTAGGATGGCTTGGGTTTAGGATTTAGGGTTTAGGGTTTAGGGCTTAGGGCTTAGGGCTTAGGGCTTGGGGCTTGGGGCTTAGGGCTTAAGGCTTAAGGCTTAAGAGCTTCGGAAGGTTCAGGGTTTGACGCTTAGGACGGTTTAGGGGTGTAGTGTTCAGGGGTCTTCCTGGTCAGGGTGACAGGGCTTTGGGTTCTCAAAGTGTTTGTGGAGTTTAGGGGTTATAGGGACTGCAGGGTTGAGGAAAGACGCCTTGGGGCCATGGTCTCTTTTATCTAGGCTCTTGAAGATGTTCGGGGCTCCTAACACCCGACATACCGAACCAGGGAGCCCAACCGTGCCCTAACACACAGTGTTGACTTGAGCTCTGTATGTTTTAACTCCAAGACCCAGCCATTCAGATCCGCAGGTTGTAGGGTTTCGGCATTTAGGGGTTACGGATCAGGGAGGCTCAGACGCCCCAACAACAGAACAAACATATTCAAAAAGTGCTGAAGTATTCGATTACTACTTTGCTACGTTACGATAATACTATATCTTCATTACTATGCATATATATATATGTATATGTATATGTATATGTATATGTATATGTATATGAAAATGTGTATATATATACACACACGTTTTATGATTTTTATTCGTTGTATGTTTTTTATTTGTTGTTTAGCCAGAGCCGGTGTGCGAGATGTCGTCTGGAATGAAATTCTGCCCATAGTCGAGAATGTCCTCGGATACACGGAAGTTTGGCAAACAAAAGGGGGGTTTCTGCTGGCTGTGATAATACGGTCGAACTGCCCATGTTCCTCGGGGCCTGGGATCATGCACGCCATACTAGTCTAAACCCTATCCATAAACGCTACGAAAGGCGATTAGGGTATGTGAACCGGCAAGAAGCCATGATATGCTTGCCCCTGACCCTTAATCGGAAACAGGAAACCCCATCCGTGTGAAACTGGTTGGTCCAGAACCCCCCCCACCCCCAACAAGCACATGTTCTAGTGGCCTCTGGACCGCGATCTACCGACATGCGATGCTCTGGGAATTCCCAACAGTTGTGTGGCACTGGCCTTGTGGGCTCCTGCGGCAACTCAGGAAAAGGAGTCGGCTAAGATTTGGTCCTATTAGTCCTATTCCTTATCGCGTGCAAAAGGCAGGACCTTGCAAAGGCTCTTCAAAGCGAGGCCCTAAGTGCCACCGTTTGGCGCGGCAGCATAAACTACAGCAAAAGGCGAGCATCATGACAGCCCACAAGCCCCTTGACCCGAAACCCTCAAGCCCTCACTCAAGCCCTCAAAGCACTCAAAGCCCCCAAAGCCCTGTACCCCAAAACCCTAAACCCCCTAAACCCTAAGGCCCTAAAGGTCTAAACCCTAAACCCTAAAAGCCTTAAAGCCCCAAATCCATAGCCACCAAGGCTCGATGCCCATCAGCTCGGCATACCACTTTTGGAACTCATCGAAGTCGATGCTGCCACTGCCATCTGCGTCCACCTCTTGGCTTGAGAGTGTTAAGGCTGGGGGCTGAAGGGGCTCAAGAGGGGTTTAAGGGGGGCTTTAAGAGGGGTTTAAGAGGGGTTCAAGAAAGAGGGGTTTACGAGGGGGCTTAAGAGCTTCAGAGGGATAAGGCTGAGGGCTTAAGGGGTTTAGCAGAGGGGTTTACGACGGGGGCTGAAGAGGGCCGAGAAGGGGTTAAGGGAAGCGGGGTTTAAGAGGGGTTTAAGGGGTTTTGGGGTGTAGGGACGTGCAGGGTGTGACAGCCCTCAGGGCCAGTGCGTTACATGGGTGAGGCAACCTTGCGAAGTGTTTGAACTGGGGACCAGTGAAATCTCCCAGCAGTTGTCCCCTCGGCCGCTTGTGAGTTGCAAGATGACTAACCTCGAGGCTAGTGCGTCACATGAAGCCAGCCGTGTCAGGTGGCTGCGTGGTAGGCTTAGTGACCAGATATACGATCAAGGACAATGTGGGTTTAGGTTTAAGTTGGGACTGAGGGGCAGGATTCAGGGTTTTGGGGTTCTAGACTAGGTTTTGGGGCTTACGGTTCAAAAGGTTCAAAATTGTCAGGAGCGGAGAGCGGCCTGATCCCACACGGCCCAGACCTCTCCTCTGTCGAGATCCTGTCATGCCGCGATGAAGAGAGAGAGGCTTCTCGGGTGTTGAGTCTAGGGCCTAATTCGGCCCTAGGAATGTTTCGAATCAAAGAAAGAGCCCAGGACCCTACCCCACCCACATCCTGGAGCCTTAAAGCCTCAAACCCTGTACCCTAAACCCTAAACCCCCTAAACCCTAAGGCCCTAAGCCCTAAACCCCACCAAACCCCAACCCGCAACCCTCCAGGCTCCTCTTGCGGGCGACGCAGAAGCTTGGCTAGCAGCGGGATGAACTCCTTGGCCCCTTAACCCCTAAGCCCCAGCAAGGCTCCTAACCCCGAAAAAAGACCATTTTGGGGCTTTAGGGCTTTGTGGCTTGGGGCTTTAGGGCTTTGGGGTCTTGCGGAGTAGACCTTAAGGCTTAGGGTTTTAGAGTTGTGGTGACTCGGCCAAGGAGAGTGGGCAGAGGGCACTCCAGGATCATCAAACATCGATGCTCCCAACCCAAAAAGCCTGAAGGTTGCCTGGGTTGCAAGGGCTTTTGGGGTCGCCAGGTAAAGGTGGCTCAATTGCAGGCCGGTGTCAGGTGGCTCGATGTAGCCGGAGCCGTCCTGGAAGACGGTTTGGCCATCAATGTGAAGGGTTGGGCCTTGAACATATGAAGGTTCTCACCTCACGTGCAGGACTTTGGAGAGGGATGGGGCGAGGAGCAACGGCAGACGATCTCATTCAGGGTGTTCGTTTGAAGGTTCTCTTGAGACTCTAGGCTTACAGGTCCCAGACGCTCAAAGGAGCACTTGCTGGTCCTGGTCAAAGTGGGAGAAGATTCTGCGAATGTCATTGAGGTCATGAACGGCCTGGCGCACCACAAGCTCACGGAGGCATGTCTCCTCCAATGGTCCATGGCTTCTAGATCCCTAGACCCGAAGCCATGGATGTGACGTCCCAACCCACATAAACGAAATGGCTCCGCGACCCCTTTCCCTGCGAACTCCCATAGCTGCGGTAGGGTCTGGGCTTATTTCAGAAGATGGTGAGGAGAGGGGGTCCCAATCCATTCAACTTTCCTGGCGGATGCGACGAAACTGTCAGCTCACAGTGAGGTTTAGGGTTTGGAGTTTAGAAGCAACATGTACCATCAGAGACGAGAGGCATCCCCCCTTACAGCCAGACAGACCCACCCAGCATGCGTGAGAAGACGTCAGAAACGCTTCTTGATGCGCACGAACTCGGATGGATTAGTAAGTCTATTTCCCCTTCACACACCAGACAAAGATGAGACTTGCTTCGCCAATCCGGCTGCGTTTGAGAAGCATGACCCCTCCGCCTCTTTAAACGGGCTTCGGCAGAACCCTAAAGCTGAAGCCTGCACCCTGCCTTCTTCTGGAACACTTCAGGCGCCACGTTCTTGTCATCTGGGATCGCACAGCTTCAGAATGAGGTTGTTCTGAATTGGGAGGAGGAGGGGGGAGGGGAGAAGGCCAACCCTGGTCGCGATCGTGTTAACCCACTTCCCATGCTCAAGGCTAGAGGCAGTAGATCGAAGACTCTGGGGTCTGGGGTCACAAAACAAGAGCCTTGCTCCTCTGCCTTTCCGCATGTTTCCAGCACATGGCATCGCCAAAAACCTTTTCGTGAGGCTCATCGTCTCCCGGGAGTCGGAGTTTAGGGCTCTGAAGGGCCCCTGAACCCAAATCCCACACTGAAACCTTTAAGGAAAAAGGCTGAACCATAAACCCGCAAACCCCCAAAAAACACCGCAAATTTCACCAAGCCACTTAGCAACGTGCTGGTTTTCAGAGCCACGCTTAGGTCCGTCGCGCTCGCCATCTTCCGACCTGTCAGGCCAAAGGCCCTGGAAAATTTCAACCCATTAGCCTTGGGATGTTCCCCCTTATACTGTCCTCAATAGGGAAAGAATAGGGGGCAATTACTATAATCCCTATTGAGGACTGCTAGCATAAAGGGAACATCCCAACATTAGCCCCGAATTGCCCTGAAGGCCTCAAGGCTGTAGGGTGTCAGGGTTCCTGGTTTTGGGGTGTAGTTGCGTGTTTAGGTCTCACGGATTAAACATGTAAGCTTTAAGTCTTGGGGATTTAGGGTCTTCTTGCTAGGAGTTTAGGGTTTGGGGCTTCGACTGCTTCCACTTGGTCTGCTTGGGGGAGCCTCCATAGGGCTCTGTGAATTCGCCCGACTGTCAAGCAGCCTACACCACCACCCTCGACAATCGCCCGCCCCATCCAGCTGCCAAGCCACACTCCTCCTCGTACTCCTTGGCCTCCTCTGTCCTAGGCATTTGGATGTCAGCAGCGCGCTTAGGCTGCAACATGAACGATTATACCGTTCCTTGGATGTCGAATTCCATGCAACAAGGGGCAGCCTGCTGCAGGAAATCAACCTCTTGGTAGACTGGCAGAAGTCAGACTGACAGGATATGGCGTGGAGAGCACAGCCCCAGACCCCTACGCCCCTACATCCTAAAGCCCCTGACCTTTTTGCCTTCCCACCGAGGCATGCGCTTCTTCTCTTCCTGCTTTTTGGTCCACCTCAGCTGTTGGCACCCAGCTGGCGGCTTAGGGTTTAGGATCACCTGGGGCTCAGAGGCTTAGTGAGGGGCTTGGGGGTGGTGAGGGGTTTAGGTTTCGTGGGTGTGGGTGTCCGGCTTAGGGAGTCATACTCACAACCAAACCCCCAAATTAACGTTAAACCCAAACATTCTAAACCCCAAACTCTAGGCCCAAAAATCCTAAAAACGTGAAACACTAACAAACCCAAACCCTAACCCTATCTAAACCCAAAACCCCAAAGACCAGAAACCCTCAAAAATCTAAACCCTAACTAAACCCCAAAGCTTCAGAGGCGAGCAAGAAGCTCGTCGAAGCGGCTGCTGGTCTGCGCCCGCCGAGGACCTTGCTGGGAGGTTCAGGGCGTACGGCTTACGGTTTAGGTTGGGAGTTCTGGGTGCGGGGTGCGCCGTTTTTTTTGCGTTTTTGGGGGCGCACTCCCTATCGCGCGCTCGTGTAGCTTACTCGCCCCACCACACGAACTATTCTCTTTTAGCCCCCCAAAGCTTCCAGCAAGGGGCTTTCTTGGTTTTGTGTAAATTGAAAGGTTATATCAGAGGCCAGGGCGGGGTAGGGCAGCCTGTCAAACCCAATTGGAGTCTGAATTATGTAGGCCCGTAGAGCTTGTCCTGGAGGCTTGACCCTCCTCCAGGCCCTAAACCCTGAAACCTAAACACCCTGAACCAAGCCCAAGTTTTTCATGGGGGCCTGGGGATCCAGATCGCAAGATGCCCCCAAGACTGCAGGGCATGAACCCGAACGGTCGATGCTTTGGGCGGGCGTTCAGGGGATAAGGCTTACGGTGTCTAGGGCTCAGGTCCAGGTTGAGGGTTCGAAAACCGAAACCCAGGGGAGCTGAGAGCCGAGCTGTTCATGCTCGCCTTCGAACTGAACCGCGAGGGCGACAATGGAATGGTCTCAGACTGCCTTCATCGCGGCTCAAGTGACTTCACCCGGTTGCGGTTCAAGGTTTAGGGATGTTTAGGGGCTTAGGGTTCAAGAGACCGCAAGCAAGGACCTTAGATTTTGGCGCAAGTCGCAAGGCTTTGAGATTCCTGGCTTCGAGCCGGAAACCTAAGCATCGACAAATCCACCCCGATTAAAGCTCTCAGCAGCAAATTCGGGCCTCCCTTAAGCCCAAATCTTAAGCTACACACCCAACTAAATCGTCTCAAAGTCCCAAAACTTTCAACCCTCAGCTCGGAAACTCCCCCCCCCCCTGATCAACGCCAAAGTGCGAACTGCCGGGTCGCCTCGGCGCGGCCGAGTTCGGGTTCTTTGAATTAGGGCTGTGGGGGATTCCTTTTACAACGCAGAGCCTGATATACACCTGGAGGTTTACGACAATGGGGGACCCCTAAACTAGACCCCAAATTGTAGGATTCCCTGTTTATAAGGACCTGAATGAGGTACTCCCAATTTCGGAAACCGCCTTGTCAATATTACTTTAGAGGGTGCACCAGCCAGGACCAGGGACTCATGGTGCCCTTCGGGGCTCTGGGGTTGAGAATTGGGGGCTCTGAAGTTTGGAGCGAAGCGTTTGAGGTCAGAAGGATTAGGCTTTTCCTGATTCGCCTCTTAGTGGACACGTGAGGCGTGCGGTCTAAGACTTCACGAACGCCAATTTATGTGTGTGCAATCTTGCTTTCAAGCCCTAAACTCCAAAACCCGAACCACTTTACTGTGGGGGAAGGTGGATTCAGGAATCTCTGGGTGGCAGGCATCGAATGCGCCCGCAAACCTGTCATGGGCGGCTTGAAGAGCAAACCCCCAAACCCTGAACGCTCAACCCAAACCCCATCAGCCCTCTGAACCTCTGGAGCCTGCTTTGGTTTATCGGGCAGTTTTTTCGTGCAAACTGCGGACCTGTAGCTTTCGGTTTGGGGTCCAGGTTTTGTTGATCTTGCTAGGGCGGGTGTAGGGTACACAAAAAGGAATTAGGGTTTCGGCGCTGGGGGCCTGAACGCAACACAACCTGAGGGTTCGGCATAAACTCAAAACCCTGCAGGTGCCGAGCCTTGGCCCAATCCATGTTCCTCGGAGATGAAAAGGCTTCAACGTTTGGGGTTAGGGCCACAGCTACGAAAGCTGGGGGAAAATTTGGGCTGGGCGAGTTTGTAAGGCTGGCTCCTCAGCACAGAAATCTCATGCCCCAGAGCCCAACCCGAAACCCCCAACCCATCCTTCCAAAGCGGATGGAACGGAAGCTATCAGTGCTTTGCAGCGCTCCAGAGCGCGTTTAGGCGTAGCAGGCATAGAAAGAGGGGCAGTCTGAACTCGTTCGAGCCTAGGATTTGCTTCTGGGCGACGTTTCTTACACCTCATATCATATATCACTAGATATTAAATCACAAAATCTAACCTGCAGGGTTTTGGGCTTAGGGTTGGGACCCCATGCAAAGCCCCAGCGGCCAACAGCTTGCTCGAGGTCTCTGCGAAAATGTCCTTCCCAAGCTTCGGCTCGGATGGCTTGGGGCTTAGGGTTGCGGTGCCGACATGGACCACCTTGTCATAGACAGCTCATCAAGAATACAGGCCGCCACCCGACATCCAGTTTTTCAGAACACGAAGACCCTAAGCTTTCTCTGCACCCAAGTCCTGTAGTTTGCTCCGCGAGCGGGGTGGGTAGGCACCCTGCAAGCTCGCTTGAGTGAACTTGTCGGGTTGAGGGCTTCGGGCTTAGGGTTTAGGGTTTAGGGTTTCGGGTTTGGGGTTTCGGGTTTAGGGTTTAGGGTTTAGGGTTTAGGGGCTTAGGGCTGAGGGCTTAGTCCGGTCGGGGGTGCCCAGGAACCCTAGGCCGCGCAGCTCACCTCGAACCGCAGCCCAAGTCTCTGATGCCCACAACCCTGTAAACACCCTGATTCACCCAAACATATCCGATCCACCCTAAACCCTGAGTCCTAAACCCTCTAAACCCTGAGCCCAGTTCGCCCCAAACCCTTAACCCTAAACCCCAAATCCCTTAAACCCTAAACCCTAAACCCTCCCAGAAAGAAAGTGAGGGCCCAAGGCACCGTCTCCGACCCGGGGTGCGACGGGGAGCGGAGCCTTATGTGGTCAGCTGGGGCTTCGGGGCTTGAAGGGTTTTGGGGCTTTAGGGTTTGAGGGTTGCTGGTTTTTAGGGTTTTTAGGGTTTTAGGGCGTTAGGGTCTTAGCCTTTGGGCTTCGGGCAGGAAAGGCTTCAATTTGGAGCTTTGAAGACCTAAGATTTCAGGGGGTTTAGGAGTTTAGGGTTTAGGGTGTAGGGTTTAGGGTTTAGGGCTTTCAAGGCTTTAGGGTGTGACTTCAGAGGGGCTTCAGGAGTTGTCGGCTTCGCTTCCAGGGCTTTAGGACATCCGGGCTGTGGGTTCCGGTAGCCTTAAGCTATGGCTTCAAAAATAGCTTCTCAAATGCCCCAACGACAGTAAGTGTGGGAACCCTGCGTCGGAAATCCCAAACCCCGAACCCGCAACCCTAAACCTTGCCCGCTTGTTGAAACCGTGCTTCTGGCCCTTTCTGTCGAGCCATCTTCGTTCGGGGACTTCGATATGGGGTGTTGAGCTTAGGCATCGGGATCTTGACGGAGATTTAAATTCTGAGGTGTTGGGGTTGGTGTGGCAAGAGGTCAGCAGCAGAGCTGTTAGGTGCAAGCCTTCAGGCGTTGGTCCCTGAAGCCTAGAAGGTTACGGTATAGCTAGATTACATGAGAGTTGCCTGAAATCCGTTAGCAGCCGCGCAGCATTTGGCGGATATCTTCCGAGGCCCCCGACGCCTCCCGGAGGTCGTGTATGGTCGAAAAGCTAAGGCTCAAGGGTCTTTTCTCAGAGCTCGATCAGGTAACAACTGCAAGCTCTGACAAACGCTTCTGCGACTTTACCAGCATCCCACATAGGTTACGAATCGGTACCCATACCCCAGACAGCTTCCCGAACAGTGCGGCTTCACTGCATCATCTGGAGCCCATGCTCTCCCAACACACAACCCCGTGAAACCCCAAAAAATCCCTGTGAACTCGAGGTTCTACACCCCTAAACCCTCGAAACCCTGAACCCTCGCCACGAGCCTTTGGCGTGACATCGCTTTCTGTCACATCCTCGGCTCTGCAGGCAGGGACCTCTCCTTTTAGGGGGGTTTCGGGCTTAGGGCTTATGGTCAACGGAGTCTAGAGGTTCAACAACATGTAGCCTACGTATGTCGGCCTCATAGGGGGCTGTGCGCAGTGGGCAACATCGAAGCGAGACTTTGATCACGACCATTGCCATGACGGGGGGGAACATCGGCGCGGTCGGAAACATCCTATAAACCCTTTGCCACGCGGCAAGAGCTCTTTGGATTTTGGTCCTGTTTGAGCCTCGCATTCTCATTCTTATGGAGCCTTGTATTTAGGTTCCCCCAAGAATGGACGACCCTTCAACATGCAGTTTCCACAAGCGACCTGCCCTGAGAAGGTGCAGTTTGGGGTGTAAGGTTTAGGTCTGAGGGGCTGAGGGGCTATCGCAGTGCTGCAGTGAGTGCTAAAACTTGCAGTCCCTGTTTCAGAATACAAGCGTTCAAACCTTTTGGGTCACAGAATCGTAACAAAATGAACTGACTAAGGGTTCAGGATTTCAGGGTGCGAGGTTCAAAGTTCAAGTCATTTTCACCCGCCCTCGTCTTTCAAACCCCCACACCTCAACATGAACCCAGCGTGCACATGTCGCAGTCGTCCTAAAAAGCCTCGCGCAGAGAAACCTTAACCCCCTAACGGGCCCCTATGTAACTACTAACCCCCTTGCCCCGAAAGAACACAAGCCCTCTTAAACCCCAAAACCCCAAAACCCACCCTAAAACCCTAAACCCTAAACCCTAAACCCTAAACCCCAAATCAACCGGAGGTCTCGAGTAGTGTCCACCGAAAGTTCCAGCTGCCGTCGAGTCCGGGAGCCCTGAGGGGTCAGGGCTTTTGGGATTCATTTCGGGGGTTTAGGGTTTAGGGTTTGGGGTTTAGGGTTTAGGGTTTAGGGTTTTAAGGTTTGGGGTTTAGGGTGTAGGGTGTAGGGTTTAGGGTTTAGGGTCTAGGGTTTAGGGTTTAGGGTTTAGGGTTTAGGGTTTAGGGTTTAGGGTTTAGGGTTCGGGTTTAGGGTTTAAGGTTTCGGGTTTAGAGTTTAGGGTGCAGGGTGTAGGGTTTAGGGTTTAGGTTTAGGGTGTAGCATTGGTCAGCTGGACGCGATAGTTTGAAGACATGCCCACCCCAAGGCCACCCAATCACAACTCACGGCAAAACCAAGCCGGAGCCAGCCAAAACCAGCCAGCCATTCAACATTTTTCTGCGTCGGATTAGCTACATGGCGAAAGTGCGGTTATGCAATGAGGCCTTATGAAAAACATGCCCAGAAGCTTGTGTTCAGGACATGTAAAGAAACTGCAGCCAAAAAAAATTAGGTTTTGCATTGGGGGAGTCTTCGGCCGGAGGGCCTTCTCATTGTTTTCTTTTTTCTCTATGTCGGAGTGTCGAGCGGGTTTTTTCGTTGAAGCTTTGCGCAACATAGTCAGAAGTTTCCGAGTTAAAGGCTCAGAAATGGTCTGGGAGAAGCCCAAAGAAACTCAGAAATGGTCTGGGGGCAGCCCAAAATCCCAGAAATCCCAAAAAGGTTGGTCTGGGAGAAGCCCAAATAAGCGCAGAAATAGTGGGGGGGCAGCCCCGAAGCTCAGAAATGGTCGGGTGAAGCCCAAAAAAAAATGCTGAAATGGTCTGGGAAAAGCCCAGAAGCCCAAAGAGGCTCAGAAATGGTCCAAGAAAGGCTCAAAAAAGCTCAGAAATGGTTCGGGAGAAGCAAAAAAAGGCTCAGAATTGGTCTGAGACTGGTCCGAAGCCCAAAAAGGCTCAGAAATGGTCCGGGAGAAGCCAAACTTTCCCCTTGAAGGGGGGGTCAGAGTTTTGACCAAGGGGGGTCTCCGAATACTGCTTTGCTTTGAAAATTGAAAAATACGACCCCCCCTTGACCAAAACTAGGCGGTGAAAAGGTCGCAGGGGTGGCCTTTCAACAGAATTAGGGCTTTCGAAGGTTGGGCTATTGGGAGGGTTTAAGTCCTCCTGCCTTTACTGGAAGGGTTGAAGGCCCCCCCACCTCCTTTACTGGGAAGGGTTTAAGGCCCTTCTTACTGGGAGGGTTCCGACAGCAGAAAAATCTAGGGTTTAGGGTAATAAAATATACTTAGGGACTATGCTAGGCGACTCAAGCTTAGCGACCCCTCAGGGGTGCGGCTGCAGGCTCTGCAGCTCAGCAGAGCCTGCCATGGTCTCGCTGAACGCTCGACTGCGCCCACTCACCCACAGAAGGAGAGGGGTGGTGGGCGGGTTTAGGGTTTAGGGTTTCGGGTTTAGGGTTTAGGGTTTTGGGTTTAGGGTTTGGGGGGTAATGGGGTTTAGGGGTTTGGGAGTTTGGGTCATGGGTTGTGGGGGTTTAGGGATTGGGAGTTTGGTATTGAGGGTAGGGGGCTGAAGAGCGTTTAGGGACCACATTTAGAACAACGCACCAACACACCTGTCCAGCAGATCACCTGCTAGTGCACTCAGATAGAAATAGAGTTCTCAGCCCGAAGCTGCGAAAAAACAAGCTTAGAGGCCCAAACCCCGTAAACCCATTCGGTAGCGCCTTGCCCCCAGTTTCAGCGCCGTCCTTGCAAGCTCATGGAGCTGCGGGATGGAGGCTTCTCTTGGATTCCATTGCTTCACTTGTAGAGGTTGTTGAACCTGAAACCCTTAGCAGCCTTAACCCTTGCACAAAGGTTGTGGCGTTGGCCAGGTCTTTAAATTGTCCGCAAACACGTCACTCTCATTTATGGTCCCGTATCAAGTACAACGACCTCATTGAAACTAGGTTGCCCTGAAGCCTAAGCAATTTGCTCTACGCACATGAAGCAGGATGGAAAGGCTCAAAGCCTCTCTCAGCCTCTTGAGAGCCACCTGACAAAGCAAGCACTCTTGGATTTGACAAATTCCGGATATTGATATACACTTCCCCCGTCCTGAAGCCCATTCCAAGCCCCTTAAGATGAATTTGTACCACCCATAAATACAAAACTTTCGCCCCAAAACCCGCCCAAAACTCCGGACACAAACCCTGTACAATTTCTGAACCCGAAAAAAACATACTTCAAACCCGCCCAAAATGTTCGCCCTCAACTCCGGACACGAGCCTGATGCAATTTCCAGAAACCCTGAAACCCCCAAAAACCCGCCCAAAAACTTCGCCCCTATATAAACTTCATAAGCCCCCAAACCCTGAACCCCAAAACCCCCAACGCCAAACCCTAAACCCTAAACCCCAAACCCTAAACCCTAAACCCCCCAAAACCCCCACCCCCCCCCCCCCCCTATCTCCTTCGGCTCATCTGCTTTCCTAGGTCTGGGAGTCGCCCGCGAACCCTGCAGTTAGGGTCTCGGGTTTGGGGTTTAGGGTTTGGGGTTTGGGGTTTGGGGGGGTTTGGGGTTTGGGGGAGTTTGGGGTTTGGGGGGGTTTGGGGGGGGTTGGGGGGGTTTGGGGTTTGGGGTTTGGGGTTTGGGGTTTAGGGTTTTGGGGTTTGGGGTTTGGGGTTTGGGGGGGGGTTTGGGGGGTTTGGGGTTTGGGGGGTTTGGGGTTTGGGTTTGGGGTTTTGGGGGGGTTTGGGGGGTTGGGGGGGGTTTGGGGGGTTTGGGGGGGTTTGGGGGGGTTTGGGGTTTGGGGTTTGGGGTTTGGGGGTTTGGGGGTTTGGGGGTTTGGGGGTTTGGGGGTTTGGGGTTTGGGGGTTTGCGGGTTTGGGGGTTTGGGGGTTTGGGGGTTTGGGGGTTTGGGGTTTGGGGTCTGGGGTTTGGGGTTTGGGGCTAGGTTTGGTTGGGGGGGTCCGTTGTGGGGACTGCAAGACAACCCACAAAATCCCTAGATTTTACTGAGATAGGCCGCTATCGTACTGCTGGAGCCGGGAAGCAGATGAGGACAGCGAGAAAGACACCTAGGCAACCGAACGCTAAACCCTAAACACCCTAAACAGACAAATAAACCCACACGCCAAGACCCTAACCCCAAGAATCACAACCCTATCCACCTCAGAGCCCTCGGCCCTAACTCCCTTCACCAAGAGAGCACTAGGGTCCATCCTCGAAAAACCGAGGCCCCTCGAAAAACATCAGAAAGCCCCGCAACGCGCCCAACGCGCCTTGCTCGCGAGTCGCTCCGATTCGTGGTCCTTCTGGGGATTTGGGCTCAGGATGCCTCTTCTCAAGACTGAAGAACTTGCACAAAAGTGGCTTGGGGTCCAGGGTTAAGGCTTAGCGGATGGATCTTTGACAGCTGGGCCTTGTGATCCTAAGCCCCTCAACGCCGAATCCTGAGACCCAAAAATCGAGAATGTCAGGCCTCCGAGCCTGGTAAGGCAAAACGAATCTTGACAACCCCCGACCACCCCAAAGGGCCTTCAGCTCGTTCATGATGCGCAGCGCCGGAAGGGCGACGGCTGCGCGACCATAGCCCTGACCAGGTGGGGTCTGCGAAGGGCGGGTTCTCCCATGATTAAGGCTACTTAGGGATAATTTAAGCCGGGAACTAAGCGGGCCCATGAAGGGTGAAGATCAGAGCATGTGCCTCAAGCAACCACAGCGCATGTCTAAGCCTGCGTTTCAACGCAAGATCTGATGCCACACTGAATCCGCGCGGTGGGTTTAGGGTTTAAGGTGCTGGTGTCCTTTTGGAGGAAGCTACTACGGATAGGCTCACAGAAAAGGACTCCCCGGAACAGTAATTGAGCACAAAATTGCATTCAAAACTCTTGCAGCGGCAAACTTCTTTTGTACCTTGATGAAAGATACTTATGAACCCAAATTACTCACACATTCCTCGACCCAAGCGGTCAAAGCCCATGAGCCTTGCTTCGCGAATCCTGGACGATGCACGATGCTGATAGGAGTCTTGGAGGTTAAGAGTTTATAGGGCGGTTGGGATGTGGGGATTTGGAGATTTGGGGATTTGGCGGGGCTTGTAGGGATTTAGCGCTTGTTGGGCTTCTGAGGGCTGAGAGTCTCCTGCCCCGGGGAATCAGGCTTAGACGGGCTGAAAAAAGCTTGGGCGTCGGCTGCTTAATTCCAGACGGGTATCGGCTGCGATAGGTAGGGCTCTGCGCGGGGTATTGATTCAAGCACTGTGTATTCTACCTTTCAATACCCTGAAACTTCAAGCAGGGAACATTCGGACTTCCTCGCCCTGGAAGAAGGGGTGGGGATGCAACAGATCATGAAGCGCGGTTGTTCTCGCCGCACCACCCGCCGTGCACATGCTAAACAAACCGGATCCTAGACGGACCGACAAAATCCTTTCACCATAATACATCTAATCGAGAGAAAGAGAAAGATGAGTATGCTCATGTTAATCTATGAAAAGGAAACATCTTTTTTTTATCTCATACTGCTGTCTATACATTTCTAACCAAGAACGCCAAACTGCCATCGACCGCTCCTGCCGCTCGCTTGGGCTGACGCTGTTGGGGCGAACCTGGTTGCTCGTCCCCCCCCCGCCGAACTGCTAGAAAAAACCCTTGAATCCCCCGAAAACCCCTAAATCCCCCCCCAAAAACCCCTAAAATCCCCCTAAGAACCCTTCAAACCCCCGTGAAAACCCTGAACTCCTTGAAGCGTCCACGTTTTCTGACGGCTTCCAGGGCTGCTGGTTTCAGATTCCGTCGCACGCGGCTAGAAAAAACAGTGTGTGAGCTCAACAAAGGGAGCCCTGAAGTAGAACCAAGTGCTGCCTTTCAAGGCTGACAAGGTTCAGGGCGTAGAGGAATATGTTTAAATTTTCTTAAGGCCAGTGTTCAGCTCTGCATGGCTATGGTCGGGCCTAGGGTTTCCTAAGCCCTGAACCCCAAAACCCTGAGTCCCGAAACCAAAAAAACACCCTTCAAACTCTAAGCCGTACACCCGTAATCAAATCCCATGCAAAACTGAATCCCACACCCTAAAGTCCTAACCCCGAATCTTGAAACCCCTCAGCCCCTTGATACCTTGGTGCCCTAAGCCCCTTAAATCCCCCTAAACGCCTTGGGTGCCCGAAGCCCCCTTAGATCCCTTGAAGCCAGCTTCAGAGCTTCCGGCCAGCGGAGCCACCAGCCTCAACCAGAAGCCAGGCTCGAGGACTCTGGGATTTAAACCCTAAACCCTAAACCCTAAACCAGGCTTGGGGATGCTTGGGGTTTAGGGAGCTCGGGGGGCCCTTCGGGAGCCCTCAGCCCCACACCCGAAGCTGTGAGAACTCGGAGGGCACCCCCTTTTCTCACGCCAGGAGATCGGTTCGACATCCAGTGCTACAGGAACTCTGGGCCAAGGCCAACGAAACCAGGGTTCGGGGGCATGGAGGCTCCAGGGTACAAGGGATCCCCCTTCACCCCCAAAACCCGGGACCCTCAAGAAACCCCCAAACCCCTTCTGGGGAACGCCTTGGGGCGTCCGATTCTTGCACGGCTCGCGGTGGTGGAAGCCCCTGCCCGGCAGCTGCCGAATGACATCGGGCTTTTGGGTCTGAAGCTACGGTGGCCTGGCGCTTCAGCTTCTGGGTTGCTGTGGTAAGACTGAAGTTCAGATGCCAAAAGTACAGAAGCCAAAGCACTTCCCTATCTAATCCCTTAAAGGGGTTCTCTTAAGTTCCCTTAAGTTCGTTAACCAGCAAACTTGGCTTCGGAGGGCCTCGTTCCGACGTGGAGTCGCAGTTGGATCGATTTCCGGCCGCTTCCTCCTCCGCGAGGAGCTGGCTCCGGGCACTCCAAGGCAACTTGATCCCCGAACTCAGGGTTTAGGGTTTAGGGTTTAGGGTTTAGGGTTTAGGGTTTAGGGTTTAGGGTTCTGAGCCCTGAATCCTGAACCCTAAACACGGCTCGCGGCAACCATGATTTGGGTGCAACCGCATGCTTGGAACAAACTAAGTGGTCCTTTTTGAAACAGCGTGGACAGCTGTAGCTTCCTCGGTATACCTAACCTTTTTTCTTCACCAAAGCCCCTGTACCTTAGCTGCGTGGTTTTTGCCATTGCAGATACACCTCACTTCCAAGCCGGAACTCATCATGGTGAGAACCACGGCAAGCTTCGGGACTTTACGCCTGAACTTTTCAACCTCACCTGACCCTAAACATCAAGCTTTTCCGGATGTCGCCGTGTACATTCGCATTTCTGTCCTCAGCCCTGCTCAGGATGCCATAAAAGAGATAGAGCTTGCATCAGTACCGTCGTATATCCATGTATGGGAACCTACAGTAGTGTTCAGGCTGCAAGTGTTCTCTCCGCATGCCACGTATCAACTCGGAGAACTATGCACAAGAGAACCCGAAGGGTTTTGTAGCCCCGGATGACTTCGGATGACTCTTTCAGTGGCTCCTCGGCGAGAGCAAAAGCCCTCCGCCAGCGGACTTCGGCAAGCGGAGGTCGAAATTTTGGTTCACCTCCTTGAGGGGTTAAATTTCACAGCTTAGAAAACGTTGGGTTCCGGGCTCAGAGGTTCAGATGGCATCATAACGGGGGCGTGGCTTTAGAACTTTAGGGTCGTGAGCGCCTTGTCTTGAGCGCTGGAGGGTGGGGTGGGGGGGGTTGGAATTTCGGGGTGCTTGTTATGATTTCGCCCGAACCTGAAACCCTAATTCCTGAAAGCCTAACCAAAATGCGGAGTGTAGGCGCAGAACACAAGCTGCAGCATTCAGGCTCTGGTTGTCAAGCTCGGGTTTTGTCCCGGCACATACCAAATGAATATTAGAACCTGAGCTCCAGCCCTAAAATCGTGAACCCACAAACAAGACGCAAAAAAAACACAAACCCTAATCATTTAGCTCTAAGACCTGGAAGGTCTGAGCCCCAACCCTGATTACGCCGCCCAACAAACCCTCAACCTTTAAACCCTCCACCAAACACCCGGCCTGCATCAGCTTGACCTGGAACTTCCTCACAGCCTCTTTGGCGCCCCGCGCGCTGCCCGGGCTGCCAACGGGGCTGGCCACCGTCGGGGTGCTCGGCGGATTCCTGCGCTTTTGGGGATTTTGGGGGTTCGAGTTGGGATGTTTCCCCTTATACTGACAGTCCTTAATCGGGATTATAGTACCCCTGTAATCCTCAGGTAGGACTGTTATAGTAGAGAAGCGGGAACCTCCCAAGGTTTGAGGGTGGATCTTTCAACATCTTCAAAGGGCTTTTGCACTGCAGGCCCTTGCCTTCCCAGGCGGGGTGGAGCGCCCCAGGGTTTAGTGCTTCATGCTTCGGAAGTAGGGCCCCTGCAAAGGCCAAAACGCCCCAAAACCCTGAACCAGCCCTTTTTGCGAAAAGAAGCTGACAAAGCGTATGACTTCAAACCCTGAAGCATGAACTCCTCTGTGTTTAGGTTTCAGGGTTTAGAGCTTGGGGTCTTAGGGTTATCTCGCCTCCTGGTGCTGTCACAAGTGGATGCATTCTCCTTGGCTTCGCAAAAATGGTGCAAGGTCTACCGCTTAGGTGGGGGCGCATGAAAGACCCAAGGATGGCTGAGGGTTGAGGGACTCGTGGGTGCACGCCCCCAAAGCAAAAGATTTCTGTACTCCGTGCAGGCTACATACGGACAAGGAACTGTGCAAACTTAAGACTTAACTTAATGATGTGGACGACTTCTGGTACACCTGCATGCCTTTCGACCTCCTTAGCAGCGGTCTTTCAAGAGCCTCAGAAGGTTGAATTGATTTTTTTCTAGGAGCTCCAAACACCGAGCACTCCCCGCAAAGCGTCAGAACCGGGCGCTCCTTGAACCCCCGAAACCCAGCCAAGGCTCCACCACCTGCCGCCAGTTCTTGGAAACCCCTGCATCCTTCGCGAGGGCCTCTGGAACTTATGGGAGCTTCCCCTCGCTTTTACTAGCTTTTCGGTGGGGGACTTCGGACATCCCCTCTAAAAGCTCGGATCGAACACCGCCCGACGCCCCAAAGCCGTTTTACTGCGGTTTTTTAATGTGCTTTTGGAAGCAGCCCCTCAGCCTAAACCTTCAGCGATGTTCCCTGAGCCCCTTCGGAGCTTCCTGGCCCAGCTGAACGCCGCTCCGGAGAACGTTCTCAGGAATCCTTCGCTGGAGCTGAGGACTTCGGAGCTTCATTGTGTTTAGTTTGGGATGTTCCCCATTATACTGGCAGTCCTGAGTAGGGATTCTAGTACCCCCTGTTATCATCCCTATTGAAGACTGTAAGTATAAGGGGGAAGATCCCAATGTTTGGGGATGGCTGAAGGGGTACGGGCATGTCAAAAACCCAAGCGAGCGCTTTGAGTCTGCAGACCTACTGTACCCACCCCCGGGTTTTGAGGCTCTTTACATACCCATGCAACTACCAAAATCAAACCCCCCCCCCGGCAGAAGGTAGTGTTTGTCTGAAGGGCTTCGGGCTTAAGTTGAAGATTGCCCAGATGTCCAGGTCCCCCGCGCCCTCCGCCTTATCTGCTCACGTTAAAGCCCATGTTGATCTCAGTTTGGCCTTGAACCCCTCAAAAAAGATTCCCACTCGCTCAACACCAAAGAAATCGGGTACTTGAAACTCAAGGCGCAGTCTCGAGACCCCAAGCCTGACTATAATACAAGTGTAAGAAAACTAAACCCACTCAGAAGCCTGGTGCCTCCCAGCAAAAACTGAGGGTTAGGCCCGCAACGCATCAAACGCTGGTGCGCACCAGCCTGGAGGCTTCAGAGGCTTTCGGGGTCTCAGCGTGGGCGTTTTAAGCTTCAGGGCAGAGTAGGGTTCAGTGCATGCAGAGTTCTCACCTTGGGTCTACTTGCGAACCCAAACAAAAATTCATTACGAGGCAAGAATTAGAAAAGACATGAACTGGTAAAGGGCTGTTTGGGAGCAACTGCCTCATTCTGCGCCTCGAACTCGAGTCCCCGAAAGCCAGAACCCTAAGCCTCGCGAAAAAAGGCACCTGCACGCCACCTGCTGCATTCTTTTGGAGCCAGACGTCCTGGCCCGTCAGGAATTGTAGGGTTTAGGGCTCTAGGCTGTTTCGGGCTTAGGGTTTCGGTGTTGCAGGGGTGTAGCGACTACTTGAAGGCCCATGAGTAGTGTCAAGCGGGGTCACGAGCTACTAAGGTTGCAGTGTTGATTATTCTTCTTATGACCCTACAAATGGGTTGCTCTCTTTTTGAGTAACCTGTGTACAAAGAGTCTGACAAAGAGCCTGTACGATAATGGGTACAGAACACAAAGAGGGATGCCAAATTACTGAATTTGCCTATGATGCCGATAAACAAGAGAACTTGCAGATGGATCCAAGTACCAGCACCTCCCCAAAAACCTATCACACCCCAAGACCCCCCCTACTTACTTTAGAGCTTGGGCTCGGGCCAGACCGCCTGTTTAAAGATCTTGGGTGCTTGAAGGCTTTAGGGTTTGGGGCTCAGGGGTTAGGATGCTAATCGAAATCCCCATCCAGGATGGGGATCCAGGATTCCTGGGTCACAAGTACCTTCCGCCCAGCCCCACGCCTCCCGCTGAGTTCTTCGACCGGGTGCACCGCGCCACCTGGGCGGCGTCTGATGGATGGTTTTCCCATCAGGGTTGGGAGCAGGGGACAGCACCAGCTCGACGGGAGGTTTCGAAAGCTCCCTGCGCTAAACTGTAGAGCTATGGCCCAAGCACCCTTGCCCATTGCTCCCTTTGCTCCTTCGCATGGCTATGCCAGCCCCAACTCCTCTACACCCCCCCCAAACCCCCAAAACCCGAGAAGCCCCTCAAGGGTCAAAGCGGAAGCCCGTAAAGTTGCCAACTCCAGCAACCCTCACCATTGCGTGAGAGCCTCAACCCCTGAGTCCTCAACGCCTGTCCTCCCTGAGCCCGAACCAACTAAACCCTAAGCCCGAAACCCTAAAACCTTCAACCCTCAACTCTTCAAGGGGCCAGGTCCGTACCGCAAGCTCCAAGCCGGCAGCCTATGAGGGCTTCAGTTGAGGGGTTTAGCTGTCCTCAGGATCTGTTGCTTGAGGCTCACTAAAAGGGCTTGAGAGTGCAGTTGATGGTAGGGACCCTAACCCTGAAGCCGAGAGGAAGAGGACAAGGGCTTGCAGTTGGGCGTGGAGTCGAGCCGATAGGGTTTCGGGCCCCCGTAAAGCCCTACACCCCTAAAGCCCTTAAACCCTTTAACCGACTTGACAGCGACCATTGCCTCCGGCTTCACAGGCTATGTCTAGGGGTCATGTATTCATGTATGCCCATGAGCCGGAAGAGCAAGATCCTGTCGCACTCTCGAGGTCTCTTCGTGTCCTTTTTTTATTGAAGGGGGTCTCCAGGTTCAACCCACAACCCAATCCCTAGACCGTACCTGAAGCCCTAGACCCCGAAGCTCCTAAACATTAAACCCTAAACCTTAAGAGCCTTTGGTGGACAGGCGCATGTCTCTTTGGGCCTCACAGTGCGCAGACAGCACTGGGTCGGCGGTGTGATCTTCCTCCTCCATATGAGACCTTGGGACATGTAGGGTCTGCGGTTTGCGGGCGTGGGGTTCAGGCTTTGGGGTGGCTCAGGGTTAGGGTAGGGCAATTAAAAAACCTAGGGTTCTTTCCCGGCCAAACAGGGCAGATTCCCCATCAACAACCCGCAAGTCGGGCAGAAACGCTGCTGCCATGACAACGACATTCACTTGGAAATGTTCGGTTCCGGCCACAGCTGTCAAAGATGCCAGTGCTGAGTCACCCTAAACCCGAAACCCCCCTTTTCCAGCCTCAGGCATGGCATGAGCTCAAAATGGGCAAACGCAACACCAGGTCCAATGCAAAGAAGGCGAATGCGTTGCGGCTGTTTGCACTTGGAGACGGTTCGGGGGGTTTAGGGCTTCGAGCTTGGAGATGCTTTCAGAATCAGCTGCAAGACATGCCCTCCTTGTCCAGACAGAAACTGGCGTTGCAGCTCTGTACTGTACAGGAATCTCTCACAAGGGTCTGGTTGAAAGAAGGAATCCCCCTCACCCTCGGAAGCTCACAGCCGAATACAGCCCGTTGCAGGCGATGCGTGATCGTAACCCTAGGTCCTCACATTCCCTTGCGTGCCGTCCCTGCTGCTGCACCGAAGGCCATTGCCCTCTGAATTCGAAACCCGAAACAAGTGCAGGACTCATCGGGGGAGGTCATACAGTGATGAGCACGGAAGCATTCTCCCGTTTCAGGTTTGGGGTTGACATCGTCTTTTTGGATCGGCAAACACAAAATGACAAAGTGAACTGCTCTAGGGAGACTGAATAGCTCAGTGACCCCCCGATCAACTGTGCACTTCAAAAACGTGGGAAAACGCACGCATCATGCTGGATCCGCGTCGGGATCTGCTGCCCACGCTTCTCCATCAAGACCCTTAACCGCATCTTGCGTCTCGTAGCTTTCATGAAGGGGTTCTCGTAAAGTCGTAAAGGGTCCCAAGACCCAACCTTAACTACTGTCACCCCGCAGCCGGTTCTTCCGAGCAGCGGCTCAGCTAGTGGCCTTCTTCCACCGATGATCGGCACCGTGCACGTCGACCTCCGCAGGGGTAAGGGATGGCATGACAAGCGCCCCTCATAGCTTCTTTGCGTTTTACTGCAGACAGGCAAGAAACTCAAACAGTCCTCAAGCTGGCACCAAAACTCAAAAGGTGCTGCCAGAGGCTGTCAGGACCACGACGCGATCAGATCATCAGCAGAGTTGCGTTCCAAACATCAACACGAGGCGAGGCGCTTTCGCTTGAGACCAGGATTCAGGGCTTCGAGCTTTAGGATGCAACGAGGTTTCAGTCTTCGAGAAGCACAACACTAGGAGAAGAAACGGCGATGTGGCGCAATGCTCCAACTGGTCAGAGTGGGGCTTTTGAGCGGTTCTGAAGAGGATTTTGAGTACACTGAGTACACACTTTGAGGGTTCCCTGAGTTGGAGGAAATCTTTGGGCGTGGCACCACTCTCCGCCGAATTTCCTGCATGACTCACAGCCATGCCGCAAACAGCGGCGGAGCGGCTGCACTACGTGAAGAAGTCTTTGGAAGGAACCTCTCTAACTCACCAGTACGGCAATATTTTGGAATATTGCTCGCATGGCTGGCTGCAGGTAAGACTGCCTACGAGAGTTTGACGCAGCCCCATTGTTGCAAGACAAGGACAGCAATGCACGTTCCTCCTGCTCGTCATTGGTGGTGGTGGTGGTGTTGCCCTCATCGTCGTGGTCGTCGTCACCGTCATCATCGTTGGCACCGTCATCATCATCGTCACCGTCACCACCGTCGTCCTGGGCAAAGCTGGGTGGCGAAACACGTGCACCCACACAAAAGGAGCCATCGAGACGCGATCCCTGGCCCTTGCACCTGCACGAACCCCAATCCAAACAGCACTGCGCAAGTTCACAGACACACTAGCTAGCATTCTCCATCTCCCTGGTCAGGAGAAAGGGAATGGATTCCACAGATTTCCCGATCATTTGGAAATTAAGGCCTTTTTGGGTGGACTGACCCTTTATATGAGCCCCCGCATGGGAATAGGAACCCCACATGTTCCTGAAGAGCGATCCACACTGCAGCTTGCACTCTCGGGCTCTACGGCCGTAAAGCGTTGGGCACTGTTGGGCTTGGGCCAAGGTGTCGGGTCTGTCCTCTTCCTCGCGCTCCAGTACCTGTGGCGCCACGGGTTAAGAATTTAGAAGGCTTGTAATTAGGATTGGGTGCTTGGGGCGATGGTTTCTGGAGGGGTGTCAGGTTTGGGATGGAACTAAGGTCTGTGGTTTCGGGCCTATGGGTTAAAGACCTGGTGCCAATGGAAGAACATCCATCGTCAGAACCACTGCAACCACATCGGCCGCACTTGGAAACCCTAGAGGTGACCCTAAACCGGCGAGCGCCTTCAAATTGATCGAAACCCCAACCACGATCTCTGGGCCTCCTCCTCCCTGCGAACCCCTCAATTCGGAGCCGAAAGGGGTGGGGTGGAAAACGGCAGAATTCCCCTCAGGCCATTGCCAACATCCACCTTGGGTCCTGAATCCCGCCCGAAACCCCACACACCACCAAAACCCTCTAAACCCTCTAAACCCTCTCTAAACCCTCTCTGAACCCTCTCTGAACCCTCTCTGAACCCTCTCTAAACCCTCTAAACCCTCTCTAAACCCTCTAAACCCTCTCTAAACCCTCTGAACCCTCTGAACCCAACAACCCCTAGCTGCCCGTTTTAGCACCCATGCCATGGTCGCCTCGCAAGTCCAAGGTGAGGCGTACTCAGGCGGGTCATTGGGGTCCACGCCTCCAGGGGGTTCAGAGTTCAGGTTTCTCGGGTTCAGGGGCTCAGGCATCTAGGGTTCAGAGGCCTTCGGGTGCTTGAAGGCCGGGGATTGAAAAACGGACTGGTGAGGGTTTAGGGTCCAGGCATTCGGGTCATGCAAGGGAGGTTCATGGGAAGTAGGCTTTGGGTTCGGGCGCATTACAATATGGAGCTGGATGGTCTGCTTGGCAGTAGCCAATCAGAATGCAAGGGCGACACCACCACCCCCAAGCCCTAGACGCTAAGCCCTGAGACCCCTGCCCCAGATGAGATTCTCACTGCGCCGTACTCACAAAGCAGTCCCTCGGTATAAAAAACGGACTAAACCCGAAACCCTAAACTCTAAACCCCAAAAGGGAGCTGCAGAGCCCTGGCTTCAGAGAAGGGGGCGGTTAAATTCAGTGACCGAAGAGGGGCCTGGCGTGCAGCTCGTCTTGCAGGAAGCCCAGAACTCGTTCTTCTGGAAGCACCTCGGTTTAGGTATTAGGTTGGTAGTTCTCCTAACTGGGGTCCCTTTTGGGGGTTCCATATAAACACATGAGGCCCGGTGCTACAACCCCAAAAGGGGACCAGGATCAAAGGGACCTTCCACGTTGGCAGGAGGGCCGAGTGATCTTTCGGGTTCAAGGCTTTAGGCGTCAGGCTTTTAGGGTTTAGGAGCTTTATTACTTAGCCTTCCAAAAAAAGCGCTCTCCATCTCAAAAGTACCCCACGAGCGATGCAGGACGGTCGTCAGAAACAACACTCCGTACGAAAATAGGAACCCCAGTGTCACTGCAGCTGCGTCGCTTGGAACCCAGATCCTCACAGCACTTCTTCTCCGAGCAATCCTCCTGGAGGAGCGCCATTTTGAAAAGGTCGGTATGCAGTTTTAGGGCTAATAAGGCAGCTGGGCCCTTTTTTCCTTGCTGCTGCGGTGCCCTTAACCCCTAAACCCCCCCCCCCCGAGGGTGTCCGTGGAGGTCGCGCACTGCCCGGGTGGAGGCGTGGTCAACCTCAAGGCTTGCGGGAGCTCTTGAAGCGCTTCTGAATGTCTCTTACATTTTAGAAATATATATATATATATATATATATAGAGAGAGAGAGAGAGATAGATAGAAAGATATATATATATATGTATATAAAGATATGCATACATATACATATATATATAAATGGCATACCTATGTGACATAGAAAACACAGTTCTACACCATATGATCGACTGAATGCACCCAGCCCCAAACTCTACTGCCCTCCAACCCTCCAACCCTCAACCGCTAAACCATACTGCACCCATCCCATTACCCCCCAAAATCCGAAACCCAAAAACCCTGAAGCCACAAGTCGTAACTCTCAACCGCCCCAAAACCGCCAACCAAAAGCCCTGAAACGCCCTGGTCCTAAAAAGTGTTTGGGGGTGAACTATCTTCCCAAATCACTCATCGCAAGCCTGGAGACCCTACAGCCCTGAAACCCTAAACCCTATATCCTAAAGCCCTAACCTAGAACCCTAAACCCTAAACCCTAAACCCCATATCTAATATACATGTTCATGACTTTGCGAGCAAGGTCATAAATCAGCGGGCAAGGTCATAAATTTTTGGGCAAGGTCATAAAACTTGTGGGCAAGGTCATAAATTTTTGGGCAAGGTCATAAAATCGGTGGGCAAGGTCCGTTGGCTGACCCATGACCTTGCCCACTAATTTTATGACCTTTGGGTGGTCAGCCGACCCACTAATTTCATGACCTTGCCCGCTAACTTTATGACCTTGCCCACTGATTTTATGACCCGGGCAAGGTCATAAAATTAGCGGGCAAGGTCATATTAGCAGGCAAGGTCATACAAATAGCGGGCAAGGTCATAAAATTAGCGGGCAAGGTCATAAAATTAGCGGGCAAGGTCCTTGCCCGCACCCCCTTCCCCCCCCCTTCCCCCCCGCCTGCCCCGCCCCCGTCCTGTCCCCCCCCCCCCCTCCCCCCCTGGCCCCCCGCCTCCCACCTTTTGAACTACTGGCCGTCAGGGTTGAAGAGCCCTAACATGTATAGGGTTCAAGCAACTTAGGGTTCAGGGCCCAGGGTTTCGGGTAGGGTTCTGAGTTCTAAGGTTAGGGATTAAGGGACGAGTGCTTAGGGGCTAAGGGTTTGGGTTGCGTGTGAAACTTTTTTTTATCTTGATGGTATGGGATTCTCTGGGTGGGTGGGTACTTTTCGGGCG